GCATTATAGATGCAAAGATTGTATACACACAATTGTCTGCTATAATACAATAAAGATGCTGAGCTAGTGGGAATCTGGAGGACACTTTGAAGATCACAAGAAGCTGAAATAAAAGATGAATCATTAGAAGCTCTGATTTTGTCTTGACTTTTTGCAGATTGGGCTTCGTGTTTTCGCTTCATGTGTTCTTCTTCCGTGTTGAAAAGATTCCTTATCAGCTCCCGTGAGAAGGTTATATTTGACACACATAGAACACTGATCTTTCTTTGGATGGTAAAAGGACAAATTAAATTCTTCACAAAAGGTTCTTCTATAAATCTTTTCTCCCACTGGTTTTATTGGTCTCTTCACAATATTCTTGATATAGACGATATAATTTCGAAATTGTCAAAGTTTGATCTAAATAAAATCTGCTGGTGCCCTTGTGGGTGTGATGCGATTCTATTTTCAGGAAACTTTTTATATGGTTCCGGACAACGTTAAAAGTTTCTTCACTTAACATATTTCCAGGCTCATGCTTTCCACGACTATCAGAACCTGAAAATGTGCCAGCTTCACCAATATTTTGAAGTGCTGTATCTATTGGACCATGGCTGATGTGTAGTGTTTTTCGAAATATTTTCTGCACACTCTTTTCTTTTCATTGGCAATTAGGAAATTATCTAAAATTGTTTTTTCTCTCTTACTTTTACGTATTCTATCATGACTACGGACTCTGACTCTCTGTACCCCTAAAACTGCAATTCTATTCAATAAAAAATCTTTCTGTCTGGCGAAACGACCAATATTCACTGCAAATAACATTTCCTTTTTCTTCAGTGAAGTTCTCATTACATCGATATCTACAACCACAGTTAAATGGAAGGGTGTTTTTTTAGGTTTTACTTTCCCAGTTTCATCTGTAAATTCTTGTCCGTGCATTCTTATCTTTTCTTATATTCTTTTCATTTTCAGGATGACTTTTTCTTTTTCGTGAACCAGAATTAGTTTGGTTTTCTCTTGTTTTATCTACGTTGGTTTGGATTTCTCTTGTTGTATCTACGTTGACTTGAATTTGGTTTTCTCTTGTTGTATCTACATTGGTTTGGTTTTCTCTTGTATTTACGTTGGTTTTGGTTTTTTCTTGTTGTATCTACGATGGTTTGGTTTTCTCTTGTTGTATCTACATTGCTTTGGTTTTCTCTTGTTGTATCTACATTGATTTGGTTTTCTTATTTTTGTATCTACGATGGTTTGGTTATCTCTTGATGTACTTACGTTTACTTGGTTTTCTTTTGTTGTATCTACATTGATTTGGTTTTCTCTTGTTGTATCTACGATGGTTTGGTTTTCTCTTGATGTACTTACGTTTACTTGGTTTTCTTAAGTTGTAACTACATTGCTTTGGTTTTCCCTTGTTGTATCAACGTTAATTTGATTTTCTCTCTCCCTGGTTGCATCTGCACTGCCATTTCTATCTTGAGTTCTGAGTTTATCTTGATTTTTTAAAAACTTTTCGGGGGAAAACAATCTTCTTCAGAAACATAGTCCTCGTCATCTGGAGACGGAAAATCAGGATCATTGTCACTATCGTCAAATTCCTCATCATATTCATCTATATGTTGTAATACATCGAAAGCATCAAACTTCAAAGCATTTACCCGAAATTACAAATTTTGATATATGATTACTTCCGTATTCATATTGTAAACATACAGACCAGCAAAACGTGACCTAAGTGTTAATGAACATTATTTTCTGCCATAAGTGGTTATGTCCAGAGAGGAAAATATCAATTTTTTATTAATATTTTGTGATCTGTGATTCTGCAATTTAAGGCTGAATAAATTTTTACAACGATTCGCCAAACGGGAATAAAGAAGGAATTAAACTTACCTCGCTTTGATACCATATTATTTCAATTAAAATTCCGAAAACAAAGGAATTCATTTATATAAACATAAGCTAGTCTCCATTATTAAAGGGAAATATAGTTTCTATATATAACTCTATGCTTACTTACCAGTTTTTCCAGGCTACTTTTGATTTATGCAAAAATTATATTTAAGTTGTAAGGGACAATTATTAAGTCGATATATCTCAGACATTTATTCAGATAGGAGTATTAAAATATACAACTGTAAATGTCTAAAACTGGACTTAACTCATTAACTCATACCAGTTTTGGCTTTTAACCCTCGATATTGAGATCTCGGCCATATTCGAAATTGGTATATAGGATGAAAGATTTCAGGGTTATAGCATTGACTTAGTAAAAACAAGTAAAAATTTGGTTTATTGGCAGTAGCACGTAGTCATAGATGCAGTTTTTATCTGATCTCGATGAAACTTGGTACGCATGTATATATTAATGAGATCTCAGGTTCAAAAATGGTAGGCTAATAATTGGATGAATGGTTTTAGAGTTATTGCCCTTGAATTAATTCAATGCGTCTATTTCTAATTTGGCTTGTAGGCACAATAGAGGCTTCATTGTTTATTTGATCTCGGTGAAACTTGGTATGCATATAGGCCCTATATATGGAAAAGATATCAGTCGAGTTCGAAATTAGTAAGAATCGGATGAATGGTTTTGGAATTATTGCTAGGGTTAGGGTTGGCTTGTAGGCCTGTTAGAAACTACATTTTTTATCCGATCTTGATGAAACTTGGTATGAGATCTCAGTAAAGTTTGAAATTAATAACAATCGGATGATTGGTTTCATATATTAAACTACTACAGACTTTGTTATCATTTCTGACAGATGGTAGTGAGCGTATGTTACCTTGCCTGGCAAATTATCTTTCAATATATGTATGTATGTATTGTATGTATCACATAGTATCTTGCAAGGGTCGTCATTTCAACATTAAAACACAGATAATTCTGGACACGCATAGATTTGAAGGTTCAAATTTCGACTTTGAGCTGTGAACACTGTTACTTTATAGCTAAAAAATTTTCCGTTTCTGAGACTAAGGTATGATTGGTCAAAAAGAATGGCCCGTCTGTCTTTTTTATTGGTACGATTGACAAAACTGCTTTTAATTATTCATTCGTTGTCATTCCCAAATTTGGGCACAGCTTTGGCGGAATTTGAATCTTGATTTTAGGTCCTTTCTGACTCAATTCGATATTCGGAATTTTACACCCACTGGGTTTAAGCTCCTTGTCACCCGTTTTCCACAGAGTTATATGATATAATGCCCGTTCTCCTAATGTACACACGTTCCATTTTGGACATGATTTCAAATTTATTATAGAAATCAATAAGCCATACTGACAAAAATACACGTAGCATGGTTGAATTCCGACAGGTTTAAGGATATAAGTGCGCTTGTTGACCAAGGCCAAATAGGTGATGACTATAGGCTACTTTGCTCTGTTCATTTCATAGACTTTAACTAGTCATGGCTAGTTTATTCCTGTTATATGAACGTAGGCTTACCTCCATTTCGTGAATGTGGTGGATGTGGTGGAAACAATTATGAATGACTTTTCTACTTAATTGAAAGAAAAAACAAAAAATAGAAAGGCTAACTATTTAATGAATATCAGTAGCCTATGGGATTTTTTTTTTCATCAGAGAGTATTTGATTGGTTAATTATTAAAAAGCTAAGAGTCAGATCATGGATAGAAGGAGTCAGCACAGAAAATAAATTGTCTCATTCTCATTTCAATCAGATTGCCAGGTGGTGCAAATATATAGAAGCTATATAAGTGTGCCACACAAAATCACCCCCACCCTTTTGAATGACTTGTTAGATACAATAAGAAAACCTGCTTATGAACATTTATCTATAAAGCTTCATATTCTATATCCGAAAAGTTCAGAAAATCTTTAAAAGATTGAGGTAATTTTAGTTCATTAATGTTCGTTACTTTTGTAGGTTTTTGATTGACATTCTTCAAAATTATTATTCTTGATAAATTCAGGAGTGTCATTGGTGTACTACATGCTGATTCTAACCATTCTCTCTTATCTGGATTAATTTCCCATGTATTGACCATAGAAGGGTCTTTAAGTAAACAGTACAAAATTTCTTGTGATGCAGAGCCAGAAAGGAAAGCTATATTTTTAACAATGAGATCGTCTGGATACTCATCTATAGCAGTATACATCAAATGGTTCATTAATAATCCTGGATATACTGAATGTTTTGGGTATAAATCTGTTCTCAAACCATACCTGATCATCAGTTTACAAAATGGAAAAATATGAGAAGGTTTTATATCTGATATATAAAAACCGTGAAAAGACATGATGTTAGGGTCAGCACCATATTGTAACATCTGTTCAAAATGATATAGAGAGCCAAACCGTAGTGTTGTAAAGAGTGCTGTCTCACCACGTCTATTTCGTAGGTTGGCATCAGCACCACTTTGAAGCAAAATTTTTAATACCTCCGCATGACAACGACCCGTAAAGTGAAGAACGCATTCTTTTAATTCATTTTGTTCATTTACAGGGCAACCACGTGAAATGAGCAGCTTTAGTACACCAAGTGTTTCCTCCACCTCGGCACTGACACAATGCGGGACATTCGGATTAAATATCACCATTTTCACTAGGTTCTTTATTAGGTGTACTAAAGCATTGTTACCACATTTATCCTGAATCTTGACATCTGCCTCACTTTCAATTAAATATTTTGCTATATCCACATGATTACAATATAAAGCTAAATGAAGAGGGCAAAGTTTTTCTAATCCAGATTGCAAGTTAATGTCACAGCCATGTTGAACTAAAGCTTTAGTGATAATTAAAGAACCCTTGCCTACAGCACAAGCTAATACCGTTTGGAATCCATTATTAACTACATCCAATTGACAGTTATTTTCGATTAAAATAATTGCTGATTTGTTTTGGTCGTTTTCGATTGCCAGGTACAATGGGACACATTTGTCTTTATTTTTAAGATTCATGTCAGCACCGTTTTCAACTAAAAGTTTTATAGTTGCAGGTCGGCCGAATATGGCAGCTACTCCTAGAGCACAATCTTGGTCACCTTTGGAGGCCTGTATATCTAAATCACAACCTTCGCGAACTAATAAATTAACTATATTTTTTTTACCATGTTGTATTGCCAACATAAGAGGGGTCAAACCATCCTCATTGAGGGCGTCCACATCAACGTCTTCTTCTATTAGCATGTCAGCGATTTCTACATAGCCCAATGTCGCTGCAACATGAAGAGCTGCATTCCTGTTTTCATCGTAATTCGTATCACACTCTTTATCAAGAATAATACGGATTATTTCCATCTCCCCAGCCCTAGCAGCTGCAACAAGAGCTCCGTCTAGAAGACAATCTTTCTCAATGAGATATTTTGCCAGGTCTATCTGCTTTGTTAAGATACAAGACACAACTAGAGATTTCGAGGCATCGTCTTTGAAATTTATATCCGCACCATTTTCAACCAAGCACAGAGCAATTTTTTCATGCCGAAAATGTACTGACAACTCAATAGGTCTGTGGTTAAAATTGTTTTGAACATTCACGTCAGCTCCCTTTTCGATAAGTGATTCCAAAGGTATTTTAAGTCCTTTTCTGGCTGAACAAATCAATGCTGTGTCTCCATTTCTATCAACTGATTCTAGGTCAACCGTTTGCTCTACTAAATATAAAGCTGTTTCTTCGTGGCCATTTAAGAGTGAGATAAGGAGCGGATTGCATCCATCGCTATTTTTTATATTGGTTGCAGCACCATTTTCAATCAGCCATTTGACTATATCAGTGTGTCCGTTTGCAGCTGCTGAATGGAGAGCTCCATACTGAAATTTGTTTAGGTAATTGATTGAACAGCCTTTAGAAACCAATAATTTAACAAGAGAACAGAGTCCGTGTTTGGCAGCCAAATGTAAGGGAGTGTACCCCATAACATCACTTTTTTCAAATGCTAAATCGTTATCGACAAGAAATCTAGCACAATCTTCTTGATTATTATCAATGGCTATCATTAGCGCTGTTTTTCCAAATGAATCAAACGAACTTACGTCGGCACCATTATCTATTAAAAATTTAACAAATTTAATATGTCCCATTCTTGAAGCCATCATTAATGGTGTTAAGTTTCGACAGAAGAAAAAATCTGATTCCAAATCTAAATTACTGAAAATATCATCTCTGCCATTACGCCTAGATTCTATATTCGCACCATATTCAAGCAATATGGCTCCACATTCTAGGTAGTTTTTGACTGCAGCTAAAAACAATCCATCATCAAGATCTTCCTGTAGTATGTTACCTTCTAGTAGTTTAGATTTCAGTAATTCTACCAGTTTGTCGGGATGGGCTTCTTCTGTCTCAAGGTGATACCTAATACTAAAAAAATGTTATGGTTATTAGAACAAATATAAAAAAAATAATCCAACTATAGACTTTACAATGTTTAACTTTGTGTAGGCCCTAACGGTGTCATGATCCTTCAGCAACTTTACATGATAATGATCTTAAGGAACATATAACGGCGTCGACCTTTCCTATAATTTATATAGCCTACCATCATATCATAGTCGGCAGTATTGAGTCTTTTGTGTACATTGTTTATAATATTGTTTTAACTATATATCACCTACAACATTCAACTTGAGAAAAAGCTATTTTGAATTATAACCATCCGAAAATACAACAACGCTTATGATAATTTTTATAGGTCAAATTTTTTTTGCTCAAATTGCCAAAACACATCTGAAAGTTTTAACTAAAAAAAAATCCGGCCGTTAACTTTTTAAAAACCAAAGATATTTAAAAACAGTAAGTACGGTATATACGTAATGTTTTTAAGTTCGCTCTGCTTTTTGCAACCTATTAGAAAACTACTGAACGGATATTATTTACAAAGCTTTTGATTACAAAAAACCGGAATGTCCCTTTGAGGGACAAAGAATCCAATAATTTCAATAATAGGACGCCATATCTGACGCCAAATTGAATTCCAAAAAGGCACGAATTAACATAATTTATGTTGAAAATTCAGAAAAGAACTACCTACAAACATGTGACTATTACTGTAACATTGGAATTATAGATTTTATATTAACCAAAAGTTATACCAAACTTTCGTTCTGTATTTTAATAGCGTTAATTTTTAATTTAGCCACTTCAGTTTGAAGTCACATTAGTCACATAGGCAATTATGCTTAAAAATTAGGCCGAAAAAATGTGAGGTTATTGGGTGTTTTTTTTTATTCGTGGAATGGGCATTAAAATAAAAGCGTATGGGTATCTTTATCCCGAGGGGCAAATAAAAATGATACATTTGTCTCTGAACCTCCTCCTGGCAACTCGTCAAGATCGTTTGTTGGGCCATGTGGAAATGGTTATATCTGGATAGTTTCTCGGATTATGTATACGAAAGGTTAATGTGGATTGATTCTCCATCAAGAAGAATAATTATGAGGCTGATTACGAAAACAGGATCTGAAAAATTACACAATTGAATAGAAGAACTAAGTGCCGGCCTATCTGAATATGAAAAACCACAGTCAATCTTGCAAGAAGACAAAATAGCTTACAAACCTACTACAACAGTCCATGATTGTCGCATCATCAGCCATGTTTAGACTTGACAAACTAGCTGTTCTAAAAATAGTAACTGAATCACATAGATGTAGACTAGATTCATTGATGGCGTTAAACTTATTGCCCTATATAAATGATGAGGACTGCATAAAATGTTTTGTTTTCTTTCAACCCTGAAACTCTCGCAACCTACGTATCTAAACTTCACCCCCTAATAGTTAATACCTAAACTTTACAGGTGTAGCCTAGGTTTCATTGACTGACGGGGGGCGGAGGTATTTTCGCTATAGGAGGCGGAATTTATACATCTTACGCGATTTTGGCAGTGGAAATTGAATACATTTTTCATTATTTCAGAGTCGAGGGGTAAAAAAAATCAGATTTTGAAACTTCTAAGATTCTAACTATTTTTATGGGTTTAATAAAGATACAACTTGATTTAGGCTAAGATCATCATTTAGCTAGCATTTAGCCCCGCATTAATTTTTTGAAAAGAATGGGTAGGCCATTTTTTGACGAATCATAGGTCTACTTTAGTCTTAGAAACTGGAATTTTTCAGAGTTCATCAGTTATTGTGTTCACGGCTCACCGTCGAAACTTGAGCCTTCAAATCAACGTGTGTCCAGAAATATCTGCGTTTAAATGTTAAAATCACGACTCGTCAATTTAAGATACTAAATGTGATATACAGAAAAGACATAGGCCTATAAAGAAATAGTGAGTAAAATTCATAGTTAGAAGTATTTTTAAAGGATGTGATTTTCGTACATTTCTAGTACTTCAGATATTGAAGATTAAAATCAACCCCTCAAAATGGCACACCTGTCCCTTTAAATGATCTTGGATAAATAAACATAAACCAAGTAGACCTACCGTAACGATCCGAACCGCTTAATGAAACCCGAAATGTTTTGGTTACGAAATTGAGAGGGTAGATCGCAAAAATATAGCCCATCAAAAACTTTTCAATAATTAAGTTACATTATTTATACGATATGGGAGTTAGATGGGGATGAGAACATAGTCTCATGAAAGCACTGGCCTAGGTCACAATGGGTGTTTCGGACTATAAACGGCGATCTGTTAAAATTGAGGTTGTCCGAAATTAAAAACAATTACAGAGTTAAGGCCCTTCCTTGGTTGATTTTCCATCAAACAGTCTCAAAATACTCCTAATAAATTTACAATGAAAACTAGAGACTTGTCAATCGAGAAAACAATGGAAGTTTTCTAAACTTTTTATTAACAAAATTTGAGATATTTTAGAAAAAAGTTGTGGTTAACAGCTTATTTTGTCATGTCATCGGAAGCATAAACAATGGCGACTTCTGGTGATTCTAAAGGAAAGAAATATGCCACACTCAAAGAAGACATACATGCTGAAAGGAGAAATAGATACCAGACGTTTCCTCCTTCGGATTCGATTGAAGAAACAAACCGCCCACAATCGGACAATGATTTGCAAACTGAAGACACTAAAGAACCCAAACCTCTATTACACATTGCTGGAGATTTTTCGATAAGTGAACGAAGGTCTTCTCAAGATGTTGGCATGGATTGGCAGTTGACATCAACATCCGACTTATCAGTAAACAATTCAGAAAATTTGGAAGAGTATGAACAGTTTGCTGGTTTGGGTAGGTAAAAAATCCAAGCTATATTTCTTTACAGATTCTTTCTTTTGATTTTTATTTTGTAGGTCAATGTCATTATGAAGATGATCCCTATAAATTTTCGGGAAGATCTGATAATTTTTCACTAAAATATCGTGTCCGTCTTAGCGTTTTCACTCTATTAGCTATATAGTACAACTCGTGCTCACTCTACAGGCAACAATTCTGTATGGATTTTTTTGCATATGTCAGCTTGCTTCGCAAAACTATGATATCCTGGTTATTTGAAATTCTTCATTACATTTTTTATGGACCAAAATTTAATTAAGTGAACTTTTTTGTGCTACAAGGAACGTCATAAACTTTAAACTATACAGTATTATATCATAAATTATTTATTCTCTCGTAAATATCAACAGGGGATGCCATTTAAGAATTAAGAGTTGGTCTCACAAGCATTATTGTTGTGTAAACACAATTGATCACTCCACGAACATACTTAAATGACTTTGTCATTTATTCAGTTTGTCACTTGGGTGTCTAGCCAACTCACCGACAAACCTGGATAACTCATCGACAAACTTCAGACAACCTGTCGACACATATTTCCCAAATAAAATTGTTAGTTACGTCAAGATGTATTTATTATATAATAGTTTAATATCATTCAAACGATCAGAAATATGACTCCTAAGCCTATGCAATAAACTGCCTGGTTTGGAAAGTTAGTGGCCATGCAATTGACAGAGAGATTTGTCCCGATATCCAGGCAATTCATCAGGACATTACCACGTATTAAGACGTAGGGATTGTCTTTTGATATGAAAAATAATCAAATATAATAGTTCAACAAATTAGGTTTATTTATGATGAAATACAGGAACGGCTTATAACACAGTTCAAATCAAATCTTCTCACACCATGAAATCAATGAATAATATTGATAAAGTTACAAGCTCATTGTCACTGAGAACGAGAACCGCAACTGTAACTGCAACTAAGAACCGCAACTGTAACTGCAACTAAGAACCGCAACTGTAACTGCGACTGAGAACCGCAACTGGTTAGAAAAAACAGTTCCTGATTGTAACTTCCAAACTGCTGTCAAACCAACAGAACTCTCAAAACGAGCTAAATATTAACAAAAAGTTTTTATAGCATCCATGTGCTTATTTTCAACAGGAAGTTCAAATAATCTAGGAACACTAGTCTTTTTTCTTCCAGACGTAAATGTCAATTCAATAGACAATATAAAAATGCAAGTTTATCCAGACCAATTGGATTAAGACTACAAATATTAAATTATTAATAAAATTGGAATCAGCCCACAAATATTTTCTTACATTGAAATAAACTTAAAATGGTAGCCACAAGTTAGCGGACAAAGTCATTTAAGTATGTTTGTGGAGTGATGAATTACGTTTACACACAAATAAGGCAAGTGAGACCAATGTTTCATTCTTCTATTTATACAATTTTCACTGTTTACATGATCGGTTTATGAATTTGCCACAAATCTTAGATTGCTTCATTGTGGTGTTTTGATGACAATATAGTGTCATGTGACAAACTACAGTTTATCGAAAAATAAACGCCAGTTTGCGTAACAGGTTCAGGAAGAGAGTAATAGTAGAAATGTAAATATTTAGGCTTATTATTGTTTTTAATCCATAAGATAATAATGTTTATCTTTATAGATCAAAAGGTTATACTTCAGGCTGTTGTTTTTATAGAAGATGCATACAAGGTATGAGAGTCAATTTATCTAATCATTACTTTTATAGCTTATATAGAATGGCCATTCCTATATTTCAACAGTTGGTTATAATTATTTTAAAAAGTCAGAGAAGTATCTTTTCAAGTTTTCTGTGGAAAAATACAAAAAAAAAATAAAGATCCAATTGAAGTTGTAACGTATAAGTGGATAAATCAATAAGTAAAAGTGAAGAAGGCCTGTTGGTTCATAAAGTTCTCGGTTGAAGCTGATAACTACATAGTGTTTTTAACAATTTCTATTTCAGTACCGCTCTATTAGCCATAAGGTTGATACAGATGTATTAAGATATTATCGACTCTATTTATCTTCTTTAGTCAATGTGTAAGTAGTTACATACATTTCTTTCTTGACAATTTGATTTAAAGTAAAACTGTTAGAATTGACATGATCCTTTTATATTTACATCGTGTTACTCTTATCACTTGAGTTCAATAAATCCCCATCTAGAATAAATTTGGCTTCATTGCTACTATAATTGTATGAAATGTAACCAAAAATGGCTATAAATTTTTAAACTTTGAGTATGATTAGCACTATTTGACAATCATTTCTATCTGATCTAGTTTCGTTTAAAGAATATTGTAATTTTTATGTTTTCTTTTAGATTGCGTATGACCGTAATATTTGTATTGCATATGCTGGCTTTTTTTGAGTTTCCATCCTCATTGACATGGACATCTGATATACGTTACCGTGGTGACAGAATATTTGTGGCCTGTGGTATCACCCAAAGTATAGAGTTAATATGTCTGTTATTATTATTAGCTGATACTATTATTATGGTTAGTGAATTTGACAAGTATTCATAACACCTAAGTGTTCAAAAATTAACTTGCATACATATATAAGCAAACCTACTGTACTTATTAATTAATGCCCTTAGATTTATAAGGGAAATTCGACTATTAGATGAAAATAAAACAAATTAGCTTCTTGAAAATTCTTTTGAAACGGTTTGTAACCTTATAATAAGCACAGTAGAAGGTAAAGTTCTAAGAATATTGTTTGAATACTGAAAAGTGGGTAGCTCATTAGGTATGGAGTTGACTGTTAACCTCGTCTGACTTAAATGTAGTTTACTGCAAGAAATGTTTGACAAAAGATAATGGATTATAATGTTTTGTAGGGTTATTTTATGGGCTGGGATTACTTGAAACATCATAAATGGTTGTTAGCATCATTGTTTATTATTGGGTTCTCCTTGATAGACTGGACTGTATCTGTTTCTTTAGGTTGCCATGAGGTAGGTATATCTTCATTCATATCTTAGTTAGGATAAAGAAGGACAAGATATGGATTTACTATTTATTAACTTAATATCAAGCGCTTCTTTACCAATGCCTATTTAGATATATCTTATAAACAGCATAGCTTGACTACTCATTATTCATTTGACAAAAATTCAATTTGTTTACAACAGTGCAATATTAATTTAAACTATGTTGACAATTTCTGCTTAATTGCCAGAGGAGATTTCGTTTTAATTTCATTTTTGTCGATCTTCAGTTTTTGTTGATCTTTCTTTCATTACAGTACATTAGGTTTCGTAGAATAGTAAGACCTTTCTTTATACTTCAAAATTCATCGTTAATGAAGAAAACAATCCACTGTTTAAAAAGAACTTTACCAGAGGTTGCCAGGTAACAAATATTTATTGGTCTACAAATTTGACATTTTTGCATTAATACTGTGAATGTTCCTTAAAGACCATGTTTCTCTACATTCGGGGCTTGAAATGTATGTAAATTGTCCTAGTCCTGGAACTGCATGAAAATCACAACTAGACATTGCACTTTCTTTTTCTATATATGGCGGAGTAACTTTCAAACATGGATATTTTTGTGCACACATGGATTTGAATGCTGTGAACACTATTAATGATTAGCTTTGCTAAATAAATTTCTGTTTCTGAGACTAAGATACGATTGGTCAAACAGGCGGTGAACATGTCCCTTTAAATATTTATAGAAATATTAATGAAAATGATATTATTTTTTACAGTGTTTTATTGTTGCTTGCATTACATCTGTATATATTTACATTGTTTGGTATGCTGTTATTCCCCAAACCTATTGTAAGTTTAAGATTTATCATGATTTTGTACAATTATTTAAGTTAACTGATGCCTTTATTTGTCATGACTTACGTCTTGAAAGAGAGCAACAAGACAATTCTAGTTATTCTGAAAATGAAGTTTTTTATAAAGTTGTTTTGTAGTATGTATGTATGTCTAAGCTATAGAGGTAATTTCACACCAAGCCGTGTAAAAGTAATCTGTGTCATACTAAAGTATTTTTTGTTAATTATAGAGAGATATTCATGGCAATATAACTGATACAGTTAATTCTATTAATGATGATGTTAATACAACCAATGACTCTGTTATAGTAGGTTTTATTTTGTGTACAAACAACTTACAAATATGAAAATGAAATATCCCACAAAAGTCAGGGCCTTATATTCCCCCCAAAAATGGAAAATCATGAACTTTAAGAGCCACAAAATATCATTAACTACAAGATCCCCTATCTTATAGTACATGTATATACCTTCCATTAGCTTATAGACCATGGTTTGTCAACTTGCAGGGCGTACTCCATTAGTGGTGCAAAGGTATTCGCTATGTGGTGTTCGACAGACTTTGATAAAGAATCAAGAAAAGAGTGCAAAAATGGAACATATTTTCAAATTTGTGTACAGGCCTCCACCTCCAACGGGCGTCTGAACTCTACACTTTATTTCTATATGTTTAAGATACAGAATGACTCACTGCTTCTGTATTAATTTGCACACACAGCTACACATTCAAGTATTGTACAATTGTCATGGATTTACACAAGCAGCATGTGTTGTTTTTGTTCATACAGAGTTAATTTGAATTATATTGTAGGATAGTACAGAAGGTCAACAATATTTTAAAACGTTATTACATTCTTTTATGAGTTTATTAGTTTTATTGACCACAGCAAATAATCCTGATGGTATGTTTATTGCTGAACTTTTAATCCATGAACTTGTGAAACAACTATATTTCATAATGGATCCTTTCTATCAGCTGGTCCTTGGTCAAACCTCTTGGTATTGATCTTTACCAGATTATCTGTACCTATTTACAGCTAGGTCAACTGGAGTTATGATTAAAGATGACTTATTGAAGGTCATCCAGCTTTCACACACCGATCGAGATCAGAACCCACACCAGCCATTTGTTTGACGTAATTACACAAAGGATGTCATGTAAAAACTAACGCTCTTACTGGTATAGAACCTCACAAATATAGCAGCCTTGTGTTTTGCAAAGAAGTATGCATGTTTCAAGTATTTTATTAAATAGGTTTGAATGTGATTACATATAACATTATGCTTTTGTGTATTTTCTAGTTATGATGCCAGCATACAGTGAAAATCGTTTTTATGCGGTGTTTTTTCTAGTATTTTTATGTATTGGTAAGTACAACAATGTAGGAAATATGGATGATTGTTTCTGCTTTCAGTCCACCCAAGGTTTCCCAATATAATCTCCTGATGCTAATATGCAACTATGTAATTTGGTATGATAGCAATTTTTGGGGGGTAAAAATCAAACCTACTGAATGAATCTGAATGAAATTCTTTCATTTTTAAAAGTGTCATGTTAGTATGTATACTGTATATCATTTTTCAGGTTTATATTGTTTTATGAATATGTTAACTGCTGTTATTTATAATAGGTTTAGAGGCTATTTTTTAGTGAGTACTCTTCTGGTTGATATTAATCATAGTTTAAAGTTAAATATATTATGAAAGCACCATCTTCGATTTATCCTAAAAATCCCTCATGCTAATATGTCTGACAATATGCTATCCTATAAATGACAATAAATTTTGAATCAACTACAACATTTATCTCTGGCATTTTAGAATTCCATGCAGAGTAGTTATTTTAGAAGGAAGCTTGGTGTAAGAGCAGCATTTGAAGTTTTAAGAAGAAAAAAATCAGCTTTCAGACACAGTTCCAGTTTATCCACTGTGAGGCAAGTATCAACTATAAAGTATCAAGATATTAAGTATGTAATACACAAATAATATACTGTGATGGAAATGTATTACTCTGCTTTATACAAGCAATTCTATGCAACACACAATTAGGTACGTCCTTTATGTGCAAAAACAAAGAACACCAGGCTTTTTTTTGTTGTTCAGTCTGAACAACTGTCAGTCTCTTTGACCTGTGAGAAACTTAAACATCCTCTTCCCTAAATTTTTTTTATTACAAAACAATAACCTCTATCTTTACAGTGTTGGTGTAGGTCATTTAGTAGTAAGAGAACTTATAGAACAAGTTCACGTTTCAGCTAATGTTAAAACAGCACTTAAAGAGGTAAATTAATTTTTATTAAAGAATCTCTACAAATTCTTGCACTGCACTTAATATTTTTTCATTTATGACTTGAATTGTGTTTTACAGGCTTTTAAGCAGAAACCATCAGCAGTATATTCCTCAACAGATTTTCAAAATTTATTTGAAGAATTAAACCAAGAAGAGCTTGTCCGTGAAGTATGTGATTTTATTAACCCTTATTAGTCCCTTTATCATATATCTACCTTGTATAATTGGCAAAATACTATTTCAGTTTTGGCTGTAAAATATGGTTATGTTTGGTGTTTACTTGGGTCTGAGTATTATTTTCTTAACTTTGATCTTTCATAGAACCTAGTTTTCTATTAGAGATTTAAAATCTTTACAGTCTTTTACTTGTTAATTTATTAATTCATTAATATTTCTTACTGGTCAATATATGAGGTATAAATATTTGATCATATGACATATTTCAGAAACCAGACGTACGATGGTTTGAAAATCCTAGACTTGTGATGATACAGAAAGTTTTTACACATAGATTCTTTTCTTATTTTGGAAGTTTTATTGCCTTTTTAAATGTTTTTCTTATATCTGTAAGTACATACAATGTTATTCTGAAACATATCAATCCAACATATTGATTAATCAGATCAATCCTTAAAAATCAGAACAAAATGCAACCCACATTACATGTACTGTATAATGGTGAATATAATGCTCACCCCTTTCAGTCACACCCCCCCATATTTGCATGGCCCTTTAAGGGTAAAAAACTTTTCACTTTACACACAAATATATGACTAATTAGTCTGATGTGGTCAACCTCTTAATTATATAATGGATGACCTTGTTTTTTGCCCTTAAATTGAGATGAAGGATTGAGCATGTACAATCAAAACTAGTGACGTACATTTTTCATGTAACTTAATTCACTATTAGCCCCCTCCCAGATTTTGTTTTAAACAAAACTTTATTTGTTTGTGTAAAGAAAATGACTATTTATAAGAAGTAAAGATAATGTGTTAATATTTTAGATGCAGTTACAGATGCAATATGATAAATCATTGACAGCTAGTGATTCTTCTCTTGGGGTTTGTTCTCTATTTTAACCTATCTGTAAAAACTGAATAGTAACACCTCTGTCGATGCTGTTAAGGATCTGACAGATAACAGTGTGAAACCAATTAGATATATATTGTTTATCAATTTACCCGGACAAGCAAAACATATTAGCTAGATAGGAGTTTCAAATAGTACACTTTGATATGAAATTGTTTCATTTTTCAAAGATTTGTGTTGAAATTTGTCATGAAATTTACATTTTATTATGAGATTATTTGCTATGCTAGAAGCTCTTAATTTGGATTATGCCTGAAATAATTATTGTGATTTTCTAGGTGATAAATTTTATATTTATAATATATTATGTGATTGAACAAAGTGTTAAGTTATGGGCTATGGGATGGAAAAGGTTTGTCTATGATAGAGGCAACATATTTGATGCTGTGATAACTATAGCTTTGGCAGTAAGTGCCTTTTTTTTTTTACCTAATTTAAATAGTAAATATTAGTTATATAGGAGAAGTGGATGTTTGATTTCAATTCTATAAAGTATCATGAATAACTGAAAAACAAAGAATGGTTAGATTAGAAATCCATTTTCTTTGCATTGTGTCACCACCATTGTAACATATGCTCTAGGGACATATTTTTATGAAGTAGCTAGAAAAATTGACTATAAAACAAAAAATTTCACTTAATAAAAGATGAACAGAAAACTATAGTCCCCTCTGCAATAATGAATCTTTTTTTTTTATATAATTGAATGTTGTAGATAGGAGAAACAGTCAATGCTATAGAAAATGGGGTACCTATTTATGGGTAAGGAACTTTACTTTATAAGGAATTTTTTCTTATAAATACTGTTTTTATGATGATACTCAATTCAGTCATCAACTGCTTTAATTACTAATTAATTTTAGTAATATAAAGTTTACGAGTGACAGCACAAGCATCAGTGAACTGGGGGTACCAATAGGTGCAGACTTTTTTGATGGTGAAACAACTGGCGTTTTAAGTGAGGAAGCTTTGCAAAAGTGCCATATGCATAAATCTCCCATGCCTCATAAAACTTTTGAAAAATGGAATTGATTTAGTGCATTCTCTTTCATACTTTGGAGCAAATGTCAGGAAATTACATAGCTCGAGTCTATGATATTTATATTGATTGCAAGTTTTAACATATTTTGAAATTTCTTAGAAACAGCAGCTTAACTATATTCAGCATATATATGTATTATATTTTAAGAAAATCATGTTATTTTGTAGAATTGGTGTACATGATACGTTAATGTTATGGAATATTATAAGAATTATTAATATATTGATTATGGTTAGATTATTACGAATCATACCTCATATACCAGTAAGTTTTATTTTGTACTTCTCATTCATACTTTGTTGAAAGGTTTTCAGATTTTTTATCATGAGAGATGATTTTTGATAAGAATGTTGTTGTTGAATTGATAAAAATACAGAAAGGAAGTAATTTTGATAACAAATGTATGATATTCCTAAAGAAAACTCTCTTATATTTTAGGCTATGTCAATAGTTGCTAGTACAATATTTGATTTAGTAAAAAATATGAAAGCTTTTTTTGGAATCTTAGTTGTAAGTAAAATATTTTTACTATGTTTTTTTTAACAAAGTATATTGACTAGAAGTTGATTTAACAAGTATTATCGTTAGACCTTCAACCATGGAGATTAATGTATTCAGTATTCAGTGTAAATATAGTTTTACAAATTGTAAAGGTGATATATAGAAATTATATATTTGCTATTTTCTAGGTGTTTTATTATTCGTTTGCTATAGTTGGTATGGAATTATTTCATGATGTTATTATTTATCAGGGCAATCAGACAAATGGGTAACTATTTCTCTTTCCTTCTGAATTCTACAAAATTTTCTGTGGTTGCCCAACTAAACTAAATAAATGTTTTGTGTGACTACAATTTTTTTTTGACTGAATAAATTTATGACATACCAGTATTGTATAGTTTGTTTGATAAAAAATCTCTGCTTTCAGATCTGAAATTGTGTATGAATGTGGAACATACCAACAATTAAACTACTGGGCCAATAATTTTGACGATTTCGCTGTAAGTTATTATTTTTTATATGATTTTCAAATTTCAATATAAAATGGAAGAAATTTACATTTTGTTATTATGCAATACTGTTATCTTCCATTTAAAAGTATCACACTTTATCCTAGGGAAGCTTCTACTATTATCTTAATTATAAGTAAACACTCCATAAATATAGTGGAATAGACTGTATTAATGTTTTTATATATTTGATTATCCAGGCGTCATTGGTAGTATTATGGGATATAATGGTGGTAAATAATTGGCATGTATTTTTAGAAGCCTACTCCAAAGCTACAAGCTCGTGAGTTTTATATCAGTTTTCTTTATTGCAGTCTACAGTGAAAACCGTTTTGCTAGATATTTTTATGTTGTTATTTGATAGATAAAAGTTTTTCATTAAGGATAAATCATGAAAAATGCTGATACTAATGTTAGATTTTACCAATAAATTCACAATTCACTCAATGAATAATTGAATATGGACTGATATTTACTTTTAGGTGGGCATATATATTTTTTATTATATGGTGGTTATTGTCAGTTGTTATTGTTTTAAATCTTTTCACAGCATTAATTTTAGAGGTAAGAGAAAATATTATTCTACTATAAAAAAACATGTGGCTTAATAAATAATGCTTGCAAACATATGTAGTCTCTGATAAGATCATCTTTCCTTTTATCCCAATATATATCATTTACTCAAGCAATGTGAAAAAAACCATGTTTTGTTCAGCCAGGGACATGGTTCTTCTTACTCTAACCCCTACAATTCCTAACTGTTTCTTTTGGAATTTGTATCTTGGATGAGCATAAAGAATGAGCTTTTGGATGCACATTTCTCTTTGTAGAATTTTATTATAAAATGGGATAAGAATTCATTAGCTTCCAGAAATAGAAGTAACACAGAGGATTTAGAAGAAGCCAATCATCTCTTATCTTTACATCAAATGTTCAGGTAATTTCTTTGTTAACATGAGTTAATCAGATTGGCTGTGAGTGATGTCTGTCTCTGTCCCTGTTCAATAAGATGTCTGCCATTAGTTTCATCCCAGTTTTATTCAGAGTGCTGAATTTGTAGAATATAAAGATGTAATACATCCTTAATTACTGTTCAATGAATACCCATTCTAATTGATATAAATATATATTGTTGTTTTTTCTGTGCATAACTACAATCGTCATCCACAGGAAAGAATAATGAATAACAATAGAGAATCTGTTAAAATTCATTTTAGATTTGCTTTTAATTGACAAAAGCTAGGTAGTACAATACTTATTTTTTATTAGAGATGGAATGTTTAAATATAGGTCACACCAACAATGTAATGTCTGATAAATATTTTCTATTTTAAAACAGGGATAGTTTACAAGAACCATCAGAGAATGAATTACTAGTAGAATTAAATAGTCATCATTATCTACATTTAGATAATTAGTATATTGTTATTGTTTACTGCTTATAAATATTCCTAGCCATTTTATTATGTATATAAATATGTAGTAGAAATTATTTAGATTTTAAAGTTGTTTATTTTAGAAAAGGTTTTGTACCAGGTATTTGGTTTGTCCACAATTCAATAGAATAGATTGTTATAAGTTCAGAGATAAAGTTAGAATGGGTTTTGTACCGGGCAGCTGGTTTGTCCACAATTCAATAAAACAGATTATTATAAACCTAAGCAGTAAGTCACTGAAAAAACTTGCATTACCTAATAGGTCTTCCAAACTCGAAATTGTTATTCTATTTACACAGTGTTTCATAAGCTAAAATTAAAACTGATGTTATTCAGCATCAAATTTTTGAATTTTAAAGTAATTTATAGTGTATTAGTTAAAGGTATACTTCCTCTTGGGATGACCATAATATTTTTGCACTTGGCAAGAATGAGTATCAAAACTATACGGCAGAATCATCTAAAATCCAATAAAACTAAGTAATAATCCATTATACTTTGTAATTTTGAAAGTCACTTTAATGGATATATCGTGTTATATAGAGATCCTTTTGTCATGGCATCTGTTAAGTTCAACTGAATATATACACTTATTGACCAAGTTTGAGTCTTTAAATTTTATGTCCATTCTAAGAGGTTGTATTTCTTTAACATAAAGCATTAAGTGATATTACATATTATTCCTATTTAACATATTTATATCTGTCATGTTTTGTTATATTGTGTATATATTTATTTATTCCATTTCGTTAGTGCCTAAATATATTGCTAATAGTAGCAAATACTGTGTTATACTGCAAATATTTATTTGTTTGAGAATAATTTTGAAGATATTTTGGCTATTTTCCATCTCAGAGGACTAATAATTGGATTATTTCTGTTCAAATGACGTAATTTTTATTTTTAGTGTCAGAGCTACAAAATCAAATTTAACTGGCAATATGTCAGCCTTTCATTGCCGAGTCAATGGTCAACTCACAGAAACTAACGAACATTAGCAAAGGTTGATGTTATGTTACTTACATCTTGCCGTGCCAATATATTATTTATAAAACTAGTGCAATACCAAGGGAGAAATTATACCCTAAGGAAAAGATTATAATAATGATTTTCTCAATCTGTTCGAAAATAATATACCGTATGTGTGTAGCAAACCAACCAAGGTATGTCATTATTGTAAGATTTAGGACAATATAGCTTCAAATTTGAATGTAAACAACAAATCATACTTGTTGATGAAATATAGAGTTCATTGATTTAAAATCACTAAATGAGTATCTTGGAATTTTGTCTGTCATTTACAAAACTACTCATAATCTCAGGTCTCTTTGAAAATAATGTTTTTTTTTTAAATTGTCATTTTGTTTTATTATGATCACATTGTCCCTTAATCCTTACCAAGATTACATGAAAAGTAAAAGGGCAAAGCAATGTAAATTCACATATACTGGTCATATATTTACTTTCTCTAGTATATATAAATAATTGTCACTTCCTTTACCTCTTATAATGTTTTAAAAGACTTTGCCATGAATTTGGGTCTTTTGTATACATGTATTCAAATTTGATACAAACCATTTATGATCTGAAAAGCAAAAGTACATAATCAGATCTGGAAATATGAACTCAGTGTTTGGGTTGGCTGGTTGGTTATATTGCTGCATGTTTTAAGAAAAATTCTATGCTTATTTTAAATATTATGTTTTATCCTTGGTGATTTTAATGAGATTTTATTGATTCAATTCAGGAGAGTTACAATTTTAAAACTTTATCAGTTGTTTGTGTAAAGGGGTATTGTGTATCTATTTGATAAAATTAGAAATTTTTAATAAATCCTTTCTGTGTTTAATCAACAATGTATAGATTTATGATAATGTTAATTTTCAATTAATGTCAATCTTTGTTTAATGAACTTCATTTGCTTTTATCTTGTTGGTTTATAACTATACTTTTGAAATACAAATATTTCTATAAATATTCCAAAAAGGATAATGTAATCCATGGACACTGCTTCTCTACACAATAATTATCAGCTATGACTGTATGTTTATGTTTTGAATTCTCATTCAATTGTTTTTCATAATGATAGTTATTTGTATATAAAAGGGACTCAATGGTGTTTTTTAGCCTTTATTTACATAATTTACAAAAAAAGCCAAATGGCAGTGATGTCATAATCTACTCAAATCTGGCAGCTGAGAAATCCAATGGATGCAAATAAAAATTAAGTTTCAATGATAGTCTTATACACATACAGAGGCTTCAGAACCCCTTTGAATTCCTTTAGAATGTTTAATAATACTACAGTTTTCCATTGTTTTTTTTTTGCCAAATCCTTTATATTTGTTATAAAAACAACCATTTTAATGTGATTATAGTTTTATTATAAAAATATGATTATATGTAAACAAAAAAAATGTAAAAACACAGCCATTGATATTCTTTTTTTGAGTTTTGAACCACAATTGATAATTCTGTCTGGCTAAGAATCAATAGAAATGTAACATGTTATTTATTGTCTGTTGCTACTAACAGATGATGCTGAAAGTGATCTATATTCAAATCTACAGTTCAGTTTAAATTGACCAATGTTTAATTCTCAGATCATAAAACTGAACCTTAATTCAGCTCACTGAGATGAACTTTCTCTACTTAACTTTATAGCCAAAGCTCTGTAAGGCTTGTTGTTTGGGATGCTTCCCTATGAAAAATGAACTGGTTAGATTTTGTATAGAAAATGCAATGAACCTTGAAGCATTCCCTCCACATAAACCTCATAAAAATACACTTTTTCCATTTAATGATTTGATAAAAATAATATGGAAATGAAAAATGCTATCTTTTGGACCTGATGAGTAATTAATCAGAATTTGTACACAGAATAATATTCCACAATATTGATTTTTCTTTACATACCATGAAATGTAAAATAAGTTTGCTTTAAAACTACAGTTTTTGTTCCCACAATGATGAATGTAAACTAGTATATAGATTATACATATAATAAGAAGAGAATACAATGAGTAAACAATGATTAGAAGTAAGCTATTTCTTCTTCAGCAGATTTACCAAGTTGATGATTTGATAATTCTACATCTTGTGACACATGAGGAAGTGGTTTAAATATTCTAACATGTACATATTTCTCGTTTCCAATATGTATCTGAAATACAAAGTATATGTCTCTCATTAATTCAGAAGCTATTTTCTCAAGCTAATAGGTTGTACAGAGCATTTATTATGCCAGCTACAAAATAAGAATCCCTTTTCTAGGTGTATTGTTAAACTAGCATAAAAGATAGCTTACTCTCCTAGTCACCTGATGCCACTATTCATTATAAAATACTTCCACATTTATGATTGAAATCCTGCAACCAATGTGTGCTTTGGTTCGCAATAATTAGGTTTATAAATTTTATAGCAGCATATTCTGTAGAAAAAAAATTAAAATCTTACTAAGAGTGTATAGACTAACCTTGACAAAATAATTAGTACCAGCTACAACTTGTGATTTATATTGTTTAGCTGTAAATTCTTCAAACGTTGTATTAGCTTTTTTTTCTAATTCCTTTCGTATCTGAAATACATAAAAATTTATAAATGTATTATATTAATATCTGCGATGTGGACAATGAAAAGATCTTTTTTCAATGATTTTTAGCGGATACAAAAGAACAATAAATTATACTATGTATCTTGGAGTAGAAAATTGGGTTGTTTTCATGTGCATATGATATTGATATTAATAATTATAGTAAGCTCATTTATGAGAGCTTATGTCAGTGTGTTTATCTCCCAATATAAATTCTCATTTTATTTTTCTATTGACCTGAAAATATTTTTAGACAAAGGACAAGATCAAAAATTTTGTTACAAGTTTTCATAAAATAAAATAGATAACATTGATTCTGAAATATCAGTCATTCAGTGGGCTAATGAACAGTAACAGGTTTATCTACGGAGCCCCTTAGGCACAAACATTTTTTATTTCATTTTAAAGAAATAATTATTTCGTTTAATCAAATAACTTATTTCATTTAATCGAATGAATTATTTCGGGTAAAGAATTAAACTATCAAGTATTTCGTTTAAACGAAATAAGTTATTCGATTAAACGAAATAATAATTTTGTTTAAATGAAAACGAAAAGTTATTGATAGTACTTCGTTTAAACAAATTAATTATTTCGTTTAACCAAATTAATTATTTCGTTAAAACGAAATATTTTATGAAAGTATGGAAAATTGCGCTTTAGGGGCTCCGTACTTATTTATCTATCCACCCATATTTATTTGCACGCGGGTAGTTTGGAAATTAAAACTTATCTAACTAGGCTACTTACGTCGTTGCATATTTTCTGAATCTCATCATCAGCAGTCTTTACTTCTGAGGCTCCTCCACAAGACATGTTTTAGTTTTCACACAATTATTCAGATATTTACCTGCCTACACTGAAAAAGTTCTGAGTTTGATTGTTTTTATGCAGCGATCATGTGACTTTATTAGTGCAGTCATGTGATTTGTAGAGTCTCGATTATTTAGACACTCTTTCCAATAAGAACATGTTCATTTGTTCCTTGTGCACGGCTAAGCATGATATAACTTCGATTGGTAAGCGTAATGCCTTCAAGATGTAACACTATAAAATTATGTATCCTGATAATTGTTAAAAATGTTCTACAATTCGCAAAGAAGACCTAGGATAGATTAACCATATTAAACCTTTTTCTTCGAATAGAAAAAACTTGCATCTTTATTCCATATAACACTGCAGCTATCCTATAAGACAATGCATTATTGTGATTTTCAAATGAGGGTATGAGCACCGGAAAGTCTCCATCTTCACAACGTCAAGCTATTACGAACTTACGTACTTACCTTGACTGCAATAGATTCATGTATCATGGAATGCAGCGATTTGATAGGATTGTAGGTCAGAGAATACAGCCAATCAGAGCCCTCGACAGAAAGGCTCTTTAAACATTATGGATTTTTGTAGACAGGCGTTCTATCGAGGCCTCTGATTGGCTGTGTTCGCTTGCGTACAATCCAATCAATTCGCTTCATTTACAAACTTTCATGATACAAGAAAGGTAACTATTGCAGTCAAGGTACAAGACGAATTTCATAATAGCTCGACATTGATGGATGTCTTCGTGGTAGTCTGTCAATCTTTTGGCACCTTCTTGCAAGAAGGTTGTAGTTGTTTTATTTTGCCTTCGTGATTAAAGACTGGTCTGGCCGGTACACCTCGCAGAAACTTGTGGCTATAATAACAGTGAAATTTCACTATCTTCTGAAACCTACAGAACTGAATACATTCCCATGCCCCAGTCGGATTATCCGGCTGCTAAAGCTATAATCACAATACAGACACAAGTGATTTATCATGTGTAATAATAAGTGACAATATAATGATTCGTTATTGATTTCACATTAATATCATGTTTCCTCTGAGATGAATAGATGTTTCGTTCTTGTTTCTTTTGTATCCGGGATAGAACTACTTTAGATGTAGTCCATGTCTGACGATGATCTGTAATTGTAATAATATATTATTCCTTTTAAATACGGTGGGATTCAGACGTTCGGCGTTTTGGACAATTCCTGAAGTGTCGATTGCACTGTATATTGACCCAATAGTTATATAAACAACATAAAGATCAATCACTTTCGGAATCTCTCAGAGGAATATATTTCAGCTTGACCATCCAACAATCATCTTCATAATGTCATGCTATTACGAAGTTTGTAATAATAGCTTAACATTGTGAACATGTCCAACTATGTGCAATATATAAACAAGTTTAAATAGTTTTTATTTTTAATTATTTATAAATGAAATTACTCTTTCATTTGTTTAGTGACAGTAATTTTCATGACTGGTCCATCATTAGTAGCCCGATCAGATGGTTGCGTATCTGTTGATTTGATAACCGGAAGTGATTCAGCACTATCCTCCAACCGTGCCTGTCTATCACCAAGAAGATTGTCTAAAATATTATGATCTAAAATGAATAAGATATTGTGTTATAAATATGATTGATCGACTTAAAATGTTATAATCTAAAATACATGAAGAGAAACTAGAAATTGAGCTTTGATTCTTCATACTACAATCGGTGTTTGCATAATCAAGTTCAAAATGGTAGCGGAACCAGCCTTCCACGACTGGGGGTACAAAAAGGGGGTTCTCCTCCAGGAATGTGTTGAAATATAGATTAATGTGGTGCCTTTGGAGGAGCGAACGATTTTATTCTTTAACCTGTTAGTATATGTCCTGATTCTATTAGATTATTAGTTACTTGGGTTTCTTTTTTTTTTTGGAGGGGGGGGGGGGGGTATTAATCTAAGTTTACTTACTATAATTAGAACTATTGTTATTGGAAGCTACCATTTGTTTAAGAAAATTAAACGATGGGTTAATGGTATGTGACTGTCTATGAGTTAAAAGTTTAGGATATGACAGAGGAGAATTAAACACAACTGGTCGTCTTGGAGATAAATCAATTGGTGTTTGAAGTTTGATAGTTTTTGGATACATTGCCATCCATATTTCTTCGGCATATGGATCTCTGAGGCCAAAAGAGTCTTCATTTTGTTCCGTGTCATTTAAGGAGTTTATGGCATCAGTATAATCTCTTGTGGAATGAGCAGATATATTTCGTTGTGAAGTTGAATCCACGGGAAATGCCAATTTTGGAATATTTTGTTCGGATCCTGTTGACTTTGGGTTATTTGCTAAATCAGTTGCATCGCAATAGCAATCTGAAGCAACTGATGATCGAACTGTTTCAAGTTTCTTTTCACAAGCCTCCCTAGCATCATCTGTAGTTATGCCTGTTAAAATGTCACCACTCCTTTGCTTGGACTGCTCGGCTGTTACCAATTGATCTTTATTATGTTTTATATCGTCATTGTCATCAGACGTGTGATTTAAATCTCCGGCTCTGTCTTCTACCGTTCTTTCAGAGGTTCGAGGTCCATCTTGATATTCATCTGCAGAAGCTTCTTGGAGGACACCTCCGTCAGTCTGGTTGGTATTTTGAGGAGACAGTAAATCTTTCAGTGGTACATCTGTAAGTGTACCATTATCAAAACCCTGACATAAATATGCTAATATTTTTTCAGGTAACTGCATAGCACTTTGAACATCGGTGGTCATTCTTATCAGATCGTCAACAGTTTTGATACCACATTCTTCTAGGTAATGCTGGACAAAATCTGGAACTACATCATCCGATTGATCAATTTTGTGTGGGCCAATAGGAGTGGTGGTCACTTGGCTTGGACCATGTAATTGGCATCTGGATTCTCTGAGACACCTGACACAAGATTTATACAGAGGAATGCTGTGTATGGGAGATATTCCTCCTGTTCTTGCTGATTGATCACTTAAAATGCTTTCAATGTATTCCTGCATGATCTGAGTTTGAGTTGAGTACATAAACTCATCAGAAGAATCATGTCTAGATAATTCCAGTTCGGAAATATCAGGTATTATGTAACCTCTTCTGATACTTTTCACAAGAAGATGGTACGTAGCACTGATATGATTACATTGACGTTCATGGACACTTTGAGATATTGAATTTGGACTGTAGCCACAAACGTAGCTAAGATATTTGGTTAGCTGAGAATCAACAACAGTTGGAGTTAATTTTGAAAATGGTGGTTGTCTTGGAACCATATTCCCAAATCCCTTTACCAGCCATTTGTGATGCAAAATTTCTTCCATTTTGATTCGTTCACTGAGGTGTGGTCTAAACATTCTTGTCAAAAGATCTTCACAATCTGAAAAGAGTAAAATAGTTTTTATAGTTATTTTTCACAAAAATCCATTATGTTTATTGCTCTTAACTAAGAACGCATGAACGTACCTTTTGAAAGAAATCCAGGCAATGTTACTCCTGCAAGCACTGTAGAATGAAGTTCTGGAAGTTTTGCAGTTTTTTTGGGGAGAAAGGGCAAATGGCCCATCAACATGGCAAACATACACACTCCACTGAAAGAAGAAAATTGTCCAATCGATATCAAGTTATGTCATTTGCGTACCGCTTGATTCCAAAAGCTGGAACCGGTCGGTGAATTCAAATATTTGTGCGAACGAACCTTCCTTGATAATTTTGGATACGGCGTGTTCAATCTCAAAATAGCTGGAGATATGAAGATTACCTACGCTGGCAAGTTATTTTCAAAATAAGTATTAGAGTGAGTTTGGGACGGTCTGAAATGATTCAAATGATCCAAACATGAATTAATAAACTTACATGCTCCATATATCAACTCCTGTCCCATGAGTGCGGTTACAGAATACTTCTGGTGCAGCATAAGCAGGAGATCCACAACGATTAGTTGGTGTTTGTGCTTCTTTTTGTAACATACATAAACCAAACCCTGTGTTTACAAATAATAGTTCAGTTATTTAATACAGAGTCATCAACTGTGCCCATGCTATTGTCTCTTGTGACACACAATTAAATATATATAAAAACTAAGTTGAGGAACACCATACCTGCATTAGTCGTCAAGGGTACATTGGTGAAATTACTAAGTAGAAAAGTATTTTGATTTGCAAAAGTTTAGTAGTAGCCTACATGATAAACAAATCTGACTATACCTGTTATTTTAATGTGACCAGTACTATCAAGCAGTAAATTTTCTAACCTCAAATCCCTGAAATAGATGATTTCGAGATAGGAAATTTAAAGGAAAGGATTCAAGGGATCTGTAGGATCTATATTAACTAAACACTTATATATAATATAGCATTGATAGGCTTGTTACGAAACTTGGTAATATCACATGGAATTTTACCTGTGAACGAATCCTGAAGTATGTATATGATCTACAGCAGATACTATTTCTCTTAAAACTAATCTGGCTTCATCTTCTAATAAACACCTTCTGTAAAATGAAAAACCTAAATGATAAATTTGGGATGCTTTTTATAACAAATTTACAGTGAGAGTAATATAGGCCTCTTATCTACTAGGCAGGCAGGCATATAGAGCCTATCTTTTTCTGGTTCACTTTTTATTCGTCTATCAATATAAATGAGCACCTTTAGATTAAACCAATGGACTAACCAGATACGGTGATTACGATGAAGATGCTGATGCCGATGATGATGATTATATACATTATACATACTTTTGTATTAGAAATTCGAGAAAGGATCCACTTTCAGCCAAATCAAATACTAAATAATAATATGTTCTCGTCGTCATGGATTCATAAAGTTTGATAATGTTCGGGTGGTCAAGACGTTGAAGAACATTTCCTTCTCTTCTTAAAGATTTTCTTGCAATCCCACTCTTTATAAGCACTCTTTTATTCACGATTTTAACTGCAACCTGTACGAATACAATATTTAATAAATTTAACAAAGTTTATAACAAGCGCAATGACTCCTGATACGCATCTTTCGTAAATACATATATTCCAAATTAACAGTTTTAGCTATGTGGACTCTCCAAAGATTTTCTCGAGTGAAAACCTCAGATGCAATGTGATATTTTCTGGGATGGTGAACATGAGAATGTTACCTGCATAATGCATAAATCAATACTGAAAACAAAGAAATTCGACAAAGATTGTTCGCAATATCTCAAGAAAGTTTCATAATTACAGAAATAAAACCGATAACAATTTTTTATTTATTTAAATCAGTTACTTTTGATTCTAACATGACATGACAATCCAACTCTATCCAAGCTGGTATCAGTGAAAGAATACAAGAATTGACTTACCTTTTCATTTGTGGGTATATGACGACCATACCTTACTCTGCCGAAAGCACCTTCACCAAGTGGATCCTCTAACATATAATTACCAACACGTTTTCTTTTTTCCCAATAAAATGGCTTTCTCGTTCTCGGTGTTGAAGTCATATTTATTTACGTTGGTCGTATCGGTGAATTTTAAACCTTATTCATACAAATATACCTTGTGTTGTATTGTTTCCCTTTCAATAAAGACTTTTCTTTATCTCGTATTCATGTCATATTCTGTATATTAGTGACCTAACTAAATCTGAATAATAATAATGTATTGTTCATTTGAGTTAGGCCTTTGCAAGGGAAAATCTTTAGTTATAGTTATAGTGAAATAGACAGGCCCATAGGCAAACTGACACAACCGTAAAAGTATTATAATTTATAGTTCTCTGGTCTCTATTATGATATATTATTATAATATATAGGCTACTATTGTTTATTTATTGTGATTTTCTACCATTGAAGAAAGAAATTCACTGTTGTTTTCCTACCCTATTATAAATAATAGCTCTGAGTAGTTGATTATTAGGTATTTTCACCTAGCCAAGGGCAGTAAATCGTGATTTAAATCATTTGAATCTGAGCTCGTATAACAATCCAATACAGTTCTAATTCCAATCAATTCATTTTGTATCATTTTAACATCATCTTAAGGATTGGTTTCCTTATTTTTTAGTGTCAAATTATGCAAACTATTTGATTAATTGGTTTTTCTAATGAATTATCGTGTTTTCTGAATCATATCATTATGTTTTGTTGTAAAAAATTAACCAGTCAGAAATGTCCAGGTATGTACAGTCTGGATAAACAAAAAAAGACGTTTTGACCTTTCTTGTTTGGTCACTCAATGGAATTCTGCGGGTAATTCTCTTCTAATTTAGCTATAATTTTATGAATTAACTATGGACATGTGAGACAAATTGGTATTTTTTCATATGCAAGTATTAGCATTTTCATTTTCATAAATCTTTAAATCTTAAACCAAATCTGTAAGATTGTTGCAGCGTATATCTCAAAATCAAGTTAAAACTTGTCCAAATCGCAAACAAACCAAAACTCTCATTATGGCATATTTAACCTATGTGTGGGTGTATTACTAGAAAAACTATTGCTGTAATTAACAGTCGGTATACTTTAATGGATAACTTGTTTATGTTTTATATATAGGTCTAATCATCTGGAAATTTACATGTATAATATTTATCTTCATATTATAAACATACCTTAATTGAAACACAAAACATATTATGTACATGTAGTATGGAATTGAAAAGCATATTGAATCTCCACAACAAATTCAAAACACCGCCGTTATCAATGTAGAAAGTCGGTAGGCTTACACTTGACGCCTAGCTGAAGTTTATCATTCACACATTTTACAGGTACATTTTCAATGTATTTGAATTGTGGGTCTTGGTTTCTCAGTGATAAAGAAGCTTGCGTTCAATCCCGGTATATATCGGGATTTTTCGGCGATGCAGGTCGGAGAGGTTAACTTGAAAAAGATCCTTAATTTCAGACGGACCAGTGCGGCAGTACACTAGCACATGAAAATCGAAAACAATAGGGTAATGCCTCTGTTCTGGTTATAATTCAACCATTTCACATTTGCATGGAGTGTGGGTCATAGCTAATAGAGACTGATTTCAGCTTCAATTGAGAATTTATTCGAATTTCCCTCCACTCAAGCAGTCATCGTAATTTAATGATATTGAGACGAAAATTCGGAGGTGTTGAAAAAACTCCACAAAACAGAAAACAAGGTCTAGTTTTGTTTTGACAATACACATAAGGGCTACTAAACTATATGAATTCGACTTTTACATCCTTCTAATTTTTAAAAAGGTCAAAAATAAAAAAAAAACGATGGAAATTTTTAAAAATAACGAAAACTGAGATAAGATTCTTTTTGTAAACTGCATTTATGCACTTAGTAGTTGCATTCGGATCAACACTGCACAACCCGAGTGATGTTCTATTAACTACGCAATATTGTTTGACCTGGTTAATAGCGTCTTTGTTGACGGAAATGATAGTGAGCATGCGCAAGAATATACATCCGTTGATCGAGCACGTGTGCGCTTTTCTAAATCATAATTTGCAAAAAATACAAAATATTTGGCGGTTTTCTTTGGAAAGTTTGATGCCTATGAACAGTATTTGATGTCACGCCTTCATATGACTTTTGTTTGGTAAGCTTACATCTGATTTGAACAAAATAAATCGATTCCAAATGTCACCTTCTTTGTCAGGAATTGGCGCTCTATTTTTTTTACATTGTCTGATAACCCAATTTTGCTTCTTAAACCAGATTGAACCCCCATTAATTCTCCGTAGTGTAGCAATTTATTTTCAGTATGATTTCTTGAGTAAATGAAGCATTTGTTTTTAACTTCTCTCTGTGCAATGTGATTCACGTTTTCTCTTGTTAATCTACATAATAGATGGGTTAGAAATAAGCCACCAAACTGTATCATTCAATTTAATGGACAATCCCTTTTGATTAGTTCTGGTTCATAATTAGTCACTATTCCATCAAGTGACTCATGGACTGATTGATTTTTAAGAGTTATGATAAATTATATTGATAAGAATTTGAGAAATAAGAACAATTAATCTGATGCATTTTTGATCAATAGGCCCTATTTTGGTGGGCATTTCTGCGCACTGTCCAACAAAATTCAATGTTTACACAATCAAATGGTAGGCTACTGAAACTTTAGATTGCATCCAGCTTGATGAATGTACAGCCAATGCAAGTATGATTGTTTGGAAATGAGATCTTAAAGTAATATTTGGGTCATTTATTTGGAATTTTTCATTAAGTTTATATCATGTAAAATCATTGAGTCATTTGTATAACTGGTACATGCTTTAGGTACGGGGCAGCTTTGTTTCAATTACTGTTACTGATTTGAGGACATTAATGTTTCAAAAGTATCTATGATACACTAGTCAATTAAACTTTATATACTGGTACTAGGAACAAATAATGTGTAATCCTGTGCATGATTTTGTTCCTTTCTTACCAGTTATCATTTTTCATTATTAAAAAGCAACAGAATATGACAAAATTTTCTTTCTTTTTCAGAATCAACAGACTATGGGTATAACAAAACAATATTTAAGGTTTGAACCTGGTGATGTATTTGGGTTGGTAGGAAGTTTAAAATCTAATATAGTTTATTTAGAAATAAGTAGAAGTCATGGTAAATTTTGTGCTGTTGGAGCTTGTGAAAATGTTATTGTCTGGGATCTGAAGACCAAAGAAAAGGTACTATTTGACTTTTTTATTCTATCATCTTTTATCCTTGATAAATACTGGTAATAGTTTTCTTTTTTGTATAGATGTAAATGATTATATTGTTTGACTATTTGAATGTCATACTGGAGCTGATAACCTGCTTCAGCTCTTGTGATATAAGTAGCTGAAATAACAATATATATACATACCTGGGAATATACATTATCTTAATTTGAAATATATATTTGTTTTGTTTTCTTATTAGAAAATTATCTTTTCAGCATTTGACCCTTCAAGGAGAGAAACATGAAGTAACAATTATAAGTCCATGTCCTGATAAAAAGCACCTAGCTGTAGGTTATAATGATGGAATGGTTAGAGTCTTTAGCTTGATCTCTAGAGAATGTATTTGTACATTTAGTGGACATAAATCAGCTGTATCAGCCTTGAATTATGATGCACAGGGACTGCAACTTGTTTCTGGCTCAAAGGTAAAAAATTTAAAGTGTTAATTATCCGAATGTGAGTTTGAGGACCTTGAAACCTATCATGTGATTACAGAAAGCCCACCAATAGAAGTATGGCTAATCAAAGTCAACATCAAAAGGTTTGGTCACGATACAATAAATATTTGAAGAAAAGATATTAGAGAACCACGCCACATATTCTCAAAACGCTCTTGGCGCTAGTATGTTTTAGAAAGAGTGTTAGAAGTTAACCATGTGAAATATGGGTGTTACCTTTTACAACTCTGTATGGTCATTTAGGAATCCATCATCACCTTGTGTTCTGTGAGCCATTTTTATAAACCTACAGGTAATATTATGTAGTGTTAAGCATTTTAAGGAGAATATTTTACCAATTTGGACAAATTCTATATTTCTATTGCAGGATACAAATGTTATAGTATGGGATATTGTTAATGAAGCTGGTCTGTACAGATTAAAAGGACATAAGGGGCAGATAACCCAAGCTGTGTTTTTGAGAAGGGAGAATGTGCTCGTTAGCAGGTAATAGCTTTTGTTTATTTTTTTATTGCAATGCTATATTTCAGTAATATGTTGGCCAGTAATTTTTTTATGGCTTTTCAATACATTATTTGTGCACATTTCCTTTCAGTTCCAAAGATACTTACATCAAGTTCTGGGATTTAGACACACAACATTGTTTCAAAACATTGGTCACCCATAGATCAGAGGTAAGCCAACTTCTCCAATAGGCCTTATACTAATCCATACTAAATATTTTATCTCATTTGAAATTAAAGATAATTAAATTAAATAGGTCTTTGAATACTGTTTATGATGTTTCATTTGTGTTACAGATTTATGATTTTGTATTTGTGAGTGATGAAAGTAGATTAATAACAGGATCAGCTGATAGTGAATTGAGAGTATGGACTATAAATTATCATGGTAAGAAACTAGAGGCAGATGAAGGTGATGATGGTAAGAAGATTGATCTAGATACTGATAATATAGAAGATGATATGGTGAGTAATGATTCTCTCTATAATATTTCTAGTTTTGATGCTTATAACTTGAATCTTTGACAGTCACAAAGTCTGAATAACCCAGTGAGTGACAATATGTTGTCATAGAGGTTGGGCCGTCACATAACTTGAGATAATGACTTCTAAATCGCCGTTGTCAAATTGTATGCAAAAACAAAGGTCCGAATTTCCATATTTTATAAAGACGAAAGTTTATGTATGATGTATATTTCTATTTTTCCAGAATATATTGTCCTGTACCAAACTTGGATCAGTTATTCGTCAGTCTAGAACACATGTGGTGTCTATGGTAACAGATAAACATGATAAAGTTTTAATATGTCATGTAAGTTTCAAAAGAGACCAATTTAAAACTCTTTTGGATAACTTGGCATTAGTTTCTCTTGATTTAGTAAAATGTCTTTTCCATCTGATCTATATCTTGCAATATGTAAAATATGGATTCCAAAAACATTCAACAGACCAGAGTTATTTTGTGTTATCCATGGGTAAATATGTAATATTAGTTAATTGATAATTACCTGCAACTCCACGAATGTGTTTGACCATCATAATGTAGATAAAATTCGGTCTTTACTTTATATATCAAAAGCTCTGGCGACTGTGCACTACAAATAATCCATACCAAATTACAACACCATAAAAGTCTTCTAAATGCTCACAAACTCTTAATGTATATATCTGAAAACCCCTCATGTTCATGCGGCCATACTTTCGAAAATTCTGAACGCTTTCTTCTCTATTGTCGTAATTTCACAAACCAACGAAAGAACACTATTAATCTTCCTATTCATTTACATTCTATAATAACACTTCACGGCGATCCTGCATTATCCTTAGATACGAATTTGTATATTTTTCAAACTGTTCAAAATTTTATATCATCGACAAAACGTTTTGATATGTAGTAGCTCACGATGTAAAGGTATGGCCTTAGTTTCACACTAGGTTTACATTCGGTTTGACAACGGAGGTTATATTTGACATTGTGAAAATGAATAACAATAGACATTCTCATCCCCTCATTATTTTCAACCTGTCAATACTGAATTTCTTGATTTAATCATCAACGAACTTATTCGGTCCCTCACATATACCCCTTTCTGTAAATAGTTCTGTTATATTTTGCTTTCCATGTAAATGTATATCAAATAACACTGCTTTCATTCTCTTCTTTTCACAAACAAATTCTGTGTACATCTACATCTTCAAGCTTGTCTCTGTATCGCACCATTAATTCACGTAATATGTATATTTGTTTGTATATTGTTTGTAATATAAACTGTTTAAACTATCAAAAGCACACCTGCATATCTCATTATGTATTCTTCAGGGTAATGATAAAAAATTAGAAGTTTTCTCCTTGCCTAATGAAGAGGAATTAAAAAAAAGATTAGCTAAGAAAAAAAAGAAAGCTAGATTAAAGAAAAGGTATGTCATATATATATTGATCCAATTGTATTAATAATATTATATGCATGTAGAATAACATCATTCAAGAATCTCATTGTGAACTTAATTTGATGTATGAGTTGCATTTTTTTTGGTGTAAATTCAACTAGATTGTGACTGAATATTGCTAAGAAATTTGGTGATTTTATCGTTTGAAAAGTTTGAATTTGAATATCTATAGTCTCTACCATAAATTGATATTTTGTTTCAGTGAAGATCCTTCAATAAATGAAGATGATGTTAGACTAGAAGCTAGTGATTATATTAAACAATTAACACAAGTATTTTTACCTGCTAAAATTAGATCTGTAGACTTCCTTATTGGTGATACAGAAATAAAGGTATAGATTTTAATATTTTTAGCTAAACTTGTAGTATGGTTAAAATGATGCAGAAAAGAGTGACAACATTATTGTTCTTTGCTCCTGATCAGAATACAAAATTCAGTTTTATGTAGCAATGTCGGTGGTTATGTATTAGATAAAATTTACCTTTTCTACTTGCAGTTATTATCATTATTGACTAATAATAGTATAGAAACAAGTTCACTGGATATTCAAGAAAAGAGTAGTCAGCGTGCAGACATCAATAGTCATGTTTTACCAGGTCATCGAACTGATGTACGGGCATTATGTTTTAGTTCTGATAACACTGCTATAGTAACTGTCAGTGCTGAATCAGCTAAACTATGGAACAGGTTAATATTTAAGCTTATTTAGCATGAAAACCTGGACTGTATATAGGAAAATATGATTGCAGTTTTATTGCAAGTGGTAGATGTTATTTTCTGTGATCAATTCTAATGATAAAATTCCTCTGGCTAAAATTTTTAAGCATGATTTATTGCTATTCACTCTTCATAGAATTATGGTTAGCTTTATATAGATCTTTCAAAATTCTGTTAGAATCAATCAAGTAGGATTGTAAAATTATTTTAGAAATTCAATCAAGTAGGATTGTAAAATTATTTTAGAAATTTATTCACCATTTATTATATCTTCTTATAATTTCAGATCATCTGTAAAATGTATACGTACCATGACTTGTGAATATTCTGTAGCTTGTGTATTTGCTCCTGGTGACAGGCATATTATTCTGGGTACTAAGGTAATTCTTATTTCTCTTCTAAATCTAGTTTTTGTGATATTTAAATAAATAATGGCTAGACTCAAGTAAAATAGTATTACACTTTGATCAGTGACATTGACATCTTCACTTTGATCTTGTCCTGCTACAAAATTATATTAAAGTACTTTTACACATCTTCAAAATATCCGAAATAATAACACTGTCTGGGATTCTGTTGATAAAATTCATTTTGATTGATTTGGATAAATCTAGCCAATCAGAAGAGATATTTAGGGTGTGAAAAAGTATTAGAACTAGGATTATCATTAATGTTGTATTTAGATCTTATTTTAAAACTTGTGTTGTTTTAAGACCTGTTTATTTAAATATTTTAAGACTAATTAGGTGTCACCCCTATTGGGAATAGAACATATAAATAACCTTGTTTAATAGCACTCCAATCAGTCATTAGGTTAGGTTGAAACAATCAACTTAACAAGAGTAGAACTTTCTGGGTATGTTTGTGCCACTGTCTTGAGCAACTCTTGATCAATTTACCAGAACTCTGAAGGTATAATAAATAGCCCTGTTTCTCTGACATCAGTATACAGACTCACAATCACCTTGAAATTATACTGAAGAAGATATTTTATTGTAGAGTGGCAAGTTACAGATATTTGATATAGCATCTGGTGATTTATTAGAAGATTTAGAAGCTCATAATGGAACAATTTATTCTATTTCACTCTCACCAGATAAGGTAAGGTTGAACATAGAGCTTTTGATATTAAGTGTTTAACTTTTGAAATATTGTATATAACATTTCAATATCTATCCTTAACGATATATATATAATTAAAACTAAGCTGAGTTGTTAATATTACAGAGAGGAATTCTTACTGGAAGTGCAGATAAAACTGTTAAATTCTGGAACTTTGAATTTGTACAACAAGAAAAGACGTCCAGTACAAGGTATTTTGAGCTGATTTCTTCATATCTTGTTAATTGATAATTGAAATACAACTTTTTTATGTTATCAAGCTCTAAAAATTCAATTTTAAATCAACTCAACTTTCACATACATAATAATGTTTGTTGTACAAAATTTTTAAATTTGTATTTCAGCAAACACCTAACATTACAACATTCTAGAACATTAAAGATGGATGAAGAAGTTATGTGTGCTAAATACAGGTAGATTAGTTTTTTACATATTTATTCAATTGTACCAATATTAATAGATTGGACATAGAACCAAATAAAGGTAGCTTTGTGTGTTAGTATTTTTCTGTGACAGTTTATTATAACTACTATCACAGTTTAATGCTAATTCACAAGGTTTTTCTGCTCAGCAGTTGAGGTTGTCAATGTTGTTTTCAATTCAAGGAATACTTGTTTTTGGTGACTATCAGTATTTGTCTGTGACTATATAATATAACAGTATATCACAGATTAATGTTGATGGTTAACAAATTCCTTCTGTAGCCTTGCTCTTTCAGTTATCACTCTTCAATTGTTAGTTTCATAGAAGATATTTATGCATCAGTAACAGTAAGATATATAGCTAAATTTGAAGTTTTGTGTATTAGTATTTTTCTGTGACTGTGTAATAAAACTACTATCACAGTTTAATGCTAATTCATTATCCTTCGGATTCCACTTTTAAATTGATTGGAAGATGACGTTTTACGTTGTTAAACATTAGAAAGTAACTGACTATTAATATTTTTCTGTGACTATATTATACAGTAATTTATATCACAGATTAATGTTGATGGTTGGTCAATTTTCTTATCAACTTTGACATCTTGAATTTTTGTTGTGTAGGTCCGGCATATAGTTGTGCAGATGGTACAGTAATCTGTGTGTTTCACAAGCTGTGCATATTACAGATTTAGTTTGTAAATCACAATCAAGTAGGCTGATATTGAGCTACTGGCAAATATTCCTGATATATTATTATTGTATGTATTCTTTTGATAATTGCCGTGGACTTAACAAAAATATTTTTTTATTTGTAATATCTGCAGCGTTCAAGTAAATCTGACAACAGACTATTAATATTTACCTGTGATGTTTTTATATTAAATTAATATCACAGACAAATGTTGATGGTTTGTTTTTCAATAAGACAACTGAAGACATCAGGTTTGGTATACACAGTTTATTTACACAATTGCAGTTTCATTTAAATGATGGCAAGTATTATTTATGCACCATTTTGGGGAATTCTTAATGAAGGACAGAAAGGAAGATTGAATTATGATTTGCTCAGGACTATTTTCTTTCTATGAGTATTTTTCTGTGAATGTGTATTTATTATAACTATCACAGTTTAATGCTGATGGTCAGGATATAGGTTTTCTCCTATTTTTCTCTAGATTATTTCATGATGAAGAGATTTACTGTTTCTTTAGCTATCAATATTTTTCTGTGACTATATGATATAAAGTATATCACAGTTTAATGTTGATGGTTAGATGACAATTCTGCAACACCTTTGCAATGACTTTCGCATTGTATTGAATTTCTTGTAGAAAGATTATTGAGTTTACATTGAATTGACATGAAGAAGACATGAAGAATTTTACTATGACTATCAAGATTTCTCTGTGAATATATTCAATATGATTTATATCACAGATGAATGTTGATGGTTACAAAATATAGAGCTGCTGGATCTATTTGTCAATCAATTTTGAGCTTTGTGCTATTGCTTTAGCTTCTGTCAGTTGAATAGTTAAAAATTCTCACTGTTAAAATAAAGCTCAATACAATGTTACAGGTTGCTATTGTCTAAGTGGAATGTATAATATAGAAAATAAGAATGAAGGCTTATCATATACATAATTATATACTGGAGATATTGATCACCCAAATTGCACAAATTTGATATACAAAATATCTTGACAATCCAGTTCTTTATAACAAATTTCAGACAATTTGATATTATTTCTTTCAGCCCTGATCAAAGATTATTTGCTGTTTCCTTACTAGATAATACTGTAAAGGTTTTCTTTGTTGATACATTAAAGGTAGGGTTTAGGGTATATTTTATGTTTTCTTATTCTTATTTTTGATGCCTTCTCACAAACTCAGAGCTGTAGCACATTCTTCAAACAATTAACATGAACTTATATATTTGATACCATGTCCATATACTAATGGGCTTCCCATAAGTAATGCAGTCCTTACCATCTTTTGACATTAAATCAAGTTAAAATTAGAGGAAATTCCTAGTACGTGAGATGCAAACAATATATAGTGACCATTTTGATATTGCTCGTAAGATAAGACAAATAACTCTTTATCTGTCCTCATCTCTGAAGATGAAAGTCTTAAGACTGCGAATACAATTTTATTTGCAGTTTTTCCTGTCATTATATGGACATAAATTACCAGTATTAAGTTTAGATATATCTACTGATGGTACATTGTTAATATCTGGTTCTGCTGATAGAAATATTAAAATCTGGGGTTTAGATTTTGGTGATTGTCATAAATCTATCTTTGCTCATGATGATAGGTAATCATCTTTAGTTTGTCTTTTAAACTTCTGAATTCTTAGTGGAGAAAATATTTATGTTGGTTATTTACCCCAACTAGAAAATTTATGTGAGTGTTGCCGAATTTGACTTCAGTTGTGAAAAACACGACACACTGCAACATAGTGTAGAACAGTTAGTGTCAATTTGCCTTGTAGCTGAAGTATGACATGCGTTATGTATCATGTCACTAATGTATTGTTCAAATCTATTTCATATTATCCTTCAAAAGAACACAAATTATAAGATAATATTGGTGCCAATTTAAAGATTAAAGAAAATGAATGATTGGTAACTTGTTTTATTTTTTCAGTATTATGTGTGTACAATTTGTACCAAATACACATCTGTTTTTCTCTGGTAGTAAAGATAAGAAACTAAAACAATGGGATGCTGATAGTTTTGAACATATTTTGACACTAGAGGTATTTTTTCCCTGTGTTTTTTTACGACTCAAATTACCATTTCCAAGATCATTAACTATGACCAAAATATCACAATCCATTTAAATGCCTTATTGATCTTAAGACAGCTGTAGGGCATTCAGATGAGGTGCTTGAACTTTGAATCTTTATGGCATTGCATGGTAATGTGGCACAAGTGAAATTTGTTCATCTTTATCCTTAGGGTCACCATGCAGAGATATGGACATTAGCTGTCAGTACCCGAGGTAATTTTGTAGCCACTGCCTCTCATGATAAATCATTGAGATTATGGGAAAGAACACAAGAGCCTCTGATTCTAGAAGAAGAAAGAGAAATGGTTAGTGAAATATATTTTGAATTTGAGGATTGATTTCTTTATCGACTTATAGATTATTTCGTTGCCTAGTGATGTTTAATAGTTGCCAAATATGTTCCCAAATATTTCTATCTTGGAATTCTATTATAATTTATAAACCACTTATTACTTTTCAGGAAAGAGAAAAAGAAATTGATCAACAAGTTGGTCAGTCTGGAGAACCAGTGGTATGTCATTTCTATGTATATATAATCATACTTAAAATAACTTTTGTAAATTTGCGTATATTTTATGTACTACAGTTAGTTTTCAAAACGTTTTGTGCAATGATTTCTTCATTCTTTCTTTAATTAGGTTGCTGGAGAAACTACCAATGAAGTTGGTTTAGCTGGTAAAAAATCTATAGAAACTGTTAAAGCTGTAAGTTCATTTTACTCCGAAAGTCTTTGGATAACATTATTTTTGGCTTTAAAAAGCCAAATGAAGGAACTTGTTCAATAAAGCTGTTTAATAACAGTATCTCCTGTGTAAGTACAACCTCTGTTTTTTTTCTATCAAGCAGATGTGGAACCTCGTTATCTTGACTAGCAAGATAATTTTTTATTGTGCACGAACTTGACTTTAGTTTTAAATAATACAATTTCATTTATTGGATAATATGACATTTCTTTAATGCTGTATTTTCTGTGTAATACAGGCAGAAAGATTAATGGAAGCTATTGAAGTCTATAAAGATGAAAGTGGTAAATTAGAATTACACGAAGAAGATTGTAAAAGAACTGGCAAACAGGTAAAATATATATTTCCAATTCTCAATTGTCATCATGGAAATGTGGATGTATATTGCCGTCCCCCCTGTCCGTTGGTCCGTCAACATTTCTTGTGAATACAATAGAGACTACAGTTTTCCACTGATTTTTATGAAATTTGGTGTGATCATTTATATTGATGAGATAATTTGATGTATTTGGGTTATTGATATTGATTTTAAAAATTTATATATAAATAACTGGCATATATATAATTGATTTCAAACTAACAAAAATTTCTTTAATATGAGAAAATTCATATTCACTAAAGACATTTCTGACAGCTGCCAGTGGGCGTATGTTACCTTGCCTGGCAAGCTATCTTTGTGTACTGAGTAGTTATGTTATTATTCTTCACATCATGTTACCAAGTAAAATATACTACAAAAAGTGGTCAAAATTTTGAAAATATTTCATTGAAAAATGAAGGATGTATATTTATATTGTAGCTACCCAAGCCACCAAAACATCCATTATTGATAGCTTTCAACAGTGAAAGTCCTAATCATTATATGCTAGATAGTTTGAAGAAAATTAAATCCAGGTATTTATTTCAATCAGATAATCTCAACTATACATCACGGTCGCTATATTGGTTATCCACTATTTGCATGTTGAACATACGGGCAACTGATTTATGGATTAGTTTATATTTTGGACACACAAATAGCTAGACTTATAAATTTTATGTGAGTTAGTAGTTATTTTTAATTTTTATATTCTGTTTTATTTTAGTGAACTAGAAGAATCATTATTAGTTATGCCATTCTCTTATGTAACAGATTTACTCAAAATATTAGACAAATTCCTTACTTTTGGTTGGGAAACAGAATTAGTTTGTAGATGTTTATTTTTTCTTCTAAGGTGAGATCTCTTAAACCTCATGCTTGTTTCATGATCAAATTGTTGAATAGTTTGCATTTTGTAAAAAAATATTCATGTGTCAAAGCGTCAAATCCATTTCTCATGAAAGATCACTATTATGTGGAGCAAATGAAAATTGAACACGTCAAAACTTTAACAAGTTTAAAATGGAACTAACTACTATGTACAGGATTATAATGAACATTTTTAGAATTATTTATTTCTTCTCTGGCATTTTGAATTCTGTCTACATAGTGTATTTACTATATTACTTTCAGAGTACATCAAGGTGAAATAATAAGTAATCAGATATTATTACCTATAGTTGATAGATTACGTACCGTAACATCTAATAGAGTTAACCAGTTGAGGGTAAGAAATACTGACATTTGGTTAAATGGATGTCACGTTTTTTTTTGGTTTTTTTTTTTTTTACAAATTTTGAACAATATATGTGGACTGCTATGTGGGTGATGTTAATATAGAGAAGTCAGTTTTGCAATTAGTTTGTTTTCATTTGCTAAGTAAGGTATTTAAATTTAGAAATTTATCATTTCAGGACCAGATAGGTTTTAATATGGCTGGTTTACAGTTTTTAAAAAGAAAATTAGAAGATAGAGATGAAGTGAAATTCTTTGCTGATGCTACTACCACAAGGAAAAAGAAAAAGAAAAAAGCTGACAAAGTTATTCTAGCTTTAAAAACTTGATTTATGAAATAAAGTTTGATAATTAAACTGTTTTTTACAAAGAATTGATTGGGATTCAAATTAGGATTAATGCCAGCTTCAATAATATTTCAGAAAATGTTTGCACTTGAAGATACAGTGGTGGGTGGAAATGAATGAAATAACATTTGCACTAATTTTTATTTCTATATATAATAAGTGTAGAAATGAATTGAAATGTAAACAGGCATTGCACATGGGATGTCAATTACTTTTTTCTGTATCACTTTCAAAATATACTAGCTCAATGAGAGACTAGCTGAATAATGCCCCAAAAATTACACACTTCCTAGTTTTTTCATTACAGCTACTTTAATTTCAATATAAATTTCTTAGGAACCTATTGCAAATTCCTATACAGCACAATTTCTCATTTTAAACACGATAAGGCATGGTATCCTGAATAATTACCACAACTTTATTTCATTCTGTATAATAAGAGAAATATAATGAATTATACATATACATTATTGACCACAATAATTTATACTGATTTTGCATCAGATCAAAAGCTTCAGTGGACACGTAATTATAAAGCACCAAGACTGAAAAAGACGAATAGAATAATAATCACTATAGCACAAAATATAGAAAAAATTACATATGGCACATAAAAAGGCTTGGACCATGAGAATATCAGTAATTCAAAAAAATATTAATAATTGACAGACTCAAACAAATTGAAACAATCCAACAAAATTGCTCAAATAACAAACTTCTGTCATTCAGTAAAGGTTATTTCTAGTTTTTCTGTGTATCGGGGACCATTCAAGACTTATTTGCAATTCCAATTTTTCAAAAGATTGAAATAACTCTTTATTATAATCGTTATATCCGTTAATTATATTCTAAGAGCGTTTGGATAGTCAAAACACATACATCTGACAGATAGTGAAATGGTGCAAGTTGATGCCATTGGTGTCATTGTTTAAAATTTCAAAAAACCTCTTTTCGATCCCTTAAACAGACATTCACGTCAGCAGTTAATCATGCGCCATCTTAGATATTTAATTAAATTTCAAATGTAACTTTGAAATGGTACGCCTACATAAATGGGGGACGTGTATTTCTGTAATTGCTTGTAAATATACTGGAAGGCACAATACTTGATGGATTTTGACAAAACTTGATATGAGTATTAGTAATCACCCAAAGATAAACCCTATTGAAAATCAGAAAAATCGAATAATATTTAATATGAGTTATTGCCCTTGAATTGCTCATAAACACTCTTGAAGACACAATTATTGATGAAACTTGGTGTGTTTGTAATCAAGGATGAACCCTATTAAAAATCGCAAAAATTGAAAAAATATTTAGTATGATTATTGCCCTTGTTTTCAAAACACGTTAAATTTTCTGCCTTTTAATAACTTTCCGAACGCACAATTATTGACAGATTTTGACAACTTGATGTGAGTGTTTGTAATCATCCTTTTGATGAACCCTGTTGAAAATCAGAAAATCGAATAATATTTAGTGTTCGTTTTAAAAATACGTTCAATTTTTTGCTTGTAAACACTATAAAAAGACACAATTCTTGACGAAACTTGATGTGGATGAACCCTATTGAAAATCAGATAAAACAAAATATATAATGGTTTATTGCCCTTGTGTTTGGAATTCTAAACTTGTAAACACTCTAGAATGCACAATTCTCGTAAACTCAAATATTTTTATTTAAAATCAAGGCTATCTTTAATAAATTTTAGGGATTTGAGCACTGTAATGCAAACTACTGACTAATATATGGATAAGCTGATAAAGCAAAAGTTGTTTTTTAACAAGTTTGGAAAGTTTGATACATTAGTTTTATCATTGTTATCATCCACATTTTAAACAACAGTTTCTAGCACCAGTCTAGTTTTAGTTTGGGTGTTCTCTTTATCACATGTAGAACTGTCTACAACAGCATCAATGTCGGTTTCAAAACGCTCAATAGACGTAGTGGACACTTGTCTTTCAGAGTTTTTCAGTTTTGATCCACCCACTTTCGATTCTGCCAGTGCATTGTTTTGATACATTTTCTCTTGGAATGGTACTTTTTCAACCATTGGCTGTGAACTTTGTGTTGGTTGCAGTCCAATGACATCTCCATTTGCAATCTCTGATATTTTCAAAATTGGAGGCTTAATATTTCCAGGCTGTGTTTCAGAAATAAAATCTGCAGTAATTAACTTGGGTGGCTCCTCTTCAGATTGCAAATTCTCAGGAGGACATTCTTGTGGAGTTGGTGGTGTGGGCCATTTCTGCGTGTCACTGAACACTGAATCTGGAGTCTGAACAATAGGATCAGGAGGAATAGGTGGAGATGGTTGATTAGAATTGATATCATGTTTATCAGTGTCACATAAATCATATGGTGTTGGTGGTGTAGGCCAAGACTCTAGAGTTTGCTTAGGTTCACTGTCTGCGATATGCTCTAGAAATGGAGGTGGTGTTGGCCATGATTCAGAATTTGGTGACTTGATGTCTGGAGTGTCTAATGGGGGTGGAGAACAAAGTGGGTAATCTTTATTAGGAGGTGGTGGAGGAGATGGTAAAGATGATCTGGGTGTAAGAACTCTATTGATAAAATCTTTTCTCGGACTTGTTGTTGTTGGATCTGACAAGGTCCTCTGAGCAGTATGCAATTCATTTCTTTGACCAGCCAATTCCGACCTCACAGGCATCTGTTCAGAAGGATCAGATAAGTTTCTCTTACGATCAGGTGTACTGGATGTCAAGGAACCAATTTCAGGAAATCTCTTTACCTTCCAGTCTATGTTATGAACTTGATGGAAAGTTGCAAGAACATTTTTGTCGTTAGTTTGTTTAGCTGCATTTCCATCCAAATAACTAGTATTTAAAGTCATATTTATAGCGGTAACATTGGTCAGGTTTGCAGTTTCATCAGAACTCTTCTGAACCGTCTCGATAACCTCACCTTCTAAAATAGTACTGAGTTCTGGAGCACTAGATGCTTTACCCAATCCATCTTGTTCAGGAACAGATAAATAATTCTGATGTAATGATTCATTAGATGAACCAGATGTGATGCTAAAATCAGATCCTGAACTAATGATATCAGATAATTTTTCCATTTCAGCCTGATTAACTTTATGATCCAAACGGGTTGCGCTTTCATTAGATGTTAGTGAAATCGTTTCTGATTGGTCACTAGATTTCTTCTTTTTGATAGGTACTGCATATAAATCTTCAATACTACTAGCATTACCAGGCTTGTCTGTATTAAGAGAGCTATCTTGTTTAGACTGACAACCATAAGGCTGAGCATAACCTGGAGCTGGAAAACCAACCACACAGTAAGTAGGGTCATTGAAATCTGAAATAGCATCATTAACTTCTTTATAAGGGATACTAGTATTATGTTGATCTATTGAAGTGTAATCTTGAGATATAAGATGTTTAGACAGAACATCAGGATCTATTTCTGTAGATTGTTGGATGTTTGGTACATCAGGACTGTTCTGTGGTCTAACTTTTAATTCACCTTTAGATGTCCATGACAATACAGTCACTTTATATAAATTTTCTTCTTTTTCCCTAAAAAAAAAAAGACATCATGATAAGAACTCAGGCTATGATGAGAGAGTTTTTATGAGAGAAACCAAATGTTCAGATCAGAGATAGATGTATACTTACTTTTTGCTAGCTGATGATTTTGATGATCTAGGAGAGTCAGAAATGGATCCTGAAGTTGATTCCGAACTTGACTGACTACATGACCCTGACTTAAAGAAAATAAAAATAGAAACATTGATAAAACACAATATATAATAATCGTTATAATTTTATGTTCAACTCTGACCATTAAAAAGCTTTCAATGTTGAAATTTCTGAAACACCATTCTTGAAATTATATCTCCTAAAGTTTAAAGCACAATTCGACTTTATTAAAGTTTAGAAAATTTTTCATCCCATCTCGTTTTTGAAAGTTTAGTACCAAAAATGGCAGTGAAAAAAAAATGGATTAGTTTTAAGTTATAGTGATTTCAAATCCCCTCATAAATTTGTAAGCTATAGAAACAGCCAACTCTTTTAAATGACTGAATTTTACCTTTCTAGTTGTATCAGGAAGAAATGGATCATCTGAATTATGATCAGATTGTCTATCACTCTCACTATTTTCTTTACTAATATTATTAAATATAGCTTTTCTTTTTAAATCCTACAGATAAATAAATTAAAAAGTTGGTAAACTACTACAATCATACCTGAATAAATATCATCTGTTACAAGCTGTAACAATTTTCAGGAAAAAAAATATTACTTTAGGTTTGCCTATAATTTAAAACTGACTATTAGTAAGTGTCCTAATTCCATCTGATCAGAGTTTTTTGTTCTGTCTGAAAGAATGATGATAATTTTTCACATATTAATTTTGCGCCCACTTTTGCCAGGCCATTTCACAAAATATATTTTGATAAACGCAAATGTTACAGATAGTTGTATCAACTAAAGCAAATAAATAGACAACTGTAAAGGGATTGTAAAGAGATAAAGATAAGTCTAAATTATATGAAAGTACATAAGAGCCATTTAAAAAAAACTTTTTTTTTATCAATTAATCTCAGCACGGAAATGAGAAACTTACCAACAAATCATGTGCACTACCAGGTGTTTTGGAACAACAAGGGTTTCCAGGAGATTTACCAAATGTTGAAAATGGTGAATCAGATAAGATAGATCCGTCATGACTTAAATCTATGGTTTGTGGAAAGCTGACAGAATTGGGGAATGGTGAATCAGCTAATGATAGGAAACTACATCTTTGTCTGCCTGTTGGATTAGGTGGTGTTTCACAACTTACTGTACCACGATAAAATTTCTGAAAAAAAATAGATATATGAAAAATTATAAAAGGTTAGTGATATGCCATTTGACCACGACTGTAAAATTCTTTCCACTGATTTTGCAGAAGTTGATAACAATAGTGTGAACCTACCTGATTTAATTTCTTCTTATTCCATAATTTAACAAATGCTTTAAAATAAGCTTTAGTTTTTGGTGACTTCATGTCATTCACAGTTTTATTTTTCTGTAAAAGAAAACATTAATTTAATGAAATATCAGTCTAATTAAAATTAGACCAAACTTTATTTCTGTTTTCTTATTAGCTTTCAATTTTAATTTAACCATTTCTTAATTGTCCAAAGACAGCCCTCTTGAACATTCGTCTGTTTGATGACACTACCAGCCAATCAAATTTATGCTTTCTCCAACCTTGGGATTTTGTGACATGAACAAATTGTGTATTTTAAGCACTAGACACTGAATGCACCATGCAAAATTTTTTTAAGTAATTATCAATGTCAAAACTTAAAATTAAATTTTACATGAACTTTTTTAAGTGATTGAATAGGTGTCCAAGTCATTTTATGCATTTAATGCTTTTATTTGTAACATTTATTTAACAACAAAATCAAAGATGAAATAAGAATATCATACTAATACCTCTTCAGAGAGCCATAATTTAAATTCAGCTTGTTTACTCAAATAGTCATCCATAGTTATTTTATCTGAAAATGTGTAAGATAAGTCCATGAATAATGAGTAAATTACTGTACATTGGTTTATATCTTAATCATAAATATATACAGTTAAACAAAATTGACCTTTTACTTGAACTTATTGGACACTAATTAACATGTAAAAGGTCATAAGTAATAAATCGTCAATTAATATGACATCATAATTAGAGTTCAAGTTTTTTTTAACATCAATTTAACAGCTTTATATCTTAATGTCATTGTGCAAATTACCAGTTTATCTTTGAAATTAGACGACTTTTATCAAAATAGTTTGGTCCTTACTATGTTTTATCTTTTTTTCAAATTCCTTTTCTTTTTTTCTTTGTCTTCTAACTGATTTTCTAGCAAACATTCTTTGACTTCTGCTTACTTTAGGAATACCTTCTTCATCTATTTAATAATGAAAATCAATAAATATTTTAATGGGTTAACAATAAAAAATAACTATAATTTGATTAACAATTCACATTCAAAAACTAACCTATAAAAAGAAACAACCATATTGGAATTATGACATATAAGATATGAATGGTCATCAGACTTCCACACACTGAGCCTCATGATCAAAATTTTTTATCAGTCAATCTACAATAGCCAAATAATATATGGAATATAATTATTTTGTTCATACTAAGAATACACACTATGCACTTTCACATACAAATCCAAGTATTTTAGCAGAGATCACATATCTTTGAAACAAATCTGAGGGAATAGTAGGTATTTACCAGATTCAGATGAAGCTGTAGAATCTTGTGACATATTACTTGGTGATGGTTGTTCTTCATTACCCTGTACAGATCCTCCTGGACTGTTTATAGATGGACATGATGTACTCACTTTTGAGGACTGAGATAAATTATCTTTCTTTCTTAATAAACTGAAAGTAATGGATCAAGATTTTGTTAGGAGCCACTAGGCCTACACTCTTGTACTTATAGTAGGTCTATATAAATTAGTTCACCCACAAAAAGCAGATTGACAGAAATATGCAGTCTTGAAGCTTGTGCCCACCACTGACCAGTGGCAGTAGGCCAGTAGTAATAGTTACTGTTTCTTTAATTAACTTCAAAAAGATAATAATAGCCTTAGAATGACTTTGCATTGATTAAACATTAGTAAACTTTAGTAACATTTCCATTTTGGTGTTTTAGATGAAAATTTTCAATCAAACTTGCATGTTGTTGGACTAGGCTCACTCAGATCAGCAATTTGAGATTGGATTTTCGATCACTGACACTTGTTTTATGCATTCAAACAAATCGGATTATTCAGAAATTGTTTCAAAGGATTACTTCATTACCTGAACATTTTATTAGGTATACTTGGCCTATCAAATCATTCAACGCTGACTTTTGAAAGTTTGATTTCGGCGCTTGTCAAAAGAAAACACAAAATGTAATGACGTAGTCTTTTGTGTGAATAATTTAAAAAAGACTTTGTCAATCCAGACGGATTGAGTCCAACCGATAATGGAAGAAAGTGGCATGATAATCACGACACTGTATTTATGACGTTTTACACAAACGAGCACTTGTTAAGTCACAAAATAAAATAGTCATCTGTCAAAATACTGAATTCATTCTGTAAATGGTTAGGAATTCCTTCTTATTTCCTCATTGCTGTTTGCATTTACAGTTCTCTTAGATTCGTAGTTTTAATCGTACAATATTTTTCATTTTATAGTCACCGGTTCACAAATGGGATTAGCATGAATAACCCCATCAACGCAAATTTTGTGCAATATTTTTATGAGAATTGGAATAGCAGACTCAACATTGGACTAATAGTCTAAGAATGTCTCTGCGTTGATAAAAATATAAGCATAAGCAAAACATTATGTCTTCAAAATTTGTTTTTTCAGAGGTCTATTTTCAAACAAAATTTTTGACTTTTTTGGGTTGAAATTTTTAGGAGAGAAATTTGTTTCTTCTCATTGTTAACTTAAATATATATACATGTATATCATCGCAAAAACATTCTAAGACTTTCAGTACTATTATGAGATTGATATTCCAATTTTATGAAAAAATATCGATAAAATTCAAGACGGCATTTCTAATTTTGTAATTATTTATTTCAATCTTTATGGTTTTTTCAGCTTCAGAGATATTCAAGTTGATAAAGGTACACCATGATATCTATGCTTAGTAAACGATGTTTAATTTCATGTAAAAAAATTCTGACTCAGTTTTCATCATATTCATCTGTATCACCCGCTGCAAGTTTGAAACTGAAAGAAATCACAAAAAGCAATGCCAAAGAATTTTTGGAAAAATATGACACATTGATGTTAGATTGTGATGGTGTATTGTGGAAGACAGATTTTATGTCTTCAATTCCAGGAATCCCTGATACTATAAATCATATTCGGAATTTAGGTAAAAGGATATTATTTGTTACTAATAATAGTAGACTTTCAAGGGAAACCTGTGCTCAAAAACTATTGTTAAATCATGGAATAGAACCTGGAGATAGAAAAGATATATTTTGTGTTTGTTATTCTATAGCTGTTTATTTAAAAGATGTTCTGAAGATATCTGGTAGTGTTTATACTATTGGTACAGAGGCCATGCAATCAGAATTGACTTTGCAAGGCATCACTAATTTTGGTACTGGTTTAGAAATCGACAAACCTACAAAGAACCAAGATGAGTTGCTTAATATGTTCTTCAGGAATGATGTTGAAGCTGTAGTGGTAGCTTTTGATGAATATTTTAATTTTGTGAAGCTATATAAAGCAGCAAGCTATCTGTGTAATCCCTCCTGTCATTTTCTTGTGTCTACTAATAGGGGAACTGGTGTTCTCTTAGCACCAAACAGATTTCAACCATTAACAGGTCCAATAGTTAATGCTGTGTCCTTTGCTTCACAAAGAGAGCCAGTAGTGATAGGAAAGCCATCCAGTCATATGTTTGAAACTATTCAACAACTTATCCTCACATGGACAAATCAAAGTGCCTAATGATTGGAGATAGTTTGAATGCTGATATAGGATTTGCAAAAACATGTGGAATTGATTCTGCTTTTGTTTTGAGTGGAGTGGACTCACTTCAAACTCTTCAACAAAGACCCAATGACACATTTGTACCTGATTATTATCTTCAATCACTTAATGAACTTAATTTTACTTAATTATATGATCATATTATATTATTATGATTGCACTATTTTAGGATATCAGCTTTTACCTTTTTCACCTTATGTAACAAAGTATAACTGGTTACTGGGAAGAATAGTAAGAATGAAGTCATATGTTTAACCAAGAGGTTTAAGTAATTTGTGTGTTATACCATTATATACTTTGTAAATGGATTCTGTGTTGCTTTTTGATCATTGTTTAAATTGTGATCATGCAGCATGTTGTGTCATGAAGCTGCTTAATGGTATAATAGGTTTTGTTATTGTTTTTGATATTTCTATTACACTCAACAATTAATGTATTGAGCATTATTTAAACTTCATAATATTTTGTTATTGTTTTTGATACATAATAGTTAATGCAATTTATTTCCACAGGCAAATTTTTTAAATTGAATAGTTTGAACTCAATTGTTTTGATGCATTTACATCTATATGCAAAAGTATGAAGACTTGGATATGGGATTCAATTGACATGGTTTCGCTTTTTTACAAAAAGAGAGCAAACGTCAGTAAACTGTAGCAGATTATTGAATTTTATCAACTGCTTTTGATATTTGTTTTAATAAATAAATAAAACCCAGGGTTAATGATGTTATTTTTGATGACATGTTTTAGATTTATATTTTAAACTACTATTTTTAATAAGATTGAACTAGTTATTTTACTATTAATAATAAATTTACTATGTTCATATAATATATGATAATAATATTATTAATATAATTCTGAATCTAGTTAAATTGTGATATAAAATTTTTGTTGTTGTTATTTTTAACTGATTAAAATATGATATAGCACTCATTGTTTTATTAGTATTTATAACTTCTTATCTGTCAAGTCTCTCCACTAGAGTAAGTTTACATTGACAAGGAAAACTGGTCCACATGCTGAGCTTATTTTTAGTATTAATGAAAATGATGAATTTGTGGTCAGATTTATAACACATGTTTAATGCTGATGGTCCTCATGTTTGAGCCATAAATAACATAAATGAACAAAATATATTGCCCTATTTTAATTCACTTTAACTAACTTTTAACCCAAAGTTTCATAATAAGTATAAAATTATATAAGATAAGATACTATAAGACAAGTGGTATCACTATCATTTTTGCTGGTACAACAGCTGATAGTGTTTAGAAGGGTTATGTTGATATGGCAAGATAAGGCTCTGGATTTTCATAGAATACATTTGTTTAATGAAATGTTTATTTTCATTTTCATTTATATAAAGGACGAACAACTTAACAATCAATTGTTAAAACAGTACCAATGTTTCTTAATAATGAAAGTAACCACTGAAGACACTAACATTAACAATAATAAGCAAACTGTTGACATATACACATTTATTTTTTTTTACTTTCCAATAAGGTGCAGAAAAGTAGGATGTAAAAATCTTATTTATTTCATTTCTTGGCAATAAGGTTAAAAGGGGTCTATTATCAGATAATCCGGGATTGTGTAATCTCTCTGGTTATTGGCATAACAAAAAGAAGGGAAATGGACACAATCAAATTAGATAAGAATGTAGAGTAACATGAAATAAATGTAACAAAGTATAGGAATATTGTATTTGAAATGTAAATACAAAAACTTTTAAAAAGTTAAAAATACAAAACAACTATTGCACCGAAATAATAATCATATATCAACAAAAAAAAAGTAGTAGTATATTTGGTAAATAACAACTCATTAAGTCAAAAATGAGCCTAGGAAGACAAACATTGAGACGTTTCAAAGAATTCTATATTTTTTGTCACTTAGAAAATTATTTCAAAGGCCATATATAATATATTTCTCTCTTTCTCTATCAAACCATTCAAGAACAATTATTTCAAAATAAATTAAAAACAAAAATATCCAGATATCATTGGACCTAGATCTAAAAATAACATTGGAAGATAAGAATGTAAAAAGACTAACAGCAGGCTAAAGGGTCCTTTTTTAAAACTTTGATTCAAAATTATAATGGATCCTCAATATAATCTATCTAAATTATGTTATAGTCAGCATTATGGGCAGGATTATGCCATGTGACAGTACGTCCTGATCGTGGACAGGAATGAGTTGGGGTATAGTTAGTTTGAGGAATTACTTTCTGACCCATAGCTTCATTAAATGATGATCGACGTATTGGCGAGCTGTTTGCTCTGATAGGGGGAGTTGGGGATTTTCTTACTGCATTTGACTGCATCTGTTCTTCTCTTTGTTTTTGTAATGTCTGTCGTAGAGTTCTCCGTTTCTGAAATAAATAAAAAATAACCAAAATGGTTTTTAATGAGCTCAATTGGCTTGAATTATTCCTGAATTGATCAAATATGTCTGATTTATTATTGAAAGTAAACTAGAATTTATTTTTCTCAATGTAAGTTTATTTAATAAGTTTAATTTATATTAATAGTATTTATGTGTAAAAAGAGCACAGAGATTATAAAAATACTGAATTATAGGATACGTCCAGTCAACATCTGTACTAATTATAGCTCATTTAGTTATCTATTCTTAAACATGGAGCTTCTCTTCTTCTTTTAAAGTCAAGACTAGCACTATTGAAACACCCCATCGAGAGCTAACTTGAATGAGAAAGAACTATCAATAACACACTCAGTTGTTTTGAGCTGTTGAAATGAATCGGCCATCTAACCCTTTTGACCGTCATTAATTATAATTTGTCAATAATGAACTTATCTCTCAACTAAATATTGGACAAAAAATGTTTGAAAAATGTTGATATTGCTAAAAGACACATCCACATATGCATTCTGCTAATTTAAGGGTTAGATGATGGATTTCTTTCATGGCTTGTGACCCTTCAGTTGACAGTTGTAATCCTCTTCAGACTTTTTTAAGCAAGAGTCTGATAACAATCTATATATTGAAGCATCTATACATAAATAGCACACTCAAGACAATTTCATATCTTTTTATGCTAGTTTCTCAAATCACATGATATATACAGGTAAATTAAATATTACAGCATTTTTGAATTTGCTTTTTCTTTACTTTACAATTGTCAAAAATAATCTAATGAAATGTTCTGATTGTAGATCAAAAGTTTTCGAGACCTCTATTTTCTAAGGGTGTTTTCTAATATTGTCAAAAAATTTATTCATGGAAAATGAGAAACTATTTAAACTACAGAAAACGTAAAGGGGAATTAAGCAAAGCTGTCTGGCAGAAAACACTAATAAAGACAATAATAATAAGCATGCTACAAAGCAAATGAAGCACAAAGAAGATAAATGATTAGTAATTGCCAGCAGTGTAAGACTAAGTCTAGTATTATGTTGCAATTTTTTACTATCATCTCTATTTAATGCACATATTCAAGGTTTCTCCCAGATTTTGTTAGCAACTTCCCAATCATTTCAGCAAAAATTTGCTAGTAGACCTAATTAAAATCTCAATCTTATCATTTGCACAAACTTTGTGTTGAAACCTTTTTTTTTCATCCTGAACATTTTTTTGTAGCCCACTCATTTTAATGTACATAGTAAAATCAATTCATTTGGTGCAATAGTACAAAAGATCAGTTTTAATCAGTAAAAAGTTGATAAGTTATATGACTTATTATTCAAGTCTATACCTTTGGAATTTGTCTTGAAAGAGAAAATATTTCAAAGCTTTAGAACAGATGAAATTTTAGATATAACCAATGCATATAAAACTTAAAATGATTTAGAATGGATAAATTGGGTTGAAATATCTAAATAGTTCTGTTGATTTAAACAGATGAATAGGAAAGGATGGATAGTAATATAATTAAAGTGAAACTAGTTATTGATGAAGGTTTAAAAGTTTCTCTAAGTTAGTGAACTATATAATTAAAATATTATCATCTAAATGCAGATTTCTGGTTAGTGCAGGAAAAAACCTTGATATATCAATCTAATGCAATATTTGAATGTTTACCAAGCTTTGGGTTGATCTACAGCAGTAGAATATTAGACAAAGTTCACACCACCTGCAGGATAGGGTGGTGATGTTCCATCATTTAATGAATGAAGAAATTGCCATGTTGCTCGCAACTTTTTCCGTTTCTGACAATCCAACCAAACATTGAGGCAAAAGAGAAAAGGTATAGAAAAAACATTAAACATAAAAACAAAATTATACAATATAACATGTTGTTTTTCTGGAACTTGACAATAAATAACTGATTCATATAATACTTAAACAGAAAGAAAAAAACTGAAGAAAAAAACTTGACAAAGCACATTAGATGTACTGTAGGCTACATAAAAATGCATTCAAAACATGTTCTGTATCAGGATTGAATACAAGGTTGTCAATCTTTTCATAGTTAAACCACCATCGTAATTCTAAACAAATTTTGATTAAATCATAAGTAAACAAAGATTCTTAAAATCATAATTTCATGGGCAAATATTTTTTTGTTTTTGGATACCTACACTTTGGAATAATGGCCTCAAAAATTCAGGATACTCATAGGACATGATATGTTTACACTAAATTTGATACTTGACACAATAAGTGAACAATTTCATATTCATGAAGATAGACCAGTAAAATGGCAGAAGACACAATTGGTCCACACATAATGATGGCTTATGAATTGCTTCTATAAAAAAGACTCTGAGCGCAACATAACAGTACTGACAAAACAACACCTAAAAGAAAAATTCCTTGAAATAACAAGACATTAAAAGAGAAAAAACAAACCTCAATATTGCCTCTCCACCTATCAGCAGCATTTCTGGCTAGTTCTAATTCTTTTTCTTTCAAACCACGATGACGTTTATAAGCTATTTCAACAAATATCAATAATACCCCAGCAACTATACCACCAGCTACCATCATAAATACACCTTGTAATATACAAATAATATACTCTCAATTCTAATATTACATAGGCCTACATAGGTAAGTATCAGTTCAGCAAAGATGACAAGGATGTTGAGTGCTCAAGAATATCATCATATTGATGTCATTACTCTGAAGACAAGTTGTGGCTCTGTTGTAACATTGTTGGAATCTTATAATATAAATGGCTTGTTTTGTAAAAAATTGATCATAAGTTTTAATCTAAGTTTTTCAAAAAGTTGTAAGTGGGTACAGATAATCTGGTTAAATTCATTAGGTGGTGGACCATCTAAGCATTTTGCTTCCAACTGATAAACCATTACTTTTCAGTCAACAGATTTTAGTTACTCATGCTTGGAGATCAGTAATTTGAAAATTGCTGTGTACAAGTGACAGGGATTGAAAAACAACACAGGGCTAACTCTCAATAGCACTGGTTGTGGCATAAGAATTGTACATGTCTACAGTTTTGGCAATAAATATTTTAAACTGAAAATCAGTAGCTAAACATACCTGCCATATTAGTTAAACCAAGTGTAGCTGGAGCTGAATTACTTTCAGGACAGGCAGATGAACTCTCAGCTAATATCCATTCATTATCTAACTTCTCCATAAAACCCTCTATTTAATATACATTTAAATGAAAAAATATTTATTCTATAACTCTCTTTCAACAGTAACAATTAGTCAAATACTCCATCTTATATTGCTTATCATAAGTATTGTAGTATTGAAATATATACTGTGGATTTTGGAATATAGTCTCATATAGATATACAATTCAAAATTCATATCTTACTTTCATGGAGTTTAAGAATGGCTAATGAAACTTCTTGTGTCCAGGGACTGTTTTTCTGTAAACCAATACCTAACCCAGATCTTCCAAATAATTCACCAGCAGTCACTAGATTACAATCTCTAGCAGCTTCATATTCTAATCTTGGTGAATCCCAAATAAATGCTTGCAGACTCCTGAAAAAATGTGTACACCAATTACTTTTTACACTTTATTAACATGTCTGCCAGGCAATCAGATGCCTCAAATTGAAAAATCTTGAATCACATCACTTTCTGCAGTGAGCCCTGTGTCATCTTGGAAAATTTCTCAACACCAATTTGTTTCTGTTTAGATCATATTATGGTCATATTAATCTTTTATCAACTAAAATGATGAAAATGTAAGAAAAATTTACTCTTGTCGAATAGCTTCAATAGCTTCTTCTGCTGTTTGATAATTCTTATTCTCCATTGTTCTATACATAGTAGATAGTTCAACTTGTCTTTTAAAATACATCTCTACAGCACTACCTTTAACAGTAGCATAGTGATACTTATCATTAGGATTTCTCAACTAAAATGAAAAAATAAATTAAATGTTTTATGTTTTATTTTTCTGCTCTAAATTGAGCTGATGACAATGGACAATTGATGGATCTAAAGCATGCAAGGCCTGTAGCCCACAGGTCTTCGGTTCATTGTCTCATATTCTAGCTAATAGTGTACAGTATTAGGTTTTCCGACTTCTTTTTAAGAAAATTTAATTGAATTTTGATTTTGAACTTCATTTCAGGCATGATTGAAGGGATCTAAAAACGACAAAACAATGGAACAGTTTCATGTATGTTTGGAATAAGAAAAGAATTGGAACACAAATCTTACCCTAGGATCATCAATACCAGATATAGAAGCTTCAGGCCTATCTAACACCAAAAAGGCAGCTAAGTTAGCAGTATATGAAGCTACTATGATCATAGCAAATCCAGCCCATACCATTCCTAATACTCTAGCACTGAAACTTCTTGGTGTACCTATAATGATTGATTAATCAAAATAATGTCATTATTCAAGGTCTCTATTGACCAGTTGAGTCTCATTTGACTGTTAAGGTATCTGACTTGTCTGACTAAGGTTTAAGGAAATGATGTGATATCGTCCCAAAAGTTATTCTAGATTTTCATATCTAATGTCATGATGTGAAAACTGATGAAACAACATGGTACATTTATATATTATGATATCATCAATGATGTAAAAAAAAGGCTTCTCTTGTAGCACTTACCCTCTCCAATACCACTGTTCAACAAGACACCCCAAGCAAACCACATAGCACTAGATAGGTTCAAGGCATCTTCTTCTGTATCTTCACTTTTAGCCAGTTTAAATCTACCAAAGGGACTAAATCTATCTAGTAAATATAATACTAGAGCTACCACATGTACAGACAATCCTACCAATATCCATAATGTATCTTGAAATGGTTGTAAGAATGATGCCAAACTTGAATCTTTAGTGGTCTGGAATATAAATTATGTCATATGAGCTACAATTCTAAATTTATCCATAAATTTAGATATAAATATTTTTGAAGTGTGATAATTTGGTTTACATCAACATCCAATTGAAAAAGTGGAAAAACATAGAATGATTTTATCCAAAAAAATTTTCAAACATCACAAAAATCAGATAAAAAAATATAAACTTAATAGTCTACAAGAAATTGGCTTAAAAAGAGCTATATTTTTATACAATTCATTGGATTTCAAATAGATTACCCACCAAAATAACAACTCTACATATATTCTATAGTCTACACCACTTAGTTTGTTTTCTCATGATCAAAACAAATATATCATCCATACCTTCTTGACAAGTATTGTTAAACCTTGATATTTAAATGGTTTAGTAAAATCTATAACTTTAGCTCGTTCAGGATTAATAGTCAATGGAGCAACTATTAGATCAGCTTTATTAGATAACAATTCACCTATCATACCATTCCAATGTCTCTGTTTAGTACCATTATGCTGTAATATCATACAAACAATCAATTACCAATCATTATCAACTATGATGTCTAGATGACAAGTCAAGTCGTAGAGTAGCATCATAAGTTTTCCAGAAGAGTTAATTATCATGAATTGCCATGCTGGTGATAAAGTTTTTTATTGAAGAGGGATACATATTTACAGTAAGTTATTTGATGTTTTGTCCTTTAATATCAATGTTAATTTGATTAATCATTTAAATGCTTCATTTGTAAAACTTTGAATCTTTGTGGTACTCTATCTGAGTTTCCCACAGAGCACCATCAAATACTACTTCCCTACTTGAAAACACAAGTCTCCACGAGGCAAGAAAAACAGTATAGGTAATGATTGATGATATGGTCAGAATTATTCACTATCATCTTGCAAAATGATTTAAAATATTTGGAAACAGAATTATATTAAAACTTACTCTCTCAAAAGAGCCAAACAGACCATCTGTACTCAAATGTATAGTTAATGTAAAATTCACAATTTTGGATATTTCATCTAACATATCCATACAATAACCACTACAACAATGCATAGTTGTCTCTCCTTAAAGACATTTTTAAATAATTAAGTGCTAAACAATTTTTTTAATGCATGTGAGAAAACAACTTCAGTACTGGTATTATTGACTTTGAACATTGAATTTGACATCAAAATATTTGAAAATCAATTTCTCTAAATTTTGATTCTCATTTTGTGAAATGTTTGATAATGGATACCTATGATCTATAAATTTTGTATACAGACAAAAAATTGGCAATAACTCTTAATTACAATGAAGAAATTCCAGTTTTGAGTATTTCAGAGCAATCCAAAGAAGAGGAACCCAAAACTTTATAATAAATACCTGTTGTAGTATTTAAATGAGCACATGGAAAGGTCCTCATTTTATCATCATACTGACACTTCTCACCAGGTTCTAAAACAAGTACATCAACAAATGGTTTCTCAGCTATAGTTACAACCTATAATAACAATTTTATAATCAGTTATAATATTCCTTTCTTATTCCTCTTTTAGGATTGAGGTAAATATGTTGCTCACAAACCCAAAGATCTAGGTCTTCAACCTGATAAAGACAGAGATATCAATTTTTTCAACCAATATTTTATATTCAGATGTGCTGGCTTCTAAAAAGTGTCTTGGTTTTTTTTTATGGGCAATAAACAGAGGTTCCATGTGTCACAGACTACTTATCATGATCCGTTGACAGTTTATGGGAACATTTACTTGAATGAACCTGCTGATGTTGCTCCTGCTATTATTCTAGAAAATGTAGAAATAGCCATGATTGAAATAATCTGTAAAAATTTCTTTCAGAATATAGACCAATAGTGGTGAATTTAACCACAGAGATCAATATGACCAATTGTTTTCAATCTGTTAGCTATATACATTAAATAATACATACTGTAAGATTTCTGGAGATTTTCTGTCCTTTAGGTTGTACTGTTACTCCACCAGGCCATGTTATTTCACCCATCATTCTTAACTGTTCAGATATATTCTACAAACACACAATAAATAAATGCTTATAAGAGTCAAAAAAGGTAAATAAATTCTTTTATGTAGAAATGAAAGTAATAAAATTACACTTTCATGTACAGGTATTTCATTTCAAATGCCAAAAATTCTGGCTTAAAATTACCCTCAGTATATACAAATTTCAAATGTGCGCATGTGTACCAGAACATCTTCATCATAATAGAGATACCAAGACTATCAGTAATATTTTAAAGCTGATATTTCAACTAACACAAAATTTACTACAGAACATATGACCTTGTTTAGAGAGCATGAAATGGCTTACCTTAACACTACCATACAGACCAATAGCAAACACTTTATTATCCATATTAATATTCTGTATTTCATAAACAGGATTCATTCTATCACCTCTATCATTAAAACTAACATGTCCTGTTTCACCGTGATCTAGTTTAGTTTTACGTAGGTATCTGAAAATTGATAGAATCAAATTTGTTTTCAATAAAAGGGAAAAATAACAAGCAATTTTTACAATTTATAAAAAGAGAATTCGGTCTAGCAATTATGAGAAACAAGTTTTCTACAATTTATTTGCAAGCTATTTTCACATTTTTTTCTGATTAAAACAATTACACCAAATAACCAGAACTTATGTGTCATATATTTCTTAATATTTTTCACTTGAATTAAAAGAAAGAATTATGTATGAAACTTACTGCATGACTCTATTACCATCCTGCCATTTACTGATATCTTGACATTGAGATGGTGGTTTAGTAATATTATGTTCTTTTATTATCTTCTCAAAACCATGTCCTAATATTGATACACTATCACGAATATGAGCATCTTCATTACTACCATTAATAAGATGTAATCCAATTAAACCTAAAATAATGAACTGATTAAGTAATAAATATTCCCTTAAAACTACCTAAACAATAATTGAAACACAATCATTTGTGAAGATGACCATAAAGGTCCTAGGCATGTGTGCGGTTTGACTTGTATTGCATGTTATTTTAAGTTACACATTATGTTTTTATAAATGTCTATGTTCATGTACTTGTCAGGAATTCCTTATAAACTTTGCAACTAATGTATGATTTGCTCTCATAGTCCATGGACATGTAAAAAGTACCTTGAAATGAATTTGTATCTTTTATGTACAGAAATTAAAAAAAAGTATGTCACCTATGGGTGCACTTAATGCTGAAAAGGCTTGTTCAGTGACAATCCAGGCAAAGTCTTCTCCAGTGAGCCTCAAATTGTTGGCATCTGTATAGAGCTGTTCGGCATCTTCCAATCTACAGTAAACATTAGAAAAAGAAAAAACTTGTATTCCTGATACAAACTCTTATGGGAAAATCAATTTCAAATTTCAAATACCTTTATCAATATTAAGTTTTGGGGAAATTTTGATAATTTGAGATCAATTTGAGCTATAATATCACAATATAATTTAACTTACGAAGCTGACATCAATATAACTCTAGCTTGAGCAGAATATAAGTTTAATAATGATCCAGTATAGTTCGACTCTCCTGGAATGTATTTCACCACCTTTTCAATCTATAATAAAAAGGATAAAAACTAAAAAATCATTTCCTTTTGTTAAATTAAAGGAATACCTGCATATCAATTAACTCTAATGTTTGCTTTCTCCTTAAAAATTTTTATTATCAAAAGCAACTGAGTTATTCTATAGAGATGTAAAGGCAATGTGCTTTTACTTGGACAATGGACAACCAAGTCTTTCTTTATGGGTATATATTCATAATTAATAAATATATAGGTCTAATACTGGAAATCAAACTTACTGTTATCTTTAATGGTTCAGCCACTGTTTGGAATCGACTCAATATACTTCTCCCTTCTTCATCAGTTCCAACTATCAATACAACTTGTGACCATTTAAAATACTGTAACAATGATACCCATACATCTGCTTGGTGAGCAAATGGCGGTACAGTTCGTAAAAATGTTGAGTGAACATTCTGAAAATATGACAATTGTAAGTAAAATGATATTGAATTCAGTACTGGAACTATGTGAGAGAGAATCAGATCTGTGCTTCTCAAAAAGACGGGGATATGTGGACTTATTTGAATTTTGCAATTGTGAAGATAATTTCAATGCAAAATTCCTGCTACTGGTATTGGGTTTAACTTGGTTGTTTTGTCAGGTAATAAAGCCTGTTTTCTGAAATTGTACAAAGACTTTGCTTACAGTACCTGATCAGAGAAAGCACTATCTCTTGCTGTAATACCAATAACAGGAATATTATAAAAACCACAAGTATAGGACACTGATATTGGTGATTGGTTACTAGAGTTAGGATGACTAGCTATTACAGCAAATATATTCTGTGGTAACAGTTTATCACAAACATCTAGAGCAGACCGTATAGGGTTGGCATCCATTAATATGGAAGTCGAATTGAACACCACATCAGGTGAAATGTGACGATTTAATGCAGCGACTGCTTGACGAAATATATCTTGATGATGTTCCGAGCTTAATGCAGCTCCTATAGTAACACTGAATGGCTTAGAGAATACTTGGTTTACAGTTCCAATCAAAATCAAAGTCAGAAACCATCTAAATTGACTGCTTGTATCCATTTTAATTCTTTTTCACTCAAAAATTATAATCAATCTGAAATGATACAAATGACATATTCCATGAAAATTAAATCAAATCTTAGTGAATGACTGAGGTCATCTCCAATGAAGTTGGTCTAAGACAGTGGTGTTTCTATGAATCATTAGATGAGGCTGAGAACTTACAATGCTTTTCATTTTCATCTTGATTGATCTAGGATGCATTGGCATTGCCAAGCCTCTCAAGACTGGGGGTACCAAAAGTGGACAGATTGACATAATGGGGGACAATGCCAAGGTTCAGATTCAAATTGTGGCAGCTCAACAAGATTTTGAAAAATAGAATTTATTTGTTGCATTCTTAAAGAAATGAGGTAAGTGGAGGTAAAATTGGGGGTACAAGAAACCCTTTTTTTAGGGATCAAGGCAAATACTTCCCCCTTGTATAGCCACTGCAAATTGTAGGTTAAAAGGAACCAACAGTGGTGTTTCTGCAGAGGGTCACAGGTTGCCCTGGTTAGGCTCCCCTTTCAAATTTATCATTTTACCTGGCCTGTAAGTCCCCTCGATTTTTTTGTGGCCTCTGCTTTGCCCTTCACCTAACGTTTCCCATCATCATTTTGGTTAGGAACCAAGACTCCAAAGAGTTTAAATTTCTCTTTTAGATGTTTCAGAAATTCAGTCAGACTTTGAGACTCTCAAACCTTCCAAATAAAATAGCACTGCAACAATCTTATTTTAAAGAATCACTTAAATGTTATTTCATAACATCGTTTATCAGCACTATACATGTATATTCCTTAAACTTTATTGATTTTAAACATGTAATAGACTATTATATTTTATCATGCCATTCAATAATTCTTGGAATACTTAGAGACTCATCCCTCTTCTCATATCTTAATTTCAACAATGTTCCATTTAACTCCATGCTATATATGGATCTGCCTGCAAGGCAGAATCCAAAGAAAACAGACACATTTTCAGAGAAAGATATCAACACTGACAAAAATTCCTACCTTTTACATTTTTACTTCTGTTTATCGTCGATTCCATTACATTAAAGCACTGAGCCTCGATTTCAGCTGTAATTGGAATTGGTAATTTGTAGACGTCACGTGACACAGTAGCTGGTCGTTATGATCAATAATGCTCGTAAGATAAACGGTAGTTTTACATCTGTTAGTATAATACATAGTATTATATTAGCACGAGATCAATTAATTATCCATTATAAATATTTTATAGCTCTCTATAAGTAATGACATTCAACTATCCAGCTATAGGTCTTTGAATCAAAATCGGTGAAAGGGTGTGACTTGATTTTCACTAGGGTACCGTTAAATGTGTAATCTGTGTTTTATTGGATACTGACATTACTTGAAATATAAGAAAATCATTAGAAGTGAATTAGATCTACAATATATTCAATGTCGAAAAGACATTTAAAAGATATTATATTGAGTATTAGACTTTTCATACCCCCAAACAAGGAGTTTTAACCCCTGCACAAACAATAATATTACCTGGTAGGTCTACCCCTTCACCTGAGATCAGGCAAGTGTGGGGAACCAAAACTCCAATGGTTTGACAACAGAGATGTCTAGAAACTTTGGTTTAACGACATAACACTTTAACTTCTGGGATATTATCTGGGTCTTCTCAGACTTAGAGCTTAAGGGTACTGTAATATTGTAGTACCTCGGTCGGTTGGGACGTTGGAATCTGAGCTGAGCTGAGCTTCTAAACTCTGAAGTTTTAAACCTTCTAAAATCCGATCGGATTAAAACTTGACAAACGATTTGATATCATTAATCTTTTCTTGTCAAACTTTCAGAAAATTTGAGTTCAGATGATTCCAGCTATGGTTGTTTACATATCAAGTTTTCACAAACTTTCAAGTATTTCTGTCGTGCCGGGCATAGAGATATTGTAAATAAAAAGAACGAATTTAAGAGAAATCACAGCACAGTTTGATTTATATTTCACGAGCCAAAAATTCAGACTATTCTTAATAAACTTCCAAATAGATGGAAGTGCCATCAATACGAATAATTTAGATTTCAAACTCAAAATAAATTTGAGCAAGATTATATTTTTGGATAATGCCCAAGGACTCAGTGAGAGCTATACAATGAAAATGTTTTTATATTATAAACTATCTCCTGGAACCCCAATGAGAGCTATACCGCGAAAAATACATATACGCTTCGGCGTCCACCAGAAGAACCCATAACTTACTGAAGGCTTTACAGGAAAAAGTTGCCAAAAGAACCAATAACTTGGAGAGCTTTACTGGGAACAAGTTACACTTTAAACCCTATCCTCGGTACCCGCGTTGACCAGAAGAATCTATAACTTACTGAGATCTTTACAGTGAACGGGTTACAGTTTATACACTATCTCCCGGTACCCGCGTCCACCAAAATAACCCATAACTTTCATGAGAGCACGTTACATTTTAAACCCTATCCTCGATACCCATGTCCACCATAAGAACCAATAACTTACTGAGATTTTTACAGTGAACGGGTTACATTTTGAATAGGTTTGATTTTGTAACCTATCTCCCGGTACCCGCGTCCACAAGAATAACGAATGACTTAATGAGAGCTTTAGAGTGAACCGGTTACACTGGTAAACGATCACGACCAAACTCTTAAAAGTTAAGCACTTTCGATAGAGAGTTTCAAATACCCAGCGACTATTAAACAAAGATACGTTTCGAAACTTCCCTCAGAAGCTTTTTAGTACTCCCTGACACCTCGCTAGTACCCCAGTGTAGGTATCCAAGTGTCTTAAATATATATGACAACACAGTTGTGAACTAATTTAATTTATTTGACCACTGTTACATAACATAAATAATACATCTAGTAAAACTGTGACTATAATATATGATGAATACAAATCTATATAGTATTTCTATTCACCACATATATAGATAGAGCTAATATTTCTAGCTTTATTTATTGTAATATTGAAATATAGGTTATAATTACTAGGAATTAAATAAAAAATACACAACAATGAAAATAACTGCAAGACCATTGAATGAATAATCGACCACATATATTTTTTTTAGTTTAAAGTAATTTACATTATAATTTTAGATAACGTTTGCATGAAAATTATATACACATGTGAAAAAAACATTTTTATATTACTTACATACAATATTACCCCTTATTTCTATTGAACTATCAAATCAAAGCTAGGTGTTATCAATCTATAAAACTCTACAATCTTATTGGGTAATTGACAGCATCTTCATCATCCATATATTATACTGTAGTTTATTTCTACTACAACTCTTTAGTTACGCTTGTCATAATCATCCTTCCTTAAGGATGCTTAGAAAAGACCTCGCACAAAAAAGCAAGCACTCTCATTTCATAGGCCCACCGGCCGGGCCCGAGAGCGTTGATCTTAGCTTTTTTCATCATGTGACGGACAGTGCCGCTACGTGGTCTTCCTTCTGGTAATTTTGTTATTGCTTTCCTGTAATAAGCGTTATTGTAGATACACGCTTGACGAGGAAGGCATGGAGATTGAGTGAGCCAAGACTTGTGGCATAATTTTTCACACCCATGGCGTCCACCCTTCATACAGTAGGGCCAGGTTTTCAATATTAGTGGCATCTTTTATAACATAATCAACCTGAAAAAATAATAATAGTAATAATAATATCTATATTCAGTATTTCACCAAGTTGGGATGCCATGTTACATACAACCTTTTGAAGGTCATTTATACATTTTGCTTGTCCATCCACTCTTGTTCATAAGGAAATGATTCACTTCCATGACGACTGGTGCTATATATCACATGTGTTGATTTAAAAATTATTACTAAATTACTTATTGTTTACTACAGATATAGAACATTTCACCAACTACAGTATCACTATTACTATATGCTTTATTTCTCTTATAAGAGACTTTTGGACTGTTCTTAGATTAACCTTAAATAACTGTTTCTAAACTGATAATAATTTGTATATACCTGTTCAGCTACTGATAGACGTTTATTAATATCAGGATCTCTACCATCTAATTTCATCTTAACTCTTCTCCATACACCTACTGCATACGTATTTCTTTCTTGTATAGCTAGAAATATATCATATCTTAGTTTTAAATCTTACCTAGGGTCTTCTTCTCAATAACTTAACTAGATTATGTTAGTATTCTAGTCATCTAGTCAATCACAAAGCAATTTAAAATTTCGTTTTATTAGCCAAGTTTTTCTTAGTTTTGGAGAATAAATTCACTGATAGCTGAAAACTGATATCTTAAATTTCTAAGAGACAGACAAATATGAAATGAAAAATTGCTGTTATTCAACTTTGATTAAATACTGAGTATAAATTTACGAGAATCATTAATACCCTACCTTTTCCTGTCCTGGGATCTCTGGCAATTTTATCTTTCTTTACAACAGGGGCTGCAAGAAATAAATAACATCATTTCAAGCAATGAACTCAAAACAACCATATAATAAATAATAATTAAACAATGGTTTTCCAATTTCAAACTGATCAAATGAGAGAACAACTTATTTGCTTAAATACAATTAATAAAAATTGAAATCATGGTAGACGGCAGTAAATTGGTTTGTACACAACCTTGGTATTGCCAAAAAGCAGTCTGGTTTGTTTGAGAATACAATAGAGACTACAAAAATCACATATTTGTTTTATTTAGAGTGTATTTGATTGTCACAATCAACTTTTTCCAGTGTCTGCAACCTTATTTTTCTTACCATCTTTAAATGACTATAAAAAAAAACAATTTGAAAACTTACTACTCTGTAGTTTAGAAGGTATATTTTGAGAACTGTTGGGTGGGGTTGATGCTACTGTATCTTTATAGAATGAAGAAGGCTTTCTACCTGGACTTGCTACACCATCACTTTCTTTTATCTTCTTAGTAGCTAGAATGGAATAACATCACATTAAGACCTCGGATAACACTACATAACTGATTTCAAAATCTATTAGGTGCAAGGTGTACATCATGTTTGTTGGTATTTTAACAAGCACAGTGAATATGTTGATTATCTTAACCATGCAGTCAGCTTCACTTTCACACATATTCCCAATTTCAAGCTATTATGAACTTTGTCTTGGATAGCCACCTTTCTTGTATCATGGAATGCAGCAATTTGATTGGTTTATAATCAGCAAATAATAGCCCTTGACAAACTGACTATAAACATTATGACTTATTGTTTACAGACTTTCTGTAAAGAACAAACCTATGCAGACAGAACCAACACATTTAAACAAAAATCTTAAAATAAACTCACATATATCTTTATCAACCAAAGTTATCAATGGTGGAGCTAAATCAATCAAATTGTCATATATCCTGTAAAACAAAAAGTATTTTAGTTCAAAAGCATTGCCCTTTGAGAGGGGAGCTTAATTTCAATTTCATATGCAGATCACCTATAAAAGTTTTTGCTAAATAAATCTGAAGGATAAGGATGTTATAAAGTTCCATAATACAAAACCATAATAATCACAATTCAAGTTGTTAAAAAGAAATTACATTGAACCATTCATTTCTGTTACTTTTTTTCTTTGAAGTAAATGTTCAACACCTATGAATGATTATTTACATTGAGTTACATCTTCTTTAAGTGAGATATCACACAATGAGACCAACTATATTGTTATGCATTTAAAAGAGTTTTTCATTGTTTACCTAATATCATATTTTCAACAAAGGATTAATCAATATCATTAAGTAGAAACTTACTGGGGTATTTCTGTCAATAATTCAGTCATCACAACTCTAGATTGTTTCATATTCTCTCTATCCTCCTCATCTTGTATAATACCTTTTAATACCAGTGATAAACTCTCAGAGAATGTCTTATATTGTACTAGATATTGTCTAATACCACCCTCTGTAATAACTTCACCATATTCTGTCTCTTCTTGCTGTAAGTTATATTATCAAAAACTATATATGCTATAGGACAATATAACCTTAATAAAACCTGAAACATGTTGTTACTCAGAGTTTCACGTTGTGCGATCTTCAGAACTGTTCTTTTTCATCTTGTGTCACTATTGTATTTTGTAAGTAGAACATGTTCTTGAGTTTGCACTTTGAGTCAATTACAGATGGTTTGTTTAAACATGTGTGCATAGGTGCTCAGACTGAAGATTGCACAGTGTGAAAATAAAATTACACAAGCCTTTGTTTAGGACATTACAATGATAAAAAGAAAGATAAATATTGCTTGTTTCCTTACCTTGGCCAGTGATTTTAGAATTGATCTAATATCTGACATCAATTTATGATGACTACTTAATATAGCTTTAATATCATTCACTTTATCTTGACAAGATATCTAGAAATTAAAGGTAAATTAGGTAATCCATAAAGTACAAATATAAAAAGATATCCCTCAATTATATGTATTGCAGAATATCTAGATCTAATAACTCAGATATTACTAATTTAACAGGATATCAAACAATTTAAAATGTAACATGATACCAAGAGATATAAATAAGACAGGATATCTACAAATGACAGGATATCTACAAATTATAAATAAGACAGGATATCTACAAATCATAAATATGACGGGATATCTACAAATTATAAAGATATCTACAAATTATAAATAAGACAGGATATCTACAAATTATAAATATGACGGGATATCTACAAATGATCAATAAGACAGGATATCTACAAATTATAAATAAGACAGGATATCTATAAATTATAAATAAGACAGGATATCTACAAATTATAAATATAACAGGATATTATAAATATGACGGGTTATCGACAAATTATAAATATAACGGGATATTATAAATATGACGGGATATCTACAAATTATAAATATGACGGGATATTATAAATATGACGGGATATCTACAAATTATCAATATGACAGGATATCTACAAATTATAAATAAGACAGGATATCTACAAATTATCAATATGACAGGATATCTACAAATTATAAATAAGACAGGATATCTATAAATTATAAATAAGACAGAATATCTACAAATTATTTAAAAAAGGAGGGATATCTATAAATTATCAATATGACGGGATATATACAATTTATAAATAAGACAGAATATCTACAAATTATCAATATGACAGGATATCTACAAATTATAAATAAGACAAGATATCTACAAATTATCAATATGACAGGATATCTATAAATTATAAATATGACAGGGTATGTATAAATTATCAATATGACAGGATATCTACAAATTATAAATAAGACAGGATATCTATAAATTATAAATAAGACAGAATATCTACAAATTATCAATATGACAGGATATCTATAAATTATAAATAATACAGGATATCTACAAATTATAAATAAGACAGGATATCTTTAAATTATCAATAAGACAGGATATCTATAAATTATAAATAAGACAGGATATCTACAAATTATAAATAAGACAGGATATCTATAAATTATAAATAGGACAGGATATCTACAAATTATCAATATGACAGGATATCTATAAATTATAAATAAGACAGGATATCTACAAATTATAAATAAGACAGGATATCTATAAATTATAAATAGGACAGGATATCTATAAATTATCAATATGACAGGATATCTATAAATTATAAATAAGACAGAATATCTACAAATTATAAATAAGACAGGATATCTACAAATTATCAATATGACAGGATATCTACAAATCATAGACAAGACATGATATTAAGATTAAGAACTTACTTTCTGTGTTTTAAACTGTGCTAACATTTTATCATGTTTAGTTTTATTCTCAGTGGTAGAAACATCAATAACTTCTAAACATTCTTCTAACCATTTATTATCAACTTTACCATCTTTCTTTAGAGGCTATAAAATAGTTGAAATGACAATGTAATTTAATTTGCCTTAATATGTAATATATCCGATTATATATTAACTTTTAATTAACTCTAGAAAAAATTGAGCTATATTAATATTGCAATCGGAATTAAAAAACTAACCTTTTTCTCAACTAGTTGTAATTCAAGTGGTGTTACATAACTATTACATGTTTCCATTAAAACACAACATTCCATACACCTATAGTAAAAAAGTATAATTCAAATAATGAACTCTTACAGAAAACAATAAATTGTTGTAGTTATAGATCTTAATTACATATTTATGGGGCTTGCAAATTATCAACATGGAGATTAAAGGGGGGAGGGGGGGTAACATTAAATAAAGTCTTACCTCTTGATCAATGTATGAAAGTTATTATCAGAAGAAATAGCCTCTGATGTTCTTGTTCTCGATGCTTCAAAATGTAATATACCTTGACACCAATTAATAATATCTGTACATCTCTTTCTTTCTTCCTATTAAAATAATAACATAATCTAGATCAAACAACGGAAAGCGTCTTTAGAATCGAATGCCTTTCAAGTCCTATTTGACACGGAAACATTTTCATGTAAAACATCTACCAATTAATTTGTACATGAAATGTTTGCAATATCAATCAATTCTTCATTTAAAGAAGTAATTTAAATAACAATAAATCATTCTACATTGCAAATATTTCAAAGTGGTTCATTCTAAAAAGCTGTATTTGAGTAAAAAAGGATGTTAAAATATATGTCTTTGTTTTGGTAACTTTTAATAATTTCAGAAGGAAAATCCTTTTGACTTTTTAACTGTATGAGAAAAAGCACACTTACCGCTAACATTGTCTTTCTATGTTGACTAGTCTCTTCAAATTGTATGAGTATGAGATTAAGATTAGGATTAGCTCCAGCTGCCCAGCGTAATCTCTGAGCTATACTCTCTTCATGTTGAAAATATTTCTCTTCACTAGGTAATACTAAACTTTCTTCACTTGATAAACTCTGCATACTCTGTATTCATATTAATTCATATATGTTACTATTATAAAAATATAAACTCAACAAATTCCAAACAGTGTCAAGTGTCAGTGTCACTAATTTTTCTCAAATTTTAAACTGTGAATGGTTGTGCAAAAGAGGGATGACATAATAAGCTTGTTTCCAAATCTCTTGCAGTTATTCAATAAAATATTGTTTCTGTGTTAACCACATAAAAGGATTCAAGAGATGATTAGTTAGTGTTTTAGGGGTACTTTTGGCTCTATTTGAACCATTTCCACCGTCTGTAATTCCAGAAAAACTTGGGCCTATCACTATTACAAGATTCAATCAGAAAGAATTATAAGTAGTAGGTAGTAAAGAAATGCAGTAAATGTATACCTTTCTAATATCTGACATAATAGTAGATCTATGAGGTGTTAGTAATTGGTTACTAGGACGACCAGAGCGTATAAATATATCTTCATGTAACCACTGATATCTAGCTAGTTGTAATGTTGTTCTCTGTATAGTTGACTGTAATAATCTGATATTACTATCTAAGCGTCTGAAATAGAATTTACAATTTGAAATTCTCCATCTTTATACAAATAACAGAACTATTTGGATGTTTTATAGCAAGCTTGAGCTTCAACATGGCTACAATGGTTTTATCCTCATAACATACTTCACCCTTTAAACACTGAGTGTGAATACAATAAAACTTCATATACCCTGAAGTGAATTATGTGAAATCACTTGGTAACAATTGCTTTATTGGTGGCCTTGTTTTGTGACTGATAGAGAGTCTGCTAATGTTGAAACGGTGAATTTCATTAGTTTCATTTTTATTTTATCAGAGCTAAATGTGAAAATTTCATTAAAGACAAAATAATGCTTTAATTGTTGGTAACATACCTAGCTAAATCATGTTTTCTCCATGCAGAATCATAACCTGTAGTCAGTGATGTGGCTTGCATTAAATGTACATGTTGAAACTGATTATCTCTCAAACATATATCAACTCCTTTCTTACATAACTCATCTAATGCTACTTTAGATTCAGCTCCAATATCTTTAGATTCAATCTCAGCCGAAACATTGAGACTTAATGTATCTATCAATACACACATTAAATAGCCCAATATCTGAGATGGAAAACCAATTATCTGTAACAAAAATTAAACTATCACAAGTCTCTTCCAAATACATCTTATTGCGCATATTCAAGTTGCCAATTTAGGTATTACCTAAGATTTTAAAGCTATCATGATTAAATCAAGTCAAATTTATGAATTTCAAAAACAGAGAAAGTATGGTTACATTCGACTATTGCTCTCCTTTTTCACTACTAGTGGTGGCAGCTTGTAAGAAATATGGCATATCAATACCAAACAAACAGGCTTAAAAATTTTGTTTGACAATTCTCATCTTATGAAAGCACAATAGCTTTAATTGCTTCATTAACAAAAGTATCTGTACAAGTAATGACACTCACATTCATGTGAATGAGTATGCTTATGCGAAAGAAAAACAAGCATGTTCTAAAGCATTTCCTAGCTCACCTGTTTTCTCACATATTCTGCTATAAATTTCTTTACAGGTTTTGCTAGTTGATCATCATCATAACTTACACCTACATCTAGTCCTAAAGTTAACAATTTTAGTATTTTACTATAAATATCATATAAAGTTTAGTGTGGTCTTGAGATAGTTTTGAAGTTGAACAATATTTAGAGAGAATTATTCAAACAGAGAAAAGTTCAGACTTCAACAAAATTCAGACATTTTACGTCAAAAACGACAGGATGAATATCTTACCCTGTAAAGCAGCAGCATATTGTGTCACCATATGAAAGAATTCTTGCATGGCTTGAAGTCTTCTTACAAAAAATATGGCTGACAGTAAGTTTCTAGTTCCACTGGTAAATGAAGACAGCTGAAATTATGGTAAGTACTACATGAATATTTTGTATTAATTATGTATATAGATGCGAAATGGGGCAATATTATCTAACAGTAGACAATGAAAAAAGCGGTATACTTTGTGCCTCTGCTTCTATTTTTTACAAACTTATTTTTGCACATCTATATTTTTTCAAACATAACGACAGTATATTATGTTTTGGGGTAGATTGCAGCCTACTGGCTCTTGTATTGAATTCATTACCAATCAAATTACCTGCAATGCCTTAGCATCTCTGACAGCATCAATTTTCTTCCAGGATTCTGGTACTAATAGAATAATGTGATCTATAGCTTCCATCAAGATATTAAATTCATCCTCTAGTCTTGTAAATAAACCATTAAAACCCATCAATAACATCTGTCCAGTAGGCATATCATTCATATTCTTCTGTTGTAATAAACTATTAAATCTCTTCTCTAATCTTTTAACAGTTCCAACAATTTCTATATTATCATTCTGAAGATAAAAATAGACATATACAATAATTCCATCAAGAATATATGATCATGAAAACTGATATAGGGTAAGCAATACATCCCTTTCATCTATGTCAGCAAATTCATTTCATATAATGTCAGCAAATTCATTTCATATAATGTCAGCAAATTCATTTCATATAATGTCAGCAAATTCATTTCATATATATGTCAGCAAATTCATTTCATATATATGTCAGCAAATTCATTTCATATATATGTCAGCAAATTCATTTCATCTTTGTCAGCAAATTCATTTCATCTTTGGCAGCAAATTCATTTATATGTCATCAGAGTCATTTATATCTTTGGCAGCAAATTCATAACATTATGTCGGCAAATTTATTTTTTTCTCTGGCAGCAAATTCGATCAAACATGGTAGGAAATTTCATTTTACGCCAGAAAATTCATTTCATCTATGTCATCAAATTCATTTCATCTTTGTAGGCAAATTCATTCATCCTTGGCAGCCATTTTTTTCATCTTTGTCATGTCAATCCCTCCCTTCCCAAAAATTATTAAGTATTAATTAATACAATGTGACAAAACCAATGAGACAGGAAATGGGTATCACCATACTTACCTCAATTCCTAGTACAGCATTTCTATGTAGATTTTCTAGTTCTATCAATACTTTATCTAGAGGTTGGTTGATATCACACACCATGGTCTCTAGCTCTGTTAAAACTTGTAGAAAACTCTGATCTTGTGATTGTATTAGTTTTAATGTTTCTGGTAATATCACTGTTCTAAAGTTTATATTCAGTTCCTGAAATTGTTTCATACAAAATAACATTTTTATATCTTTCTACAGATCTCTATGCATAAGGTTTACTTTAATAGAGAGGTAAGTGAGATCTTAAATCAGTGAATTCTTGAAAGAATCTCATCATTGTGTTAGAGAACCAGCAAGAAAATAACAACCCAACTTTCTCTGGGGCTCTTTACTGCCTTAAAAAAAAAAAGAAAGACTACCTTGGCTCTATATGCATCTTAATGTACTGAAGTCAAATAGTATATGCTCTATATCAATTGACTTAAAGAGAACTCACCTGTAATGCTACATATGAATTATGTGTTGATGATAAAGCATGGTGTAATTCTTTAAAATTCTCCATATCACTTGTCTAAAATCATAACAAATATCATATGACATCATTAATATAGTTAGGTTTCTAATATGCCTTTGAAAGATCATTAATATAGACAATCATTCTACAGAGAAAATAAGATAATAACAGTGAAATCAGGTGTTTAAAATAAAGGGCTGTATTCATATCATTAGGATATCACTAACTATCACTGGTTAAACAACTATTTCAATTAGTATTGATACACTTAGATTGACTGTCATGATCAAGAAGCAAACAATAAAGTGAACATACCACCATATTGTTTTTTAATGTCATAAGAAACATATTGACATTTCCACTCATACTACATAATTCATCTAAAAACCAGTCACCATCTCTAGATGTTAAATCCATTAATCTATCACCAGCTCCTACAATAAAGAGGAAGGATCAACAATTAGCACATAGATTTCTTTTAATAATATGATCCAAGTCATCAATTTCCAACCTGGTCATGCTTTGCTGTCCTAATATTCAACTGTGAATGACACAAGGAGGTTTTTTAATCATTGCACTATGTTGGAGATCCTGATAAAGTACATTCTTTAAGTGAGTTTCTGTCTAACGTTTCTGATATTTCAGATAAACTGGTCACAACTGTGTATTTTGTATGGATATCATAAAGTCAAGTTTTTCTTAGAAGAAAACAGATGATAATATACCTGCTGCAGCTCCCTCCATCAATAAATATCTTTTATTTAATGAACATAAAGCTGTTACTATCATACATACTAGAGAGCTAACACCACACATACCATTTTCTATAATGTAATAAATACAGTACATGTACAGCATATGACAGTTTTTTCAGAAAATGATGATCCAAAGTTTTAAGGGCATTCCTTCATGCTGTGGTTGACGAGTATAAACAAGCGGTTTAGCCTAATAAGCCAACTGGATGGAAGCCTATGAAATCTACGTTGGTTTCATTTCATTATTGATCAAAAAACCAGATGAGCACCTTTATGAGTCAACAGCTGAGCCATTCTTCACAAGTAACTGATATCTCACAGTTTGCACTGTGTTTGCTGTGAAATCATTTGGCTGTGACAATTGGCATGCGAGACAAATGGCTTAACAAAAAACAAAGTGTCATAATATAATTTTGTTATTACCTTGTACAAATTTCTTGATATCATTTTCACCTTCATAAAGTTGCATTTCTAACACACCAGTTTCTACAGTCTCTAAAGCTCTTCTTTCAATCAGCTAAAAGTATATATATAAAAGTATAAATGAAGATTGTCCTAGTAAAAAGTAATCTGTAATTGCTATACACACAAACTTTATCGTATATCTTTAACTAATTGCATTAACAGTAATTTTGCTTGGAGATTTGCACTGGATTGCCAAAGATACTTTCATTCCAACAGGCTAGAAATCTTTAAAAAACTAATAAGAACAACAAAGAACTTTATCATTCATAATATTTTTGCTTATTGCATGTTGCCAAATTCTGAGGGCTACCTTCATCATTTTACTGTTATATTCTGATATATAAGCCTGTAGTGTAGTTTCTGTAGATACTATTAGTTGAGTTTTCAGTAAATGTGTATTAGAGTTGACACCATATTCTTCTTGAAATCTTTTTAATAAGCTATCACACCTAGAAATATCAAATACATTTATAAATCACCTTGATATACACCAATTGTAATGAAAGAATTGAAAGAGAAGTAAAACTTTATTATGACAAGAGATCATCTAAAGATACCTACATATATTTTGAAAAAAAAAAATTCAGCATTATAAAAGTTGGAGTTTCAAACTGAGAGTGTTTATACTAAAAAAACAGTAATTACTAAAAAAAAAGTAAAGAAACAGAAATTCATTTCTCACAAATTTAAAAATAGGATTTTAATATATTTTACCTCAAAATATGTGTCACAATGCACCAAAACAATTCTATTTTTCACAAGTTTTCTCTCCATGGGAGATTTATGCTTATTTGCTCAACAGAACTGCCACGTTTAAACCACAACCTTGAAAGTTGTCCCCCCATTGAGTCAGTATGCCCCCTATTTGTACCCTAGTTTCTGGAGGTTGGCACACCAGTGTAAAGATAACTGGTAGATATACAAATGTATCATTGGATGCAATAAAGACTTGTTTATAAAAAAAAAAAAATTTGACTTACTGTTGAGATGTAAAACAACATAATAATTCTTGTAACCATATCAAATATTGAGATGTTCTACATTGTAGAGCAAACTGACTACCAAACTGGAAAAAGGAAAGAACAGCTTTTTATTTAACATCATATGAAATTTTTCTAGAACAGATTCATTGATTAGCAAACACTTTTTTTTATTGTTTACTGTCAAATTGTCTTTACATTTAATGTATACAGCTAAAAGCTTATACTCAGTATTTATTACTATTTAATGAATATAAAATTCTAAATACCTGTGATATCATATTATTATAATTAACTAATGTCTCTAATGTTGAATGTATCAGAGCTCTTCTCTGTTGAAGGTGATTATTTAGCTCACTTTCTAATTCTTCACTCTAAAATTAAAACATAAACAGGGGCTATCATAGAGTATCAAATACTTCAACTGCAACTTGTGTCAATGGCAATGTGATCAATAGAACAAAATTTATAGATGGAATTCATTGGGTTCCTTCATTTCTAAAATAAAACCTGGAATAGTTGACAAACCTGAGACACCATCTGTGACTGTCCAGCACCATGTAAGAAATCAGTAGCAGCTGTAAAACTAGGTACACCCATATCAAATTTTCCTGTTACATCTAAACACATTGACTGTATAGCACTACCTTGTACATTCCCTATTACATGCTGGAAATAATCAAATACTTAATTAGACATCTTCTCAATACCAGACTCTTGAAATGACATTGGAATGCCACAATGAAATGATTGACTGAAATGGCATGACAGTAACCATGAATTTGTGACCATATGAAGTAGCATAATTTGGAATTGTAACCAACTGTAATTATATGAAATTGTGATTGATTAAAACAGCATAACCTTATGATCAACTGAAATACATGACATTGCCCTTGACTGAAGTAGTATAACACTGTGATCAACTGAATTAACATGATATTTTAACTAACAGAAATGGTGCAACATTGTGACTAGTTCAATTTGTCTTGTGATATCGTTTTCAAATTGACTGGATCTCATTTTCCTCATTAAAAGGAAATTTAAGTATAAATTGAAACTAATTACCTTATGTATCTCTTGCCAGTTTCCAAGTTCTGTTATAGTTTCTTCTACAGCATGTTGAGCTGAATCTTGTGTTGATTTTACAACAGAATATTCACCATATCTACATAAAGAATTAATCAATGTTCCTTATCTTTTAACACCTTTGGTGAATATGCTATAGTTTACTTATCGAAAATTTTGTAATCAAAAAGTTAAAGAAATGAACTTTGACTGAGCACATACACTGCTAAAAATGTATTCAAATTACATTCACAGGATATTGTAAACTAATAATATTTAAATACAGTTTTTTTTACCAGTTGTGTCTTATTCATGGCTGTTCCCACTACCCAATAAAAAGCTGTTATGTTAATATTTTTCAACTATCGTCAAATCTTTGTTTGAGAAAATAAAAAGTGAGAGTTGTGTTTAGAAATGGCGAAGTTTAACTTACCTATCTTGTAAGGTATATATATTATGTTGTTTATTTTTTAAGGCCTCTTTAATGAGTAGAGAAAGTGATTGAAGACAATCTGTATGTTGTTGTAATGTTGTGTATTGTTTATCTGTATCTAACCATTTATCAATACAGTCTAGTAACTTTGGTATACTACCTACTAATTCATCTCTGTAAAATAACCAAACTTTCAAAATCAAAAGAACAAAAAAAACCCCCAAAATAACCCACTTTTAATACATTACTATTTGATTCTACTCTACGTTTACATCAAATGATTTAACTTTATTGGAACTCAAGAGTATAAGACATTTTGTTCTCATAGTAACGTGTTCCAAAGGTATTGATAAATGGAAACATAAAACCAAAGGACTACACATTTTAAAACTGGGTCTGATGCAGCAAGTTTAATGATGCTTTGACATTTGGGTCTTGTTTTATATTGTCACTGAAGTTGATATCATTAGTTGAAGCTGAAGGGCTTATGTCATTTTTCATGTTTGATAATACGAATCTAGAATAATCCAATCAAAACACTAAAACAATAACAATACTGACCTATTTTTATTCCACAGAGCCTTCATTTCAGCTATTCTGATTGAAAACATACTGCTAGTTATTTCTTGTTCTAATTCTTTTCTAGTCTTTTTACTATCAGGTTGATTAGATTGTAATGTACCACCACCATAGAAAGCTCCAGTATATCCTCCCTCATTACCAGTTGTCCAATCTACTAGAGGATCATAGACAAATGCTTCCAATAGAGTTAATAATGTCTCTCTTCCTTTTCTCATTGTCTTTAAAACATGTTCACTGGCTATACGAAACATTCCCTAAAAATAAAAGAGTTGCCACAGTGTAAAAACATAAGTATCAATATATTAATTATACACCATCTGAGCATTGGAATATTTGAAAGTGTGTTAGACTTAAAAATCTATTCAAGCATTTGCATAATGCAAGTTTTTAGGTAATACATCCTGTTTTCAAACTATGCATTGGATGTTTTTACAAAATTTTAAGGAAAATAATAGTTACCTCTACACCTGTTAAACCAAGTGCTGTTTGTATATTGGGTGTCATTCTGAATGGAACACGTTCAGGTACTCTCAAGCCTTTCCCTTTCTCAAAACATACATTATAATCAATATGGACCACCTGCAATAGAACAATATAACAATTAGGAATTTTGGAGCAGTCTTGTTTCAGGACCATGAGGAAGGACAACAATAATAATAAAGTCATAGACTGATCTTACCTCTCTGGTAGCCAGGTCTATCAATACATTATCTAAATGTCTATCACCTAGACCTATAATATAACCTATCATAGACTGATCTTACCTCTCCTGTAGCTAGATCTAGGTCTATCAATACATTATCTAAATGTCTATCACCTGGACCTATAATATAACCTATCATAGACTGATCTTACCTCTCCTGTAGCTAGATCTAGGTCTACCAATACATTATCTAAATGTCTATCACCTAGACCTATAATATAACCTATCATAGACTGATCTTACCTCTCTGGTAGCCAGGTCTATCAATACATTATCTAAATGTCTATCACCTAGACCTATAATATAACCTATCATAGACTGATCTTACCTCTCCTGTAGCTAGGTCTACCAATACATTATCTAAATGTCTATCACCTAGACCAATAATATAACCTATCATAGACTGATCTTACCTCTCCTGTAGCTAGGTCTAGGTCTAGCAATACATTATCTAAATGTCTACCACCTAGACCTATAATATAACCTATCATAGACTGATCTTACCTCTCCTGTAGCTAGGTCTAGGTCTACCAATACATTATCTAAATGTCTACCACCTAGACCTATAATATAACCTATCATAGACTGATCTTACCTCTCCTGTAGCTAGATCTACCAATACATTATCTAAATGTCTATCACCTAGACCAATGATATAACCTATCATAGACTGATCTTACCTCTCCTGTAGCTAGGTCTACCAATACATTATCTAAATGTCTATCACCTAGACCAATAATATAACCTATCATAGACTGATCTTACCTCTCCTGTAGCTAGGTCTAGGTCTACCAATACATTATCTAAATGTCTACCACCTAGACCTATAATATAACCTATCATAGACTGATCTTACCTCTCCTGTAGCTAGATCTACCAATACATTATCTAAATGTCTATCACCTAGACCAATGATATAACCTATCATAGACATGACAGCCACTGATCTAGAGTAGGTTTTTGTCATCAACCACCATTCACTAGCTCCAGTACTAGAACACCATAACTCCCTATAACATAAATGTTAAATGTCTTACTTAAACTTATGATAATTGTACAGCATTATATTCTGAAGAAAAAAAATTTTGTTTCAAAAAAAATCTGAGAAGTTAATCAGCACACTTTCATGAAGATCTTACCTAGCTAACAGATCAGCAGGTGTTTCTTCCATTAACTCTTGTAAAACTTTAACTAGGATATTTAGAGGCCATTCTTTACGATTATCTAATGTATCTATTCCCTAAAATAACACATTATTTATTCATTAAATATAAACAATCACTACAATACATTATTAACTGTCAATACTCAAAATATAGTAAAACTAAATACAACTAACATAAACAACAATCCTTGGGAGGTGCAGCAGGACAGGTTTGTGAGGATATTGAACTCCATGCCAGTTTTCTCGGTAACACTTGATCATTCAATGTGAATTACGCTAAAATTTTCCAAAATATGATATTGCATTAGAATCAACATATACATATATGATACCTTATCTTGTAATGTACAGATATATTACCTTATCTTGTAATGTACAGATATATTACCTTATCTTTTAATGTACAGATATATTACCTTATCTTTTAATGTACAGATATATCACCTTATCTTTTAATGTAAAGATATATTACCTTATCTTTTAATGCTGGTGTTAGTTTATTATAAAAGACTTCACTAGGTCTGGATATATTAGGTGCAGTGTTTGTACTGGTACCAGTATTCTAGAATGATAAAAATACAGTATAATCTTACAGTAAAATCTGGATGTGATCTTGAGTAAACAGAGTAAGTCCCTGACTAAGTGATTTTAAACTCTCTGATAGAAAAAAATATTTGCTGTCATTTAAAATTCACAGTGAGAAAAAATAAAGTAGATGTTTTTAGCTACAAGTCTTCATCTCTTTTAGCTTTAAATGCTCAATATAAAATTTTCATATAACAAAGCATTTACCTTCATAGTCTGTGCTAAAGCTTCTCTCTGTTGCCATTTTTTATACAGACCAAATAATGGCGTAGCACCTTCAACCCATTGTATTAAGCCTGACCTAGGTCCTAATGGAGTTACTGAATAATGTCTCGCTCTGTATAATTGATGAGAGCCTCTGAAAATACAATGGTTATTTTAAATCAGAATGAGAAAAATGTACGACAGCAAAAAGGAAATTTCATATTTTACAGATTGCAATAATTTCATTATCTTGAACTGCATAATTAAAATTTTAATTCAACAAATATGTAAGGAATTACTAGAGAGTTCAGTAATAAAATCTTAAGAAGGACCAATATTATCACTTTGACAACACAAAACGTAGGAATAGATCTTCTTTTATTAGTCCAAACTCCTGATAAAACAGGGAATATTCTTGCAGTTCAAAACTTTCATCTGTTATGTTTTATTGTTTGCAAATATGAGTTCTATTAGATAATAAGAATTAACTTACTGTTTAGAATTAGCAAACATATTGTTTACAATACTCAAAAACTGCATAATTCTTTCATCTAAATGCAAATCTTCTAGTCCTTTAAATAGGTAGGGATATCTGAAATATAATAATAAGTATTAATTTATTAACCATTTCTGTTAACCATTGGCAACAAATTTGCTAAAACAAAACAAGCAAACAATTATATTTCATCAAATATCGCTTTAATGGCCCCAAGATAGAAACATACCAAGCACTATGAATGGGTTGAAAATATAACTAACAAACATTTAGACTTTTATCAAGGTTTTCTTCAAACTATCTCATAAAATATCAACTCACTTTCTTCCATCAGAGCCTAAAAATATGAGTTTTTTAGGTTTGGTTTTAGTTGGTAATATTTGGGCTGTATTACACACTGAATCAATGGTAATAACCTACAATAATAAATAATATTTTATATTGATTAACAATTCAAATAAACACATGTTTCATCTATACAGTTCTACAGCTAACTATAAACAGAGGAAACAAGAATCTATTAGAATGAATCCACCCAACAATAAAATCCCTAGAACTGTAACTCCTGAGAGCACTTTAAAAATGACACCTCAAAAACTATAGAAGTTTCTACTGACAAAGATTCTGGTCTCCTGGCCTTCATCTTCACTGTACTTAATCTTAATTTTAGCATACTAACCTGTCCGATAACACCTAACCCTGGCATTGGTATAACAGATGATTCTATAGCTGATAGTTTAGGACTGATCTCTTGTATTCTTAGTATCAAACTATTTCTTTTCTGAGCTCTCTGTTGTAAGCTACTGTGGATCTATCATAAAATAAAATCATAGGTTGAAGGAAATTGGCAAAAACTGATTGAGACTGCATGCTTAATATTTGGAAAAGATTTTGACAAAATTCAATTCATTTTCATACCTGTTTAAACAACTGCCATGTTGAATTAGGATTACTTGGGTTGGGTGGGTTTTTCAATCTCTTTAAAGCGTCTTTTATTAATTGTCCATAAGTTTCTTGGAACCATTTCTCATGATTAGTCTCAGCTTGTTGACAAGTTATTTCATCTAATCTTTCCATAGTGTACAGTGTCTGAAAATAGAAATCACATGACATGAAAACACATAATCATTGAAGAAGATTCAGAACAACTTTTCCTTTTGAGCATGTGAGATGTTTTTTTCTGTTCTATAACATAAGGTATTCCAAGCCATCTACAAATGTTGAGATCTTTGGCTTATGAACTTTTGATTAATTGCTTTATACTTTCCTTTTGTTTCTGAAATAGAAATCTACTGTAATATTTAAGATCAAAGTCTATAATATTGTAATATTGTGGTCTTAATATCAAGTCTGCATTAAAAGTTATCCCCCTTGAGAGAGATAGCTGATAAGCCTGAATAAAGACATCATAATTTCATTGAGTGTGTTTTATTTCTGAATCCAAGCCATCCTGGAAAAATCAACCCAAACAGATCACAACTTACTGGCTTCATAATAGTTCTATGTTTCTCTCTAATTATGGCTGTCTTCTCTTCTTTCGATAGAGAATGATTATTGTTGACTTTCTTGACTTCATTATCTAATTGACTTAATCTTCTAACTACATCTTGATGGTGTTGATTTAATGTTCCTAACCATAATTCATCCCATAATACAGTTATTCTACGTAGTTCTTGTACCATATGTTGAACCTCCAATATCATTCTGAAGAAGTTGAAAACATTTTTAAATTATAATCAATGTTATATTGCTGTAGATGTATAGCTATGTCAAAGATTCTCCCTATTCACTGTATTTTCTTCACATGCTGATTTGAAAATAACTTTAAGGCATGAAATCTTAGAGAATTTCATCCAATCCTAAGTGGCACTGATGTGTATGGTACTTACTGTGATTTATGTTATAATGTATGATATGTATGATACTTATGGTGAATAATGGTGTTATAATGTATGGTATGGTACTTACGGTGAATAAAATGATATGTATGGTACTTATTGTGAATAATGGTGTGATAATGTATATGTAAGATGTGATAATGTATGATATGTATGATACTTATGGTGAATAATGGTGTTATAATGTATGGTATGGTACTTACGGTGAATAAAATGATATGTATGGTACTTACTGTGAATAATGGTGTGATAATGTATGGTACTTATGGTGAATAAAATGATATGTATGGTACTTACTGTGAATAATGGTGTGATAATATATGATATGTATGGTACTTACGGTGAATAAAATGATATGTATGGTACTTACTGTGAATAATGGTGTGATAATGTATCAACTATAGCTGTTAAACATGACTGTAAGATAGTTCTTGTTGGATCATCATCAATATCTCCTTCATCACCCTGTGAGTTTTCATCATCTTCAACATCATCTTTCTCAGATAAATACTCATTTAATATTCCTATAACAATAAGATAAACTACTTAAACATGTTGCTGAGAAGACAATGGGCTACTTGTCATTCCATCAAGTCAATATGTCACACAACTTAGCAATATGGCCCTTGCTGGGCAAGTTCCTGTATAGATTACAACAATGTTATCTGTTTCTTCTGAATGGTCACTTAGTAGAGCTCATAAGAAATGCACAAAGCTGTCTCAAAAGATTTAATCATTTTCATCATAGAGATATTAAAAAGTTCACACAGTAGATCATTCAAAGTCACGTAACATAAAAAATGCTGAAAATAAAAGAAACAACTCACCGCTCTGATCAGAAACTTTATCAGTAGTAGTAACAGTACTACCAACTACAGCAGGATATACTATCAGATGTGGTGCATCTTGTGCTACACGACATAACAGATCTGATACACTCTGTCTAACATAACTTTCAGGATGACTTAATCTTGAAAATAACTGGGGTATGATACCTGTAGACCAAAACAACTCAATTATCAACGCCATAGAAATAAAAAGGTACATAACCAAAGTGTGTCCATTGAAATTTTGGAAGATGGTTTTAAGATAGACATGTTGATCAGAATTGAACAAAGTTCAAAAGAAGATAACTAAGTTAAAACCTGAGGATTTCACTCTGCCAAAGTTGTTTTTCTAAAGCCATCACAATTTAGCCAAAGTACCAATATCATAAAGATCAGAGAAACTAAAGATGTACCTTTCCAAGGATTGGTAGGTGTTTCAGCTAAACCAGTTTCCAGGACAGTTCTCAATTCCCAGGCATGTTTCACTAGTAGTCTTAATAATCTTAACGTGGCTATAACATTACTATCTTCATTATCAGTTTTAGTTCCAATCTAAAATTTAAAATAGAAATGAATAACATGGCAAATGGTAAATGGGTTCAATAGGCATTATTTCAAAGAAGAGTAGTTTCACTGAGAAGTTGATGCATGTTTTAAAGGTTCTTCTTATATTTGGACCTTGAATATAAAAGCAAATAGTGCTTGCGTGTATATTGTGTTGAAACGTTATGTGCCCAACCTTATTAAAGAAGTGTGTTATATTCCATAATATCGTCTTGTGTTTTTGTTATATGTGCTCCTCGCTTCTATATGTCGTTCAAATCTTAAATCACAGATAGAAGGCTAAAATTTTGATGGCAAACTGTGATCACTATTAGTGATTAGCTTAGCTAAATAATTTCCGTTTCTGAGACAAAGGTGTATGTAATCAATCATATGGTGAACATGTCCCTTTAAAAAAAATTTCAGACAATGAAAAAGCTTACCTTTCTATTGAGTTGAAGGTATTTAAAATATGATATAGCTGATAACTGATAGTAATAATATACTCTAGATACAACTCTCTGCCAGATTAATAACAGAGAATCTATAATATTGTCATCTATAGATTGTAATGATTGACAACTAGATATTAACTGTTTACGTGTTGTTTCTGTACCATCATCATATAAACTCTATAATTATAACATAAATTATATTCACAATGACACACAACTTGAGAGAATGTCAAACTCAATGCTAATTATTATTAATATAAGATTTTATATTCTTATCACATCAATTACCAGTCACAAGCCACATGTACAAATTTCAAATGATACTATTGGTGTGAAAAACTCTTCAGAAGGCAGTGGTAAATTTCTAACTATTAGTGCCCACTATAAGAAAGTTACCTGATCTTGGTCACTAATATCTTCTTCATTAGAAACAGGACTGTGAACTTGACTTAATATACTGATGACTTTCTCACATTCATCTAGTGGCATTGTCTAATAAAATAACACAAATACTTTCAAAATTAATGAAAGATGACAATTAAATAAACAGCTTTCTGTTGTAACTTGTCAAAGCATGCAGAACATTATTCCGTTTAATTAATCACATGCAATACCTGATACAACTGCTTGTTCATAAAACTCACTTTAATAAAGTAGCATCATGATGGGGAATCTTTGTTTTGTTATATTCAACACAATATTGATTACACTCATACCAAGTTTTGGCAAAATTCGTCAAGACATTTGCCTTGTAGAGTGTTTAAGAGCAATTGTGTACTGATAGACGAACATGTGACACCAATATACGCCTGACACTTCATGTGAGCTTATAAAAATAAGAAAGTCTTACATTGGGTAAAGCATTCAGTATATCATTCTTCTCTTCTAAAGATAACTCCATACTACCATGACTGAAAGAGAAATGATTATCAATGGTTTTAATCAAGAAATTTTCAATTATAATACTGTCTAATCTCTTTAGATTGCTGACTAACATTTTAAATTGTGATGTCTTAATTAGAGAGAAAACCAACACATACTAACACAATTACACAAAGTTCCATTATTCGGGAAGATATGACATGATTACTGTATTGAAATGATTTACATTCTACTTTTGTCCATGCATTGTGCAGTGTTCTAAGAAAGTGGTTTAAGCTTACTCTTTATCATTTTCAACTGTTGAGGCATCTTAATCATGAGTAGTACTAGTGTTTACAATCATGCACAGCCTAGAGCACACAATGCTTTATTTGACAGTCCCATTCTAACAAAATGCTTTTTTCCACGTCATGCATGATGTGCATCTCTTACTTGGGAAACCAGGTCTGAAAAATCTTGACCTATGAACCCTAGACTTTTAGGTTAGCGAGCAAATGTCTATCTCACTGAGCTACTACTGCTCACACACGATGAAACTATCTTAGATCCTTCAAGATGTAAACGTAGTATATGTGAATTACCTGGCATTATCAACAGCCTTTCTTCCCCATTTATAACACCAGTTAGCTAGTAAGAACCAAGATTTAGCTAGTTCAGGACATTCTATTGTACTAAGATGTAGTAATCTACCAATTACAGCATCACTATCAGATATCATATTACTACTACCTATCTTTAAACCTAAAATAATATCAAAATATTCTCAAATCAAAACTCAGCCAGGGCCAGACTTACTCATCATACATCAACATAGAATGGAATTGTTGTTCCTGTTTTACAAATGCTGATTTGACTAAATCAAGGGCAATTACTTCAAAACATTTCATCTAAATATTTCACCAAAATATTCTCAAATTATTTATACAAATTTTAGTGGACATAACTTTTGCATGAAAACATATAAAATATTACCTTTGTCTCCATCAATAACAAAATGGAGATTATTTTGTGATGTTTTATCTTCTATTTCTAATAATGATTGAATATTCTTTCCTACAATACATATACCATTACCATCTCCTTGACTACCCACCATCTTAATATTACTAATAATACCATTCATATTCTTACTATCAACTTGTAACCATTTTACTAATGTTAGTAGTGACCGTGACGATAGTTCTCTTACTTCATAATTCATAGAGGGATCTTGATCTTTACCAGACGTCATATTGTTAATAACAGTACCAGATAGAATGTCCAATGAAGCCTTAGTCTCTCCAAGATCATTAAGAAGCTTACAACTTTCTCTGTCAATCTTCAATATATCCAGTTGATTACCTCCAACATATGATTCTCGTAGACTCCCTAGAGCTGGTATCAGATTTTTAGGTGTTGGTGGATGCCCATTTTCTGAGTGTCCCTTGAGTAAGGTAACTTGTCTTATGAGTAATTTCTCTGCTGCTATAAAGTTGCCTTGTTTACGTGCCACAGAAGCAGCATTAATATGAACTCGGGACAACTGTCTTAATAGTTCTACAACATAAAAACAACAAATTTGCAATAACCAATTTAAGATTTTATCAATAACCCTATTGGATATCCATTCAAATGGCAATGGCCACTTTATCAAAGAAATATGATCATAACAAAATAGATCATTAAGAATAGCAAACTGGAACCATTAATGAAAATATTTAGATGTGAGTATTTGACTGATGTCAGCTAATATTGATCTGACAATTTATCTGTGAAAGGAATGATATAAAAATATAAAATCTACCTGTATTTTTATCAGTATTAGTCAGACTAAGTTGTATTTTAATCAACCGTAATATCTGTAATAAACTGTCTAATTCACAGTCATTTTCACAACTATCATCTGACATAGGACATAATATTTTCTGAAAAAATAAAAGTAGAGTATATGTACTAGAAAGGTTGAAAAAAAATCATAAGAACTTCAAAGAATAATTTTTATAGGATATTCAAGACACTGTAGAGGGAGTCTTTTGCTGAACGTACTGTTTATCTTAATTTTCACTTCAAGTGAGAAAGTTACTTAAACTTTGGCAGTTCCCCTTGTTGTATATTAACTCAAAAGTGAGCTACAAACAGCTAGATAGATATTGATATTTACTTGTAAGCACTTGTAAATCTGAATGTGACTGTACTTAGGAATAATTGACTTTGCTCTAGATATCAGAATTTAAAAATGTTTAATCTTGATGAAGAATTCAATCATACAAAACGTCCAATAACTTTATTGATCTTTCAGCAATGCGAGAAAATTCACTGAACATTATGTACATACCCTTTGTTTTTTCTCATCTAATTGTTGTCTGAGAGTAGATATTGTACCAAGTTCTGTCAATAATTGTGGTGAGAAAGCTGGGGGCCATTCAAATGAATTGACATGTAATAATCCTTCAGCTAGTCTTTCAGCATTTAATAAACACTTTACAGCATCAGATCTGAATTAAAAGAAATGAATACAGTATAAACATCAACCTTCATGCTTTACAATGCTTGATTCCTACCATCATTACTTTTAATGTTGTTTGTCGATAAATAGTCAGTGAATAAATACAGTTGCAAGTAAAGGGAGGTTGATTTTACTATAGATTAGTAACTTTAGGACCTGTTTGATACAGGATTGCAGTTTTATAAGGATTTTCTTCTACCAATCAAATGCTTATTTGTTAAGTACTTTTCAAATATGCTGGTTTGGAGGGGATGTTGTTTTATAAGGGATGCAGTGAAGAGAGTTTTCACAAAATTTTCATGGTAAAATAGAATAAGTATTACCTAGCAGTAGTAGATTTAGTATCTTGTAAGATAGTACTAGCCCTAATAAACTGTTGATGTATATGATGTATTTCTTGTTGTGGGTTCCAGCATATATTATAATTATTATCAGTAATATTACAGTCAGTAATACTAGCTCCTGGTATCAACTCTAAACTCTCTTTAACATTACTAAATTTACCTTCATCAAAATGGCCTAGAGCACTGAAATAATCAAGAATCATTCATTTTTATACATTATTAATCCTCAAAAAAATCTAGTAAGGACAATAAAGAGTAAAGAAGTTTTACATGATTTCGACATCTTACTATAGATAATTAAGATCCAGTGTAGATTGTCCACAGTTTTGAATTAAAGACAGTAATGTAAACTAACTTACTGTACATATATAATTAATATCTATAAAATGTAAACTGACTTCCTGTTATAATTAAGATCTACTATAGAATCAAAGGCAGTATGAAATGTAAACTAACTTACTGTATATAATTAAGATCTACTATAGAATCAAAGGCAGTATGAAATGTAAACTGACTTACTGTATATAATTAAGATCTACTGTAGAATTAAAGGCAGTATGAAATGTAAACTACCTTACTGTATATAATTAAGATCTACTGTAGAATTAAAGGCAGTATGAAATGTAAACTAACTTACTGTATATAATTAAGATCTACTGTAGAATTAAAGGCAGTATGAAATGTAAACTGACTTACTGTATATAATTAAGATCTACTGTAGAATTAAAGGCAGTATGAAATGTAAACTAACTTACTGTATATAATTAAGATCTACTATAGAATCAAAGGCAGTATGAAATGTAAACTGACTTACTGTATATAATTAAGATCTACTGTAGAATTAAAGGCAGTATGAAATGTAAACTACCTTACTGTATATAATTAAGATCTACTGTAGAATTAAAGGCAGTATGAAATGTAAACTAACTTACTGTATATAATTAAGATCTACTGTAGAATTAAAGGCAGTATGAAATGTAAACTGACTTACTGTATATAATTAAGATCTACTGTAGAATTAAAGGCAGTATGAAATGTAAACTAACTTACTGTATATAATTAAGATCTACTGTAGAATTAAAGGCAGTATGAAATGTAAACTAACTTACTGTATATAATTAAGATCTACTGTAGAATTAAAGGCAGTATGAAATGTAAACTACCTTACTGTATATAATTAAGATCTACTGTAGAATTAAAGGCAGTATGAAATGTAAACTAACTTACTGTATATAATTAAGATCTACTGTAGAATTAAAGGCAGTATGAAATGTAAACTGACTTACTGTATATAATTAAGATCTACTGTAGAATTAAAGGCAGTATGAAATGTAAACTAACTTACTGTATATAATTAAGATCTACTGTAGAATTAAAGGCAGTATGAAATGTAGTTAAGGTATTCTCTGTTCTATACTGATTCATCATTGCTTGCCATTCAATAACAGATTTCCAATCATTTAATTCCATATAACAATCAGTTATCTAAAATACAAAACATAATTTTCAGGTGTAATTTAAACTTATATAGCTATAATCAGGCACCCCTTTCAAAGTTCTTACTTTATTTTACAAGGTTATGGTTTGATGCTTTTTTACCATATAAGCTTTATAACTCTGCATTTTATTACTCCTTGCCTGCTTATTCCTACCCTGGATGCGTGTCAAAAAAATAAAGAATTTTTGTTTGTTCCGATGTTACATCTCAAATGATCCACTCACATAATATCTAACTGAAATAAATTTTGTTTCTCATGCACCTTGACTTATATTTTGGTATGTAGGTGTATTCTCTAAATTTTATTGTAATAAACTGACTTACCTGGGAACTAAGAAAACCCAGTATTACAGGAACTGTTGAGGTTTGTTTTGGATTACCACCATCTTCAATTTTATCATTATTATCATCATTATCTTCTACTATTGATGTTACATGTATCTTTAAATCTTTTACAGCTGATTCAAATCTATCATAGAAAAACATCAATTACAAAATGACTAAGAAGACAGCGACTTCCACATTGTGAATGTGGGAATGTGGTCAATCAGAAGATATATTTGAAATTGAAGGACAGCTAGACCAATCTTCTTTCATGCAGTGAAAGACTGTCATTGCCAGCAAGGAAATATTAGGTGCACGAGAACAGCTATGGAAAGTATTTATATCATTGATTCTATCAAACTGATTAGATACTAACTTTCTATTAGCTATATCAGATGCTGTTCTCATCCATGGTAATTTTCTACCACAACTCTCTCTACACCAGTTATATAGACCTATTATACATTCTGGACTCTTTAAATCTATCATAGCTTGAACAGCTTGTACTAATACTTTATCAAATAGCTCAGTCTACAATAATAATGAAATAGATTTAGACACAGACATGTTATAAATATATAACATTCATCACGCAATCTATGTTAATGATGAAATACAATAAAAATGCCACGATCAACATTTAAATTTCCATTCTAAAATTTTTTCTGAGCTTAATATAATAGTTATCTATGCCGGTAGGCAAAAGTAATGCACTTCTGAAAATACTGATGAAACTTAACAGACACTGGCAGTTACATATTCTGTGGTCTGTAAACTCATACATAGTTTTACTACTTCTTTTTGTTGCTTTTAAGTCAATTTCACATATAAAGGCATTACAAACTAATATGTACATATATATGATACATTCACATCTATGTTTCTTTTGCTTTTCAGTATATTACCTGATGATGTTCAGCCTCTGCCATATCTTTTAACAACTGAAAAGCATGTCTAACAGCCATAGCAGACATACCAGCATTGAGAGCTGTAGTTATAACACACTTTCTTATTCTAGTTAACCATTCTTCACATGTACCTCTATTAGTACGGAAAAAAGTCTTTACAGTCTGCAATGAATTGTTTAAAGTATTACCTTAGTCATAATACAGAATCCGATATGGAAGCATCCTGATATAAGTAAGGACTTAAACAAAAATTCCAGAAAATCGAGCTAATTTGCATAGAAATTTTCCTGACACTTGAAACTGTAGTCAGAGCTCTTATCAGATATACTGGCAAATACAGATAAATCAAAAGCCCTGATCTCAACTTCAACTTTTTGCAAAAGAGATAGGAGTTAACAATTGTACATCAATTGTGTATACTTTAGGTGGATCACAAGCTTATATAATGATTAAGATCTTCCAGCCAATAATTAATATGTTATTAATGGCTAATTCTTACCTTGGGTATTGCAGGCATAGCTACAGTACATCCTTCATAAGCATTATATAATATCTTCTCTAGATTCTCCATAAAATACATTAATAACTGTACTCTCTTTAAACATGTATACTCTCCTTGTTTCTCACCTAAAATATTATTATTTTATTCATGTAATGCAAGGTGAATAATCCCAATTGCTACCGACTAAGTTATTCCACTGCCATGGTAAACAATGACAAGAAATAAGAATATAATTTGATACAAAGAAAAGAGATACATACCTTTAGTGGACTCTAAAACACCAGTATTATCTGTAACTTCTAGAGCAAACTGTTTTAATACACCCTCTATAGTTGTAAAGGTATCTTGTGGTTTACCTAATGGTGTACGTAACCTAGACAGTATACAGAACTGAGCTGCTTCCCATGTAGCCCAGGACCATAACAATGATTCATTACCATCAATCTTAAAAATAAATCCATAAATGTGGATAAATCGAAAAAACAATTGCAGAGTATGCAGAGTTGCATCTCAAAAAGATTTTGTATTAAAAATTTACATTGACCTGCCCTATCAGACCTAATACCATTCCAGTCAATTGCAGTTTAGTCATCTTCGAATCGAACATCATATGTAAAATGTCAATATATAAAATAGTATAACATACCAATAGTTGAAGACAGGTTGTTTCATAAGTTTTATCTGTATCTTTATCAGATCTTTGTGAAGCATGATACATAGCCTGCAACCAGTTTAATACACCAAGTTGACTGAAAAATAATCATATTCAAATTTAACTAAGTAATTACTTCTATCTAGGTCATTCGAACTTGTCTGTAAGTGTAGACATATATTACTATATTCAATTTTACCTTTACCTATAACGTTACTGTTAGAGTGAAATCTTTTAATTCTTCTTGCACTATAAGTTAAATGTACTAACCTTGGAGATGTATTATGTAATATAAATGATATTACATGTCTGAAGTTATGAGAATGAAATGTTCCTAATGGTGTACGTGACATATGACTTCGTCTTGCTAACCACAATGTAGTTATACCAATAGATTTATTGTATTTATGATTAGCTAATCCTTCTTCTTCCGCTTCAAATATTTCAATACTGAAAGAAACAAAACATTTTTAATGTATTACCTATACTGCAATACACAAATTTTAATTAACCCTTTCAACTGTCCAAAAATTTCTTCATAATTCAGCATATTTGATGCCATGAAGTTCAATTTCAATGCTTTAAAACGGTTTAAATGTGATCTGAAGACTTGTATACCCTTCTTAAAAAGCATTGATTTAAAATAATCAAACCAACCTTGTTGATACATTGAGTGGTAATAACACTAGTAAGTTAGTATAGTAATCTCTGACATCTTTATTGATATCAGATAATCTATAAACACACAATTCTAAACACCTGAAATATTAGAAAACACATATTGATATATTACATACTTCTAAACACGTTATTAGAACCACATACATTTAACATACTATTAACCACTTGAACATTTTGGTCTAGACAAAACTCCAAACACAGAAATATTAGAAAACACATTCAAATAACATACTTCTTAACACCTGAAATATTTTGATTTACACATCCATATATCACACATGACATATCTTATAACACATATACATGACCTATTTGTTATACAATATGTTATAACACGTTGCCAAGTAAATAAAAACACATTCTTAACAAAATTTGATTACAATAATCAAAATATACTTACAACTGAGTTATTTCAACATGAAATGTAACTTGTGTTTTCAGTATGTTTATAAGACATTGACAAACAGTCATATAAATATTACTCTCTTTGTTATAACCTTGAGATATTACAGCCTTTATAACAGCTAGAAACTGTGGACATGTTAATGCTAACAATGATGTCTGCAGAGGGTTCACAAGATCTGATACCCATTTCAAACACAAGCATCTACAATATAAATAGATACCTTATTAGACAGGCTAAATACAGGATGCAATTGAAGAAAAGTTTTAAGGACTGTTGACCAAGTCTAATTTCCAATCATCAAGACACCTCAAAAGGCCTGGTTGGTAGAATAAAGGCTTTGGTTTATATACCGAGATATTCATCACCTTTTCAAGGGTATGCCCATAGTGCCCTAATGATAGAAATGTGAAATGTTCCAAAAGAGACAGTATAAAATTACCTTGTATCATATGAAGTATGTGTATCCATTAATAGTTTGTGTATCAACACCAGTATTCTATCTAGATAATGTTTAGTAGCTTGACTAACACCAACTAAATTCTCTGATTGATATGATGCTACTATCTCACTACTTGATATAAAGAAGTCATGTCTGAAATGATAAGAAAATATATGGAATTTACATACAAACTAGGGTAGTGGAATAGTTCAGTATGTAGGAAGTTTGTTTTCTTCTAGGCAAGGCAATAAGGCGCTGTGGGTTTGTATACTCAAAAACAGAAAATTCTGAGGCTACTGTCAGTTTGACCAGGTGTCAGCTTTCACCAGAAAAAAATATCTTTACATTCATGATCTAAATCAGTAGGTTACCTTTTCCATCAAATTTATTGGATTTGTTTTTTTACTCAAGCAATCTTTTTCCAGTTGAACATTGACCATCAACAGTGGCAGACTGACAAGAAAATACATTTTTGAAAGGTATTTACCTGATACAATGAGAGTATAATGTATGTACTATAGAATATTGTACAGCTGGATAGGTACTAGCTATATTACTATTAGTTGGTTTTAACTCAGATACCAATAAATCAAATACACTTGGTGTTAATGCCCACATCTAGAAAAGAAAAAAAATTCTTATAAAAATGCTGATATAGAAGATTCTGCCTGAATGTTCCATTAAGCAAATGGACCAGAAATATGGACAAAAATATCTGACGGTTTACAGACTTTAAGTCAAAATTGTAGTAGAGTGTACTAAGCATTATCGATCAAGTATGACTCACATTTTAATTACACAGACCTCTTCATTTACATGCTCATCTTGTTCAAACAGATCATAAATAAGATAAATCTAATCACTTACCCCAAAGAGATTTGACTTTGTATTAGTAATTTCAGTAATAGCACAAGTATTAAAGATAATAACAAGTTCAGCTTGTTTATAAGTATAAACTATATCAGTATAATGATTAGAGCTAGTTAAACTGATACGCTCTTCAACATGATCACTGAGTAGTGTATTATAGGCTATCTCTATATCACATAACATCAATCTACAAAATACACAAATCAAACAGTTTTACAAATAATAGCAGCAATACATCAAATTCCATATACATCATAGTTTAAACAATACAAAATCTGTAACATGACTACAATTGTCATTGATAATAAAACATTTTGAGGCTAGTTTGTATTGCAATGACAATGTTAGAAATACCAATGAACCAAGTAGGTTATAACTCTATAACAGGGGTTTTTAATGCCAATGGCTAGCTTGGTAAAGATGATGAAAACATTCCAATAATTCACCTGTAAGTTTCTTCCAGTAAAGGAACATTCTTTAGTCCAAGTAATGTATGATATACAGACATCAATTCATTTATCACCTACAATATTAAATTGATCTGATGTCTAAAATAATTTATTTCCTCAACCAAATCATTATATAAATTTGTATATAAATAGAATTAGAAACAATGTTCAAACAATTCGATTTTTCAATAATAAATAAATTAAGCACGGAGAAAACATTATTAACTGTCTTGCCTTCAAACTATTGTTATGGTTTGGTATATGTCCTTCAAGCATTATTCAAACTTTTATTATGCTTTGATATCTGTCTTGCTAGTTCTATTCAAACTTTTGTAAATTGTTATGCTTTGGAAATACGCGTCAGAGAAATAGGGCTATATACCTCTTGAGATTGTGAAAATCTAGCTGTTCTCAATAATGATTGTGCTTGAAGAATATCTGTTAAAAATGGTACTGGTAACTTAGTACTGTAACTTTTGATAATCTACAAAATAATTACAACAATATTATATATGACAAATCACTAAAATTACATTTGGTGCCCACAAAATTACACTGGTTCACAAAACAATACAGTAACATTGGTTAAATCTGAATTGACAGAGCAATAATTGCCTTGGAAATCCTAATTGAACTTAAATATCTTTGCTTCTCAGTGAATGCCCCACAGGACAAGCAAACCCCATAGGACATTCCTTATACAAAGGAAAATACAAATTCCAATGGATAAACCCTTTAATAATACAGAAACTTGTCCACAAGAAAATTACTTACCTTTTTAATAAATGATAAAGTTGATATTATTAGTTGTTTATTGATAGGTTTAGTAACATATATTATAGAGACTATATAGTTTAATAATAATTCACTGGAAGTACCACCACCAGTCTGTATCTGATTCATCAATACTTCTAAACAATTATTGGCTACAAATCAAAATAATAAATCATTCATTAATGTGCCAGCGTTTACGTGTTTTGGAAAATCTTCAGCAATGCTGTATTCAATTTCTGCATTAATTCAGAAAATGTACTGTATATAATATAGTGAAAGGTACAATACCTGCTATTAAAACACATTCTGAGTACAGAGATTTTGATACACTTTCTATACTTCTTATAACTCTTTCTTGAATCTGTAAAATAAAAACAATAGAATATCATTCGTTCATCATATAACTAAAATTAACGTTAAAATCTAACTGTAAATGAGCATAAATAGGCTACTATCTATACTCAATAATTTCTCAGTTCTGATTAGTCAATGGCTAGCATAAACTGTATTGTTTTTGTATTGCCTTTAACTTACATTAATGACTTCATCAAGTGACATACGCCCTCCTCTATTGGTAGTAAAACTATCACCAAGACAATTTAAAACTGTTGTAAATACACGAAGTAATGATGATATTTTAGTTACACATTCTTCAATAGTAGGTAATTCTTCTTCACCATTGACTTGATCATTCATACATAGTACTAGATCCTAAAATACAACATAAATACACTAAAATATCTTATTTTATTCAAATTAGACAGCCATTAAATGAAAATTTTACTCATTGCAAATTCACTGGAATCATTAAGCTGTAACAATAAATGGTTATCTGTTATAAAATTTATCTTTATAACTTAGCAACTAAATTGAAGGATGGATGTCTCGAAAGCTAACAAAAATTAAACTGGTTTATTGGGTCCATTCTTACTGTTATTGTTGTCAAGTATTCACATTTTACCCATTTTATTTTTAAATATTTACATTTCTACTATCACTCACTCAATAAACCAGTAAGACAAACCGGCGTTTATTTTCCAATAACTGTAGTTTGTCACGTGACATTAAGGCGTATGAATACATCGAAACAAGGATTGACTTTAATTCTTTTAGCTATCAAATTTTACAATTTATTCAAATTTACAATTGTTGTTAATATTTCAATGGAATAATAAATATTTGATAATTCTATCATCCAAATATGACTGTTGATTTATAGAACTATATTGTTAGGGGTGGGGCGGTAAACTTGATTGACAGATATTGGTGAATTAAGCAACAACCCTTTCGGGTATCTTTACAATTAAAGAATAGAACATTTTGGCGTATTTTAGTAGAAAAGATAAACCAATGTAAATATAAGGAATGAATGTGGATCTTGTTATCGTTTATTTCCTCATTACAATAACAAGATCCACATTCATTCCTTAACACAACACATAACTTAATGAAGAAAACAACATAAATACCTCAGAATAAGCTTCCATATCTTCCAAGAACTGTCCTAATAATGTAACCGAGAATTGTACATCAGCCATCCAAAATTTACGGAAACTAACTAATGCTTCAGATGTATAGCTGATTAAACTTTCTTTTTGTGTAGAATCAATATGCCATCCAACCAATATATCTACTGTATCCTACAAAGAAGGAATTATTTATAATTATTAATGTGATTAATATGTTAAGTTTGAACTATTTGATGAATACTATTACAAGAGCATTCTTTACTTGTTTCTACACTAAAATTTTGAAATTATTTATCAACCCAGTTTCCCCCTGTCAGTGATGCAGGCCTCATGTGCTACAGACTGTGCACGTTAAGATTCCTTGACAGTTTGTAATTGAAAACGTGTAGGTTAATGCCGCTGTCCAGACAAAATTTCCCCTAATTGCACACTGCATGGTATTGTATTTGTATGTTTTTTTTTTGGTGGAATTGTAATGAAAAGACTTACTCTGAAGTGTAATGTAAAGACATGAGGATGCACTTTAGCTATATATAATATAACATCTACTACTGAACGTAATAAATCAGGTGTATCAGCATTCTCTAACAACGACCAGATTCTCTCCATTACATACTAAAAATAACAATCAAAATCAAAATTAGGTAGGATGCTATTGGGATATACTCATGAAAGTATTTGCCTTATGGTCTTATAAACCAGCTATCTGTATCACTTACTAGAAATTAAATACCAAGTCCTGTTCTCCGGCATTTCAACAAATATACTGTAAAAGCAGATGGAAAAGACTTTAAGGTCAATTTTGGTTTGGCTGAATTAACCCTATATAGATATGTCCAGTTGCAATTTGTGAATTAAGATTTTTTTGAATCAAATGTACTTGTATCATATTTAACATTAAACAGAAATAGCAAATACTATCTTATCATCAGTTCTATTTCATAATTCATTTTATTTATCTTAGCATTTCTTTTTCATGAATGATAACACTTTGTAACATGCTTTTGGTTTGGATACTCTCGTGTAACACAGTCTCTTATGACAATAAGTCAACATCAATAGAACACATGCTTATATATTTTCATCAATTTATCACTTGAGGTACTTACACCAATTAAATCAGCAGCACTATGTTTCCTCTCATCACATCTTAAAGTCTGCAATAAGAAATATAAGAGACCTTAGTTTTGATAAGCGCAGAATTGCATGCTCAAGGACAAGGTATCTCATTTTTTTATGAGAATTCATTATTTCCTGTGGCTGTTGACCAAGTTGTAACGACCTGTGCTTATATATCCCCATACACTACCTACACTTAAAGCACAAATTCTCTCACTGCAGACAAAAGTTTCTGAATCATTTCAGATTAAGTGTCATTCATTATAACTATGAAAGACAAAAGTCCATGAAAGTAATATTGTTCTTTACCTCTAATAAAGACATCAGATAAAAAGCTTTAATTTCATCATCTTGGTTTGTTTCCATTTGATTAAATAACCATTCAAAATAACTGCAAAACACACAAAAAATATTTGATTAATTAAGAAAAATACCCCGGTTAAAGGCAAAAATACTGCCTCAAAAATCATAATGATTGTTTTTGTTAACATAATCTCAAGATTTATATAATACATTACCTCTGCATATCTTGAGCCATGCTACCAACCATACCAATACATAGGGCAATATCAATCTTAACATCTCGATATGACCTATAATATTTAATATAAGACCTTTAATGCAGTGTTATAGTTTCCTTAGAGAATGCAAAACGATAAACGAAACACATCTTATTTGCTTAGTAGAACAGGTTTCTATCCTTCTATCCTTGCAGGATTAACAAAAAATAAATTTCCAAGGACATGCTTTTGAGCTATGTTAAATGGTGTTCTCAGCACCTACCTTTCATAGAAGACACCTTGTAAAGCTCCCAGTATATCATCATTACTTTTACTAACATTCTAAAAATATATATAGCAATTCTATAATGTTAGATAATATAAAATAACAGCACCAGATGTCACTTCTCTTAACAATGTTTGAAATTTATGTAGGTCACAAAGGTAATAAGTTTTGTCATTTTATATTTCAAAAAGCAAATTTTGGCATGATGCTTCAAATTCAAAAGCGAAACAATTTAACCCTTTTTATCCATTATATTATTCTGACTTTATTTTTGAAGAATAGGTTTAAAAGTATTAAACAGAAAATATTTCAGATAACAAATTCATTTTAAGTATCACAGAAGGTTTTATACTTATTTGCACATTATTGTCAAAATATTAATAATGCATGAACTTACAAAGCAATTTTAGCATGTCTTTAAGAAATACATAAGGAAATTAGAAGGTTACATACCCTGAATCCTTCTGCAGTATGTAAAAATTCCTTCAACTGTCTTGCAGCAGAAATTTTTCTATCTTTATCACTTTCTTTAATCACTCTTTTCATTAACTTAGACAATCTACTGTCATCATTGAAACTTCTTGAACCATCTGAAATATAACAATATGAGTTCAACAGCTGACACATTGGTGTATTGCTTTATTAACACATTACCAGCTGGTTGGATTAAACTAGGTAACTACTCTACCTGTAGGCCAAAACTCAACATCATTATCTACACCTAATTCAGTGTCATTATTCCAATCATCAATAAAAGAATCTTTCTCAATTTCCTCACTCTCTTCCATTTACAACACCTACTGGGTATTTTTATTAATAGATCCATACACACACACACACTATCAAGTTCAAGGTCAGAGATAAGAGAGGTTATAGGTCGAGTCTATTTGAATAAGCATACATTTATCAACAAAATAATTTAAACATGAATGTAAACAGAAATTTTTTTTAAAAGGTTTAGGTGAATGAATGTTTAAAGTAAAAGAGAATCCAAATGGGAAGTGAAATGAAACCTACTTTTCTGCACCGTGTGGATTGTGGGCTAATGAAGATGGGCAATGCCATGCAGGGTGCTATGAGGAAATTTTGTCAGGACAGGAAAACTTTCGAAAATAGACCTCTATTTTAAATAGACCTCTATTTTGCTTATGCTTCACTTGTCAACAAAATGAAAAAAAAAAGTGGTTCAAACAACTCGACCAGCATTTAAAGACAACCCAGACCAACATTTAAAAACAACCCAGATCAACATTTAAAAACAACACAGACCAACATTTAAAAACAACCCAACTTTTAAAGACCACTGATATTATTATAAAACTCTGACCAATTTAAAAAAATACAACCCAGACAACTGTGACCAATGTAAAAAATAACTTTGACCACAAGACAGGACTTTGAATAAACCAGAAAAGGTTGTGTGTCTGAGTACGGTACTCTCTTATAGGTGTGATTTGTCTTTTAACATTGGTCCGAGTATGCTCATGAGCCGTTAGAGGATTGAGTGGTCCGATTTAGCAGAAAATGTCAGTCTGAGTTGTCAAATAAACATGATCCAAGTGGTCTCTGTCTTATAAGTCTATTCATGAAAAAAGTAAGCTTAGATGCCCCCACTTTGCCCTTTTAGGGCCCAAACAATGTCATTGTCAAAGTTTTACTTATGGATCACAAAATAATTTTCAGTTATTTCTTAACATACCAAACGAGGTAGTGCTAGTCAGTGGTTTCCGTACATCAGTTGTGGTTCCTCTACCAGTGACAGATTCAGATTTATTACTATAACTATCAAATCGATTTGATTGTGGTGATCTTGTTCTCTTTTTATCATCTTCTTTTGGCTGAAGCGACACAGGTTGCTTTGTTCCTATGCTTGTAGTCGATGAAGAAGTTGAAACTGATGGGGTTGGAATAGAAGAAGAGCCAGTGGCAGTAGTAGTTGTAGTAGAAGAAGAATTGGATTTAGCAGCAGTCGTTGTTGAAGACAATGTTTTTGATTGAATCTTTGAATTGGGCTCTCTCTTTTCGTTTTGCTTTGATTTTTGCTCTGTTGAGGTTTGACTGCTTTTTAGAGAGCTATTATTGTTAGAATTAGTTGCACCGACAATGCTGGTACCATTCTTAGATTTTTCACTCAAGTTGGATCTTGGACTTGCACTTTCAGGTGCTCCCCAACTTGGAGTCTTTCCACTGTTCTGATCATTTCTGTAATGAGACTTGCTCTTCCCACCACCTGACTTGTCACTCATCACACAGTGTGCCAGTTCAGAAATTCATTACGCTATCATTTTTACGTAAAGAGCAAAAACACGAACAAGGATTTTAATATTTCCGTCTTGACATTCCGCCATTAATCTATTTTTAGAAAAGGACTGGATCACAGAAAAGCCTTTAAAAAAATAAAATAAAAAGAATTGTAAAAAAGATAAGACTATAGTTCAACACATATTGCCTCGTATTTGAAATGATATAATTATAGAGAGGAAGAGGTCTTATTTTAATTTTGTTAGTTTTTGTTGTTATTTATTCATTCTGTGCGATACTTCAACATGGCAGCGCTCAAGGATGGTTATATTTTAACGACTTTGGCTCAAAAATCAAGTTTATTGTCTATTGATTGTGCTCAGTCATCAAATTTCATTTTGATTACGAGCCAAACTAGCTTTATCAATATATTTAATGTAGGAATCATACTGTTTTAACCTTTTTGATAGATATTTGTCAGATATTTTAAAGCAACATGTGTTGTTCTTTCATTCAATATCTTGAGGTTTTTGACAACCGAACATTTCTTAAAGATATTATTATTGTATTCATAATAATAATATCTTTAAGAAATTATTCAAGTAAAGAATAAAGTCGTTCAATACGGAAAATGAATTGAATAAGTAGATTAACTTCTGTTCCTAGTAACACAAACATTGCTCAGTGGCCTCATGAAACTGGAGGAAAGAGCATGGACACTAATCTCCAATGGAGCAAGGCAAATTTGGTAAAATAGAAATGATTTGTTGCATTCTGACAGTGACACATTTTTGGGAAAAAACATATAGAAATCATATTTTCAATTTATTAAAAATAGAGTGAAGGTACTAACAACAATGACCCCCACCCCTCCTTCTTCTGTACCCTCTCTGACGCAACCACTGATATTTCCATAATAAGCTATATGAAATTCAATTGAATAATTTTCAGGTTAATGATCAGAAGATATTCAACAGTTGGTCAGTTAGACATGGCATTTCTATAACATCACCAACAACTTGGTCCTCACTTCATAATCAATATCTCACAGTGTTCAATAAACAGGTATTGAATAATACAATCATAAGGGTGTTCTAAAGCTAAATAAAGAATCACCGCAACAAAAAAAACTTTTTAAATTAGCCTACATTTATGGAAAATCATTGTATCCAAATTTTTCACGTAAGTTCTTGTTGGGCAACAATGCTGTGAAAAAGATTGGGTTTTAATCCTCTACAATTGTCATCTATGAATAGTTGAGTTTTCATAGTTCATTTGATACAAGTTCATCATTTTGAAAGAAGTAAAAAATAAGGTGTAGGCCCCTAAGCCATATACAGTTAAGCAACATTACTTTTATTAACAGGAGATTAGAAGATGGTCTGAAGAAGAAAAGTCAATAGACAAAGCCAAAAAGAAACATGTAAGCTATTTATCATAATAATAATAATTCTGGGGTTATAGTCAACTTGGCACCTAACCAAAATGGCCAGAGTCAAAATGAGGCCATAATTCAAACATTGAGGACATTAAGCTCATGTGGACCAAACACCATATTTTAAGATTTGAAAAATATTTTCTATATTTCAATCTCTTAAAGGTGAAAAAGGACATCAAGAAAATTTTAACATATAAAGACTATGAACCAATAGTAGTGTGTGAAAATGGTACTGTTGATTTTATTGATGGTATCAAGACAACCAGTGAACAACCTATACTTGATGATGATGCAAAGCTTGTTTTCTGTCAACTTGTACCATCTCCAAGTGGTGTAAAGGTGCTCTATATTTCTGAAGTCAAGGTAAGTCAAATATAAAAGCTGAAAACTTTGATCTATCATTGCAGGTGCCTATTTATTTGTTTCTTGAATAAGTAAGATAATTTTAGTTATATTTTATTATAAGGTAACTTCATTTGAATATTTTTGTTTAAATTTCTCAAAGAATGACTAGCCAAAGAAGAGAAGCCAACAAGCTTTCATCCATATCCTTCTCTGGATATTTGATTCAGGCTATGTATGATTAAAGAATGTGTTCTTCTTGACCATCTTTTGCTTTTGAAGCATGGATCAGATGCAGATGGTTGAGAAAGGTGGTGATATTTTCAATATTTGTGTTAGTGTATTTTGTGAATTGGAAAATGTTAAATGATATTCAAATGGCTTGTATAATTTTCCAGAGTACCAGAAGTCTACACTGCCATGAATATAATGATAGTAACAAGGGATGGAATCATACTACATACAGTATAAATTATAAAGATAACATATTAGATTATAGTTATTATACAGATAACAATAATAACACTTTTATATATTATATAGGTACAGTTTATTTATTTATTATATTCCTTTAACAGGTGTTTGTTTCCAGCATGGACTTGTTTGTATAAGAAATTAAATAAGGCTCTGTGCCCTACAGACTATGCATTCAAGTTAAAGATCCTGCATCAATTGTAAAGAACTGGGCTCATGCTGTTTTAAAATTGCACTATCAGTAGCAAAATCTATTAATGAGTTTGTACCATTCTAGGTTTAGATAAAGATTTATATAGAATAAAAGTAAATAATGATAGTATAGAAGAGGAATTGGTAACAACTATAACAGAAATAACATCATCTATTAACATGGTGGCCTTAGATTCTACACAGTTAATTATAGCTGGTTTACATCATAATAATCAAGGTAATATTACATACTCAATGTTAAATTCTGGAGTAGATAGTGTGAACTATATAAACTCTTCAAAATAACAAACAATGTAAAGCTAGAGGTCGTAGACTTAGGGAAAACATCCCGAAAAGGAACATAACAAAATGGCGCAATGTTCCTTTTGAAGGGTAAGTATACTCTGAATGAATGCATTATTAAATGATAACAAATGATGACTTTGTGTGATTTTAAAAAGTGACATTGATTTTTATAAAACATAATAAAAGTTATTCACTTAACAACTGATGTGGATGTGATCCACTGTACTAATTAACAATTTAATAAGATCTGAAAGAAAGGCTTTTGTTGATCTATATAAATCCAAATCCAATTTTTATATTTTTAACTTTTACTGTAGATGGATTTGGAATATATGATATGAAATATTCAGCTATACAATCATTTCAACCATTTCCAGAAGAATATAACATTCAACCTAAGGTTTGTTGGAAAACTCTTGGAATTATTGACTCTTGGCAAAAGAAAATCTGACAAACTACAAACCAAGTAGAAAGTGGACTGACAAAACAAGTCAATGTCTAGTAATCCTAGATTTCCAAAAATGAAGCCATTAAATCTTTTATTGTCTATTGAACAGAGCATTTGATTGGTTGAATATTGAATGACCTAGAACGAGTGTTGCATTACTGTTTCATAGGATAACCTTTTAATCAAATTGACTATCAAACAAAGCTATAAAATTGAATTCCGTTTTCATAATTATGTTACAAGATTTGTCAAAGAAGTTTCCAAATAAAATGAGTAGTATGAATTTTTTTTCAGATATTTTTGGTAGAGAATCAACTATTTCTATCTTGTAATAGAAATATCTATGTATATGATATAAACAGTAGAACACCAACATTAGGAGAATTTTTAGGAAAATCTATGACTACAGATCAGGAAGATACAAGCCAGCAAGTTATAAGTTGGTCTGTTAAAGATGATAAGGTATAGCTTATAATGTTCCTTTAGGTAATGAGTAATGAGATTTACAAATAACAAAACACAATGTACCTCCAAGGACAAAACTCATCATTTTAAAGAGTTAAAAGAATAAAGTTATGATGAGATATTCTTACATGATTTTCCAACAAAATGTTTGATGCTGTACCTTATCATTTCCTGATGTTGACTTGACCAAACAATATAAATATAAATATGAATATAAACCAGTTATTAACTTATGTAAACATGAGGGCATTCTGAACATCAACAAAATGATGATGTGATGTTTGCTTAACATAACCACATTTTAACATTACATGTAAAATTAGCTAATCCTTATCTAATGAAAAAAGGCCTGTATTAGATTAATTTTTTTTCTTTTCACAGATAAAGACCAATAAATGTGATGATCTTGAAAAACTAATAGATTTCTCTAAGGTAATAATATCTTATGGACAGTATGATTATATTTATGTAGTTTGATATGATGACTGTATGGAATTTAAACTCAACCATGATAAATATTTTGGCAGGTGTCGCTACAGTATAGCTAGCTTATTGAATATAATTTCCACCGTATCAGTATTCATTGTTATTGTCATTTGTGAATCCACTTTGTTACTAAGTTTGTCAACAATATATCCCTTTCAGAGAGTCTACATGTCTAATATAGTTTTAATTTCTTTTATGTAATACAGCGTATAGACCTACCTATACCTAATTTTATTTTTTTCAGACACCAAACCATAGTAAATTTTCTAGTATTTTCCAGTCTTTTCTACAAAAACAGGACAATTTAATATCAATTTCCAATATTCATCTTAAAAAACTTTGTCAGCGATGTCTTCGTGAAAAGAAGTTTTGGCCATCTGAAGAAATGAAGGAACTTCTTGAGCATGGATTAATACCTCCAGAGTAAGTCTAACTTATGTAATATTGCTTTTCATTTTACTTCTTTCAATTTGTTTCTGCTCATGTCAGATACTAATAGAATGAGGAATGGAATACAAAAGAATATATTACCTTATACGGAAGTTGTGCAAAATTTTTTATCAAACAAAATAAGTTTCCAAACACCTACATTTTCTGGTCTTCTTTGTCTGGATGTAGGCTACTATTAATACTTTATTTGTAACTTGAATCTAAAGAAAATAATTTTGCTTTTCATTTATATTTTTCTTTTGCAGAATTTCTACTGAACTAATTACTGTTTTAATAGAGAAAGATGAAAAGAAACTTCTTAATCTATGTTTAGATAAACTCACTGGTATATCAGAACAATCATTGATTCAAGTTTTACAATATTATCTTAGGTAGGATATAAGATTTCTTTCTTTATTTAGCTAGGATATACCATTTGTTGTTTTAGTTTTAGTCTGGTTGAAATCATAATAGGAATATGTGTAATGAGCATTGCATTGAAAGCAAAGTATCACTTAGTCCTCAAGATTTTGTGTTCTTGTGTGAATTGGTTGACTTTTCATTAGTTACCACCCTTATATTGTTGCTGTCCTATTTCAGTTTATCAGAAGATGATTTAAATGAGGAGATGATATTAAAATCAATACCTGTCTTAAAGATAGATGAAGAAAAATGTCCCTTTAGTAAATTAAAGACATATTTAATGTATCCTTATGAAAAATAAACTTGAGTGGCAAAGATGAAAATTCACTCAAATGCAGGGTCATAGTTGGCATTGAACAATTTTTTATATCATTTAATTTTGTGCACAATACTAGAACTGACTAGATTATGGTGCTTTTGTGTTTTTATATTGTTCAGAAATGTTTGGTTGCCTTGAATAAATCATAAAGTAAGATATAGCTCGGGTTAAAATGAAAACAGACTCATGGAAGATCAATGCAGTCAAGAGATTTGGTCATAGACCAGGTGATAGCTGAAGAATCTTAGAATATTACCTTGAAATATATGTTGTTTTTTCTCTTAATTAAAAATAGTCGACTGGTCATCAACTCTCCATTTAGTGAGATTTTTTTAGTCAATGAATTGAGGAAACTCATTTTTGAACATGTGTTGGTAAGGATTAATTTTTTTGCTTTATTATATGTAAATGCAGTTTTAAGTACATTCTAATCATGCATTATCGAGCGGGAGTCAAGGTTACTTATTTTGACTGATGAGATTTTAGAAGCAAAACTAATAAAACATGAATGTATATTTAAGTCCATATGCCAACTTCTGTTTCACGCCTTATGATATATAAATATTAATCCTTTAGGTTGTATTAGAATTCCTCTTCTATCTGATGTCTACAGAGGATGAACAAGCCGTATCTTATTGTACAGTACCAAAGGTAAGTCAGTATTTAAATTTAATTTTGCAGCAATACCAATCAAGCCACATACACATGGTTTAAAAAAATCAAGACCATGTCATAAATCAGAGTATATTGGAAACAACCTAAATTGCTCTAGGATGAACAGTTTAAAAACCAAGATCTATAATGCATGTAATTATGGATGAATATTATTTTGTTTCATAACATTATTTTTCTCATGAGGCATACCATTTGAATCTTTTGTTTTTTTTGTAGATACAGAATGTAATAGATTGGATAAGTTGTATTGTTGATGCCCATGTTACTCAATTAATATTATCACCCGATGCTAGGGTTTTATTGATAAAATTACATCAGTCTGTGTCACAACAGGTAAGTTTTACTTCTAAAATTGCATCAGTCTGTGTCACAACAGGTAAGTTTTACTTCTAAAATTACATCAGTCTGTGTCACAACAGGTAAGTTTTACTTCTAAAATTACATCAGTCTGTGTCACAACAGGTAAGTTTTACTGCTAAAATAACATCAGTCTGTGTCACAACAGGTAAGTTTTATTGATAAAATTACATCAGTCTGAGTCACAACAGGTAAGTTTTACTTCTAAAATTACATCAGTCTGTGTCACAACAGGTAAGTTTTACTTCTAGGCGCATATAATGCAGAGTATATTTACGTTTTCAGCTTACCTGGGTTAATCCTGGAAAAGGGTTAAAAAAATTCAATTTGTATCGATCTTGTATATTTCAGGCTCAGTTTTTTGATGGAATAATGGAACTAGAAGCTGTTTTATCTCAGTTTAAATCTAAATTAACCACTCAAAGAAAGCCTAAAATAGGACAATATTGTATTGAAGTATTACATGTATTTTGATAAATATATTTTACTGATAAGTTCCTTGTGTATCATTAAACATTGTAATTTGTGGTATAAAGAAAAAATCTCATGAACGAAGTAGTCCATCTATTCTATATGTCTGCATATATAACTATATTTCCTTTACTAGCCTCCTAGCTGACATATAAATTACAGCCTGGCGGTCACAATGGAAGGGTTTTGTTGAATTGTAGCACAGGACTGCGATTACAATTCTGTAAATTGATACAGATAAAGAAACTGAAATTTAGCTAATTTCAAATTCTTATTCTTTGATATGCAGTTAAGACATGTCCTGTATTGCTCTGGTAAATGTATCAAATGCATGAACAGCCATTATAAGGTTACACATGAATTAAAAACCTAACTTCACTTTGTTCAGTTAATCATATTCAAAAAAATGCTTGATTGTCACAATTGCGATCTCACTAAAACTGTGTAATTTAGTTTAATATGTGACTAATATTGTCTGTTTAAAAGCACATAATAATTAATAGATGTACATAAAATCTGGCTTCATTGTACCAAATTATCCACAAAAGTCTGTATCTGATCATCTTCTTTCAAACCAATAAATGTGTCTTGTTGTTTACCATTAATAAAACTAATAACTGTTGGCACTGATTTGACCTGTAATTGAAACAGGAATTGAATGATTGATTTGCTTAAAACAGTAAGAGTAATCTGAATATATAAAGAAGCTGGAATTCATCACTTGGGGGGGGGGAGTCAGTAAGTTTGCATCTGAAAAACTTTACTAAAGTGATTCATCAATTATTATTTGCATTTTCTTCTGTTTTCATCTGTAGATGAATTTCTGGATGCAAAAATATATAAAAGTGCTACGAAGGCCATTTAAAAAAATTAATTATTTCTAAAAACTGTCCTATGATGCAATGAATTCAGCAAAAATGTAGTCACACACAGTGACAAAACTTTCATATAAAAGAACTGCGACAAAGGCAATAAAAGGATATTGTTGCCTACCCCATAATCAATAGCAAGTTCTGAAATCTCATCAATATCAACTTTAGCTAGTAATACTTTTCCTTTCTTTTCTGATACAATTGTTTCTAGTCGAGGTCCTAATAATTTACATGGTCCACACCAGCTGAAATATATATATGTACATGTATAAGAAAAAAAACTAAAGATTATGACACTTAATTTTAAAATTTTGCTTGAACATCAGATATTGCTCTGGGAAGTTGAAAAGGCATAATTGGAAGCTATAATTATCTCAAAACATACCCTTGATTCCCTTAAGTGTGCTGTTTTTTATAATGGCAAGAATAAAAATACTATTTGTTATACCACAAAACAAAAAACTGAGTGCTATCAATTGTATTAAATTGCTCTAGGGAGTGCATAGATATTAATGTATGATGGGATGATTATATGTTCGATAATATACCAGCACTCATTAATACCCTGCTAATAGGACCATGAGTATTTTAGGCTTCATAATAGAATAACATACGTAGCATGGAAATCCACAATAACAGGTGTAGAACTTTGTAAAACTTTCGAATTGAAATCTTCACTATCCTGGATATTGATACACTCAAATTTACTGGATGAAAACTTTCTACTGGATGTTGAGAAACATTTCAGTTGTGTTTTAGCTATTGGTTGAACATGTCTGGCTACAAACTTAGATTGTTGGATCAATACTGGTGTGGATTTTAATCTATTATTTAATAATCTTGTACAAGTGCGAAGTGTCTGTCTCGAAAATATCTTCTCCATTTCCTGCAAGTATAAGAATTTGGAAGGTAAAAGTATAAATGTCTGAAAAAATACTATCAAGTCTTTTGACATACTAATTGATAAATCCTTTACCAGACGGTCAAGGACACAGAAAAACTGTGGCTATATTGCCGACATAATTAAAATGATAAAACAACAAATTGGACTAAAAATCATTATTACGGATCAGACGCACACAGTTCTTTCATAATGTGACTTTACTTTATCATGACTATGACATGAGAGAGATTCAGTCACTTACACTAGTGGCCGTAGGTCGTGAATATTACTAATTGACAAAATGACTGCAATACCGTACAGTAGAATCTACCGGATGTTGGTATAAAAAGTGTGTTACGTGGGCTTAAAATGCACATTATAGGGTGAAAATAGATCAAATTACCATCTTAATTGGGGGATTAATTAATCAGGCAATGATAATATTATTAAATGATGAGATTAACGCGTGTTACCGACGATCAAGATACAAGTAATGATAGATATTTTGTTGATTAATGGCAGAGAATTTGGACATTGAAAACGGTAGGTCCCGTGAAAATTTGGTCAAGAAAAAAACAAAAAATCGGTAGAATTGGGTATCCCGTCGGTAGAGCGGTAGACAACATGAAAAAGCGGTAGAAACCCGACAACATCGGTAGATTACACATGTATGGTACGATCAAGCTTAACAAAGGCGCTTGGTGGAATAATGCAAATTAACATTAACGTTATTTCTGAGTGACAACCTACTATTTTTAAGGGGATATATTTTACAATTTTCTAAGAAGATGATTACAAGTTAGTTTTGCGTCAATATTTTAACTTCCGGTGTGCACTACGTCATAAAAATGTGCGTATCTAAAACGGCGTTCGTGCGTTGAACTTCACTGAAAGAAGTAAATTATTTCGAACGCTTTTATCTTTTTGAATGTTTTTCGAAGATATCTTTCTTCCAGATACGCTTCATTATGTTTGAGGCCATTGACGTGTTTATATATTTTCTGATTATATAATTCATGTATAGACCAATATCACAGGCACCTGTTTCTATCAATAGTCGACTTTTCTACTATACTAAATATAGAGAGAGTCGACTATTAATAGAAACAGATGCCCGCGGCCAATATACAAATACACAAACTTATTTAAAGCCCGCAACTTCTAATACATCTAATCAATTTTTTTTTCAAAAATATTTCTGGGGGCGAACTCTCTGGTGTTCTTAAGACCTCCATGGGAGGCTTGCGCCTATGCGCTACATAGAACTGCATTTTGAAGTGTCCCCCATCAAGTCAGTTTACTCCCTTATTTGTACCCCAACTGTCCAAAGAAGATCTAATAAAATACAACGTCGTAATCATATAATAATATTTGGGCTTTACATGGACTTACCATGTGTGCATTTGGAGTTGGGGAGGGGTTATATATCCGGAGGAGCAATTTAAAACCAGGTATTTTAAACTCTTAATCTGCATTACGTTGTAATGTGAGTAAACATTTTAAGTTATAATAAGCTTATTATACAGGTACACAGACCCACAGAGATAACGGTGACTATAACTCCGCGAAGTATGCGTCTATAGCAACCATTATTGTGAAGTCTTATTGTGTCGTTAAACATCAAAGTGTCAACAGACTCGAAAAGTTTTTCAACATAATAATTATTTGGCGTCATAAAAGTTTTCAACTGCCAGTAAGTGATATTTTATACATTTTATGACATTTAATTTAACACAGGTAGGCTCCATATCAAAATGACTACTAATATTGGTCTAACTGTTTTAATATGAAGACTCTGGGCAGTAAATGTTCTATTCAAAATAGGAATCGTGTTGCCCTAATGCTATCATCATTTTCATCTTTTTAATATTTTATATTTTGAGACTCGAATGGACAAGCTTTGCGTTAATTTATTTAATGATTAATTGATAATGATTTGCAAAAACACATTTCTTTTTTGCTGACAGGTGAGACTTAGACGGAATGCGTTATGGCAGCCGTAACTTTTAAATCACCATCACCATTCCATTCAGGCGACGTTTCAAGACGGTCATTACTTGGCACCAATTTAGATAAAGTGCTTGATATCAACGAGCCTATTCCAATGGAAAATGAACCAATAAATAGTTACAGTAAGTATAAATATGATTTTACTTAAACAAGAATCAGTACATTGCCAGAAAAAAACAAAAACACATAGTCAATTCAGATTTCTGAAGTGATGCAATGAATCAAACTATATGCAATCTAATCTCGATTATATTTAAAAAAAAAATTCATAATTTTTGAGGTGATTATGAGTTTCTGTGGAACGCAACTTGTAAGTCTATAAAACTGTCTTTTTACTCAGTTTACGGTATGACGGTGACGGTAAGAATTTCATAATAAAATCCTACTATTGATTAGTATAACCATAACCTATCTAAATAATCTACTTTAAGAATGCCCAACATAAGATATAGACTATATACTGAACTACCGAAGTAATTCTGAATTTGATATCAAGCGTATTTTATGCAACTTTTTCATTGAAAAATGTCTGGTGAATCATGATCAAATTTTACACCACTTTAACAGTAAGGTAATTCAAATAAGGTAAATAATCACATCGTTATACTAGCCCGCTGATTTGAAATTTTCTTTGCAGGAAGTGTTGAGTTATCTGATCTTAGACAATCTTATGAGAATCAGAAATCAAAATTAAAACAATTTGATGATAGCTTTAGAGAGACACATACAAGAGCTTTGAACTTTCAAATCACAGAACCACATGGATATGCTGAACAGCCTAAGATAGTGAACGTTAGTGGTTTGAATGAGGCACTTAAACCTGAAAAACCAAAATTTCGTCAAAGTCACTATGGTTATCCGTATAAAATAATGGGAGATGTATTCTGTTCAGCAACTGAATCTGGTCGAGGTTCATCAAGAACTCCACAAGTCGACGTAACGCCACGGTTGGGCAGACGATCTGATGTGCGAAATGATGGATTTAATGCCGAGTTCTTGACCCACAATACATTTAATTCTAATAATAACAGCAGCAATAGCGAAGCAGAAAAATCAGGACCAAGCAGCATTTTAAAACTACCAGCTAATATAAGGCACACTTTTGGTAGTCGTAATTGTGATGAACTGTTATCGGACACTGTCAAAGTACACGATACCATTGAAAAACAAAATCAGTTAAGGCGTCCAATATCTAGAAACATCACAAATGTAGGCCAATCCAGTAAATCTAAAACGCCGTTAACTGATTATGAAGATCTAGGACACAATACGAGAGTAAATCTGTTCCCAGGATCCCATGTGAAGAATGAAATCAGTGCCACTAAAAGTGATTTTAATGAAAGAGTATTTCTGAATAGAGAACCAGAGAGTGATAAATATAAGATGAAACGAGATGAGCTAAGTAAGTATCCCAATCTCATAATCCATCAGATTTGTGTAAACTCAAGATTATTTCAATTGATCATTTTGATTCCGCTAAAACACAGCCTTCTACGACAGACAGACTGCAAATTTTCCAACAAATTTGCAAAGCTGTAGTGAAAGTAAAAATACAGTGGCGGAGCAGAGGGGACAGCCTAGACAGAACCCCCAAAACCTTTCACTTCAATAATAATTAGTCAGCATTTAGGCGTATCAAACTTCCAGAGGTTATCTTCTATCAATAAAACAACACAACTGTTTCTTAATAAGGGGTTTAACGCATTACTAATCTTTGATACTATTTCTTACAGGCACATGGGCTGAACGAAATGTTATTAGAGAAAGGTTGAAGAAAGCATGGGACGGTAGTCACACTGGAGAAAAGAAAGGCTAACATATTAATCAAAATTGTATTTTTGTTATGATTGTTTTGTTTTTGGATGTGCCTGTAAGAAATAGTTTGATAATAATAATAAAATTGTTTACAGCATTATTTTGTTTTCTATATAGGTTGTTGGACAGAACATAATATTCTTAGACAAAAAGAATCCATAAAGTGGCAGGAATATGTAGAATCAATACCAAAGCAAATCGTAACATGGGATAGGTCAGCAACACGAACCAAACCACCACCTCAAATTCAACCAGTCCAACAACCGAGGAAACGACAACAGAGGCCCAAACCATCACCGAAAGTGGAAGAAATTATCCGAAGTCCTCTAGAGGATGAATATGTTTTTAAAACTCCACCATTAACACCTCCACCTGTCCTTCCATCTCCCGAAAAACTCCCAGAAAACTTCCAAAAAGATGATGACTTTTGGGAGTTCTTTGATCAACCAATTCCAAAATGATCCAGTGCTTTTTTCATTTCGGTTTTTGATTAAAATGTGTGGCTCTAACGTTCTGGTATTTTGTGAAAGGACCAATGGCGGCTCTAGCCCTCCGAGACTGGGGGTACAAGTAGGAGGCAGACTGGCACAATGGGGGCGATGGACAACTGTCTAGGATTGTAATTCAAAACTCTTTGGAGGCGTCATAGTCGCAAGCCTCTCACTGTTCGTCTAAAAGGTTTCTTCCAAGAAATTTTCTAAAAATTTAATTCATTTAGTGTATTCTGACGCATATTGTGGGGCAAAAACGTACAAAAATCATATTAATCATATTTAATAGTAATTTATATTAACATTGTGTTCCAAGGGAAAGAACTAATCAACCCTCAACCTATATAAATTATTCATTATACATACATACCGAATCAAGATATAGATGTAACCAGAAAACTTCACAGAGACCCTATGTTTAGAATTATGGTTGCGCATGTATCAGTCATCTTTACAATCTCACCTTGACATCATTAGCCACTTTTCTCTTATCACGGAATTTTGTAAATGCAGCTATTTGATTGGATTGTGCGCTAGCGAATTAAGTTAGTAATTTCCCCCCCAGATTAATATGCAATTAGGCTTCCCTATCATGTTGATCTACAAAATATAACAATACAATCTCAAGTAAGGGTAAAATGTTTAGTCCTCAGAATAAACTAGGAAGTAAGAACTGGGATATCTTGGCTTTAGAAATATCATTCTAAAGAAATAAACTAAGAAGTAAGGGTTGGAATATCATTTCGTAGAAATAAACTAAGAAGTAAGGGTTGGAATATCATGTATAAAGAAATAAACTAAGAAGTAAGGGTTGGAATATCATGTCTTAGAAATAAACTAAGAAGTAAGGGTTGGAATATCATGTCTTAGAAATAAACTAAGAAGTAAGGGTTGTGATATCATGTCTTAGAAATAAACTAAGAAGTAAGGGTTGTGATATCATGTCTAAAGGAATGAACTAAGAAGTAAGGGTTGGAATATCGTGACTACAGAATAAAGTAAGTAATAAGGACTGAGATATCATGACTATATAATAAAGTAAGAAGTGCGGACAGGGATATCTGGAATGCATAATAAATGTGAAAATAGAAACTAAAGCTTCGAAAATATTGCAATGTACATAAAGGTCAAACATTACAAGAATAACATACCTTATAACGACTGAAGTGTCGATCACTAAATAGTTGAAATTCAGTAACTATAGACCTCAGCTTGGAAAGTGACTAAAATTGATAATCACATCGGTTTTGTATCTAAACCCCTGATTTCAACTCACACACAAGCTTTGATTTTAGGAACACGTTCTGTTTTAAAGTAGGGCCGGTCAGATCTACCGTAACATCCGTCAACAACAATTAATTTAGTCCCGAAATGCGGGCAAATTAAATCAGCCAATTTTCTACCAGCCAACCCTCTCTGACCAGAAATCATCAACTTATCAAGGACTGTAGGCCTAATCATTAAGTTTCAGATTTCCCTATCGAATATGTACTATCATGAATACGACTCAACCCTTATCAAATTCTCTAATCTTCAACTCTTGTATTTGTCTTTAAGCATTTTAAACATATAGTAATTTTCCTTAAATGATGAAACTATTCAACAAGTAGTGTTGTAAGAGGGGAATTGGAAAGGAAATAAAGGCGAAATTTAAATGAGGAAGATGAGGGTACGAGAGAGATATTGAGAGAGAGGCCTCCATGGGGAATAGTAGATAGAGAAAGAGGTTGGAGGAAAGAGTAGTTGCGAAATAGGTGAGATCAAGAGATGGATGAAGAGTGTGGTAGAGAGACTGAGAGAGGAGGAGAGCAAAAATGGATTACACTGATTTCTACTTTGCCAGTTGCTAGTGATTAATTTTAGCTCTCTGTATCAAGATGAGTTTCCTTACTTTTTAGTGTCAAATTAAGCAAACTGTTTAATTGGTGTTTCTTATGAATTATCATGTATTCTTAATCATATCATTATGTAATTATTGCATATATTAAGAGTTTTAACCGATCATGAATGCCCATGTATGTACAGTCTGAATAAACACAAAAAGACGTTTTGATCTTTCTTGTTCGGTCACTCATTGGAATTCTGCTGATAATTCTCCTCTTCTAATTTAGCTAATTATGAATCAATTATGGACATGTGAGACAAACTCAAGTCATTAGAACACCTCTACTTCAGTTTCATAAATGAATATAAGGGAACCCATCTTAAACATACATTGTATTATTGAATAATGTATGTATATTGTATGCTGTCCTTTATGGTACAAAAAAATATCTTACATGTAATTTGCCATCCCCATAGAATGAGAATAAAAAAAAAGGTAGCGGTAGCTCCACCCAATCCAAGGTTGAGCAGCCTCAACTGTCTCGGGAATGTAAATAACGGCGTGTGTACACAGAATTGCGTGTAGGTAAACTGTGAAGTTAACGACCCAAAATTGCTGAAAATGCAAATCATCGACTTAAAATATGGCCGTATGTTGTGGAAAAAATTTGCTTTTCATGCAATTTAATATTTTTAAGAAGACTGGATAACTGAATGTGATCAATTTAAATTTATCACCAATCAAGTCTACTTAACAAAGTAGTGAATGGCAGTCAGAATGTCGGAAACTTTACGAAAATTGTCGAGGATTGCTGAATGCAATTAGGGCAATGCTCTTTAATGGCGTGTTCAGAAGAGCCTATAACCAATTATGTGAATCCAGATCAATGACTCAGTGAAGACCTATCAGACTTGCTGATGAATGTTGAAAGTAGAACTGAGTTAGTGGGTAGTAGTGTAACCTCCCTTTAACTGTTTAGCTTTTATGGAGATAAGCTTTATCATAAATGTGTCCCTGTTTTTATATGCTCTTGTAAATCTCCATTATTGGAGGAAAAAGATATAATGTAAATGTGGAAGGTTTGATTGTCGCCACTTTGACGCTTTCATTTTCACGTGCAGTTATAACCAATCATGTGTATCAGCAAATGGATCTGGTTATCTGGAATATACAGAGTTGAAATAACTTTTCAACGTCACTGGAAATGAAAAAAAAGTCCTTAATATTTTCATTAACATTTTATTTACATAACAAAACACAACAAATTTCAAACGTTAATTTATAAAATGTCCTCCATGCGTGTGTGTATTTCTTTTCTCCACCCCTTTAGTAATAATGAATTGCGTTTAATACTGGGTTTGGATAATTTCACGGTAGGTTTCTTAGTCCTAGCAGGAAGACGGTTGAAGGAATAATAGTCACTAATAACATGATCCTTGTCACCCCTCACTTGAAAACTTCCTCCAATATCCTTAATGTCCATTGAGTTAATATCTTTTGGCGAGGTAAGAGTATTAAGAGTATTTCTATTTTCACAGATGGTTTGAGGGCGAGACGGAAGACGAACTAATTCTTCTGTATAAGTGACAGCAGAGTTTGACGGAGCTGACATTAACCTGTTAGTCGTAAATTTGATAGGAACTTCTGAAGATCTCTGAAAGAGTCTTCCAGGAACCTTCTCCATTCGTGATAAAGGTTTCCTTGAAGGTAATGCTGCTAGTTTGATTTCTGGTTTAGGTTCATATAAACTTCTATTAGTCCACATACACTTTTTCATAGGATGGTCATATTGTCTTTGTCTATATCCATAATCATGAGGAGAGCGATATTGACTTCTATAGTCTTCACTTTTATCAATTTTCAGAGATATAGGCATCTGTTGGTAAGAAGCATTCCGTGGTGACCTTACATATTGCATTGTAGGTCGAGTTCTTGGTCGTGCACGAAATACATTATTGGGTATACACTCCGATATTGTTGCCATTTAAATAAAATTCAGACAGAAACTACAGTTAAAATACCACTATTAGATCATATATTCCTTCCAACACTAGAACACAACAAATATGACTTCTAACTGTTTACAACAAGATATCTACACAAAATGAAGAACATTTATCAAAATAACTGTATTAACATGTTATGTTGGTCAAACAATCAAATGATCATAATGTCTGATTACCATAACAATTGTGTCATTGTGTATGGAAAAATATCGGGGATTAAACGTCGTGTTTATATCACTTTCTATTCTTTAAAATAATTGTAATTGACTTGATATTAATGAGCTTTCCACAAGTACAAGTTATAACAAGATAGATATTGGTCTGTGATCGTATTACTTCATTTAATCTAATAAGACGATTGCTACATGTCATGATAATCCATAAGTTGTAAAAAATACGACACACCTAAATACTTAACTTGAGCACGCAGTTGGTGCAACGAGGAGTTTTATCTTTTTATGACGGCAATTGTTTAATGATCTCAGGCCTACCACATTCTCCTGGGACACAATTTTGCAAAAGCCCGGTATGAGAATAAGCCTATCTTAATTTTACCTTATTGTCACAGGCTTAAGACCAACATGATCATCGATTTTGAGATTGTATGCAAACATTCTATAGCATATATCGAGTGTTTCCAAAACAAAAACGTCCCAAAGTTCGACGGGTAGTGTACTAGTGTATCATATCTCTCAAAATTCTCACAAATATACTTCCTACTAGCCTACCTATTTCAATCTGTGTTCAAGGTCCCCTCCATCTTCTTCGACCACCAATCGCAACCGTTTTTTCCATCCCAAGATGTCACCAAGACGAGGCCCCATCGCATACTATCAAGGTATCCCAAGCATATCTGAAAGATTCTCGAGTGCAGAAGAAATATCGACAGACGAACGGACGATCATGGATGCTGACACATTTTTTTATATGTTTAAGTTAAAAAAATCATTTTAGTAAAATTTCACTCAAAGTTAGTGGTTAATTGGTTGATTAATGAATTAATAATTTATAAAGATATAGCTCATAGAAATTAATATATTCGTTTGGGTCGGCATTTAAATATATAATTGTCTATATACAAACAAGGAGGCAAAACAAAAGGGGCCAAAATATGACGGTATACTGTCCCTTTCATTCGTATTGTTTATAACAATACACGACATTCTTTATTCAGGGTAACAAAATAAGACATAATATTGACATTATATGAAAATAAACTTCTAATAAATTGTTCATTGTTGTTCTCATTCTATTTCATGTAGCCCACAATATAATATATTAATAATATCATTTAGTCATTAGATATCAAAGAATACACCTATATTCTATTAGTATATATTGTTGTTTTGTCGCGATACAATTTCCCGTGGAAAATACTACTAAGGCAGCCTGTGTATGAGATTTGGACGTAAACGTGTGGTTATCTTCGTTAACGTTCCTGACGTTATGATCAGGTACTAAACGTTTGCTCTATTTAATCTTCACATAAGAAGATGTCGACTGAAGTCAAAACAAAGCGAACTGTGCAACCTAAATACATTACAAGTGATTTTCAAATGAGACCTTTAGGGTGTTTAAGGAATAAACGGGATTTAGACTCAGAAGATGTTGAGGATGTGGATGGCAAGATAGTTTACAATGGCGACCAAGACGAAACCAGACCACCCAATAAAAAGATTATTCAACTACCGATGTTAAAATTAAATCTCGAATCGTTGACAGGTTCAAGTAATAACGAAGACAATATAGCACTTGAAAGTACAAGGAAAACACTTCGCACACTTATCGATGATTGTAAACGTGAATTACAAACAACGGAGATTAAAAACTATGAATTTATATCACCTGTGAACAACTCTCAAAATAACAACCCCGGGGAGGTGAAATCATATAATAAGCATTCTGTTGAGAAAGTAAGACTACGAAATAGACTTCCACCATTAAAACGTAAGGATAGTGAAGGAAAACAACGGAAACCTCTTGCTAAAACACCAGATGCTATTTGTTCGGTGGCTTTTACTAACCAGATATCAGATACAGTTGGTCAGGAATATTTAGATTATTTGGATGACATTTCACCTCGCGATGCCGACCAGGGTGACGATCTCCCAGTAGCAATCATTCCAGAGACTAATTCACCTACTGAGTTATATCCAGAAATGGCCTCTTGGAATAGTTACACTGATATCACACCAACCAGAAAGGGATCTTACAAAGGTTGTTCTAAGCATGAATACTTGTTGAAGAAGCACAGATTCCAACGTGAACTTATGGAAGAAAGAATTCGAGCTCGACAAGACGTGAATTTATCGTGGGTCAACATCAATCATTCTGGATATAAAGCTAGCCCTATTTACCGATATACCACTTACCAACAAAAACCCGTTACTGAACTTAGTCCTCAACCACAGCAACCGCCACCTTCCAATGATCACTGTCCAATGTGTACAATGTATAGATCTGAACGCATCCCTACAGCCTGTCCTCCCAATTCACCGAGATGCCATATTGGAGTGTTAGGTCAGCACGAGGAAACTATACAGGAAATCGAAGATGAATATACAGCAAGATCAATTGATCATTTCAACGATGGTAACACAATGGAACCAATGTCAACATACAAGTTGGCACAGAAACAAGGATTTAGAGGCTCAAAACCTCCAATAACATTTAAAATGGCCTTTTGTAAGTGATATCAAACGTTGTGTGCTTGTGTTCTTCTGAGTTAGAAATTGGCCAAAAGGGCATTAAAAACATTATAAAATTATTACATAGTGCATATTTTGATGAAATAGTCGATTGTTGTCAAGAATTATTGTCGATAACCGCTTTTACATGCTTTTGTATATTTTGTTATGATTAAATGATGAAAATGGTAATAAATTAGTGTTTAAACCAGTTGAATACTATGCCTATTGAACTCAGGATGTGCCGACGAACAGAAGGTCGAGGGTATATCCATGTGTGAACAATATGGCACTGTTACTTAAGGATGGGTTCCCTTATTTTTAGTTATGAAAATAAAAATGCTAATACTTATATGAATAGAAAGTAGAGGTTGTATTTAACGACTTGGAAAATACCACTTTGTCTCACATGTCCATAATTAATTCATAATTAGAAGAGAATTACCAGCAGAATTCCAATGAGTGACCGATCAAGAAAGGGCAAAAGCATTTTTTTGTTTATCCAGACTTTACATAAATGGACATTTATGATTAGTTAAAACTCTTAATTATATGCAATAAGAACATTATGGTATGATTATAATTATATGATAATTCATTAGAAACACCAGTTAATCAAATAGTTTGCTTAATTTGACACTAACAAATAAGGAAACCCATCATGTCCCATTCTTGTCATTAGACAATTTCGATTAATCTGCATCAAAAGTATTGAGAAGTAATCTATGCTTGGTCTAAACCACTGGTAGGTTTGTCTAGTCTAATAGTAAATAACCTAATATAGCTCAATGGTAAGTAATCAATGGTATATCCAGTCTAATGTTAGGCATCTCTTGATGAAAGATCTAGTCTAATAATAGGTCATCTATGATAGATCTAGTCTAATGGTGAACGTCTCTTGATGAGAGATTTATTCGAATGGTAGGTCATCTATGATAGATCCAGTCCAATGGTAGCCATCTCGTAATGAAAGGTCTAGTCTAATGGTAAGTAATCTATGATAAAATCTAGTCTAAAAGGTAGGTTATCTATGATAGAACAATGGTAAGTAGGTTTAATGGTAGGTTTCTATAAAAGAACTAGTCTAATGGTAGGTAATGATAGGTCTAGCCTAATAATAGGCAATCTAAAATTGATCTAGTCTAATGGTATATAATCTATGATTGACCTAGTCTAGTGGTAGGTAATCTATGATTGACCTAGTCTAGTGGTAGGTAATCCTGTCTAATAAGGATCATTATGATGACTGTCTAATAATAGTAATCTATGATAGATCTCGTCTAAAAAATGTCATCTATATGATAGATCTAGTTTAATGATGGGTATCTATGTTTCGTGGTAGATATTCTATGATAGGACTAGATTGGTGGTAGATATTTTTGATACATCAAGTCTAATGGTAGATTATATATGATAGGTCTTGACTTATGGTAAAGTAATCTATGACAGGTTTAGAATAATGGTGGGTAATCTAAACATAAATTCGCCGATTTGGACAGTATACAGGGCGTTCCGAAATTAAAGTCCCCTACTCCGCAGCAAAAAATTAAAATAGATATGGCAAAAACCTAAAGTAATCCTGAACGGGTATTTATTCAAGTCTCTCTCTATATATTCAATATTTTGTGTGGCTTTCATCTGCCAATACCACAGCCTACATTTTGTGGGGTTTGATTTCAGAAAATATGACAACAGCTGAGAATTAAACTCCTTTATCCCAGCAATTTCGGTCATCTCTGTTCGTGGGTCTGTGACACTTGGTATATCATCGTTGGTTTTCAAAGTATTTCCTGTCCTCTGAGATTTTTAAAATTTGTTATTTTTTCAGGTTTTGCATGATAAGGTACCATGTTCCATACTCTCAAGAATGCAGGTTGTGGCACAGACAGATGGAAGCCACAGAAAATGTTAAATATTCAGAGTGGAACTTATATAAATACCCGTGCAGAATCACCATAGTATTATAGTTTAGGCTGTGGAGGAGGGGGCTATAATCTCGAAACACAGGGTATAGTCAACAGCTAAAATAGGGCTGATACATTAGCAATGAATTCCCTCTACATATAGTCTATCCCTTCAATGTAAACAAATCACTCTTTAATTCAATAACAAAAAATCGAACAGTTTGACACGGGTATAGTTTATTTAGAGCATTCATTGAACACCAAATCAATATGTGTATTATGATCGTTATGACAATGAAATGCATATTCTTGACATTTCTAAAACAACTTTTTATTTTGTTGACAAAAGGTCTTGGCTGGAGACATATATCATGTATAAATGAATGATTTATAATACATAATAAATAGATTTAGGCTAGCGATAGCATTCAACGTAAACACGAATATACTTAGTGGCTACATAATCATTTTGTTGGATATATTTTAGACTGTGTTTTTGGTCAAGCGTGCTTCAGTTTAAAACTAATTATATTGGTTTTTTATCTATGACAATGACGTTAGTTACCTTATAATTAAAGGATTTTAAAATGTCTCAAATTGTAACGGGGTTTCTTGGAGCGAAACCAGGGGACGGACCTTATTTTTCACCCAGATTTCGAGTAACGCAGAAAAATAATGCGAGAAAATATTACAGAAAGAAAAAGAGTGAGACTATATTAGAAATAGATGATTATTTAACTCATATTGATATGACTGATAACACTGAGTTTGATATAGATGATATTCTATCACCACGATACACTGAATTCGGATTTGTGAAAGCGTATAAAGCCAGATTAAGACGTCGTGGATTGGATCCTAAACAGTTATTTTGTGTCAATCGACATTCAGCTGTCGAGAATCCACGATCCTGTTTAACATCTTTACCAAAGCTGAAGAAAAAATTCTTGGTTCAGCAAAGTTCTGATATGGGTTCAGATTTCAGCAAAACACCAAGAGTAGAAGATGAATTTACTCAGTCAGATTTTAAGAAGTCAAATCCTGCAGAAAAGATGGCAATAAATCCGAGTGATTTGGACCAAAGATTAAAAACTTTAGAAGAACATTCTTCAGTGGATGGTTTTATAGTTAGAGGTAGAAAAAGTGGTCGACCATTAGGTAACATAACCTCTTCGGATTACCTTCAGAGCATTTTACAACAAGTTGAGGAGGCTAATAATAACAGACGTTCATCAATATTTTACAGAACGGAAGTTACCAATACTTAGGTTGTGTTTTATAATTCCACCCTGCCAAATTATACTGAATATTTTCACATGTACTAATGGCAATTCCTTGGTTCATAGGGTACACATACAACAGTATGGTTTTCAGGATAAATTGAACAATTACCAAAACCATTGGAATCCACATGGTGGATTGTGCACATCTAATCCATCACATGCGGCTAGATCTTAAATATCCTTGCTAACAGAAACGTGGATGAAAGTTTGTAAGGGTAATATTCTGAAAATCACAAATTGAATAGAGTTTAAATATGTCTAGCAATGTTAACGTTATGATTATAAATAAAAAGAAAATGTATTTGTATTTTGTTTTAAGAATTAAATAACTGAGTAGAGACAATCTGTGTGTTGAAATTACCAATTATTACCTTACTAGTATGGAGTATATATATCTATACAATAGGATGATGAAATCAAGAAGGCTTTAATTATCACAATAAAATTTTTACCTTTCTTAATCGAATGTAGATCTAATCCCGTGACTTTCAATGTTTATATTGATTATATTGCCTTGGAAAACTTTGCTGTACATATTCGATAAATTTAAGACATTTTCTCTTCATAACTATAGTATAATTTGTTTAACTTAGTGATAAAAAAAAACAGGAAGATTGAAGGCGTTTCCGTCAGACCTTCTGATGACTTTAACAAGAGATTTATGTATACGTGTCTCAATTTATTAACTTATGTTTTCACCCAAAGACCTCTGTCAATAATTAGATCAACCAGTCAACGAGTTCAAATCTTATCTAGGTTGGAATTCATGTGAATTTGCCAGGGCTTCTCTTAAATGCGTCCAGTCATATCTTAAAAACATTTTGGGTGCTAAACATCAGTCAAATTGGCTAACCATGATTGCCTTGTTAGTACTAGCGTTTGTTGCTGTATCTACAGCCCAGGATCCACCAAGATGTTGTATTGATAAAGAATTTGAAGCGTATCTTGATGAAGCTGGTAGTTTCGTTAGTGCTCAAGACAAGGAATTTCATCCTTTAAAGGTAAACTCTGTACTTGAAAGGAAATTGTATTCTCTTTTTTATTTGAATATCAGTTACGTCCCTTGAACTTCGTAAATTACAAAAATATGCTGACAGTTGTGCCCTATTTTGCTATGTTAAAGATAGCACATCGACCAAATAGGTCGACATATACTTTGGTTTTCTTTAAAATCTGCAAATATACCTTATAACCATTCAAATTGCCAAATATAGGATATTTTTTTTTGTAAATTAGGGTTATACAACAGTAGCCTATGATTACTATGCAAAGAAAATGTCATTGAGAGTTCATAACACCTTTGAAAACGGAACAGAAATTGCTGGAACTCTCATCTTCGATTACGAAAACGTAAGTAGCCAAACGATACACGAGTTGTAAGAGATATGAATCAAGATATGTAACTCTTTTTATTGTCAAAAAATGCTGAATATGAAAACATCTAGTGAAATTACCAGGTACTGTGTGTCGTTCTTGACTATGCAAATGAATCTATGATGACAATGTGTTTAAAATTTAAAAAATATGGACAAGAGCTGCAGTCTAGGTTATTGTTATTGGTTATTTATTGTTACTATTTAACTTTACTTTTTTCTTTAAGAAACTGGAATACGCAATTTACAAAAGAAAATGTACCATCTATAAATTACCGTTACCAATGAGAAGTCCTTGCATATCAGGTAAGTTTGGTATTAGTAATAATAATTTATTTATTAAAGTGTCACACAGCATAGAACATATAAATATACAAATATAACAAGATAAAAGTAATGCTGCCCAGCCAGGTTGGCTTATGAGACACTGGTCTAATTCAATTCCAACGAGTAAAAATCATATCAACAAAACATAAATATCTGATATATAAATATATAAACATATGAATATTAATAAGTTAAAACTAATTTAAAAGAAACATGTACAAGTTAAACTAGGGTAAAATATTGGGACCGAGACTGCAGAAAAAAAAGACATAAATGGATCAGATAATGATAAAACGTCTATTAATGGCGTTTCGGGGGAATGCTGAGGAATGAAAAATAATATTTTTGTTACACATTAAAAAATTAAGCTGTTCTACATCTTTTAAGTAATTAAAATCTGAGTTTAAAACGTTGGCTCTAGCAAACAGATCATACCTAAGGTCATCATTAAATGGACATGTTAAAAGAAAAATGCTGTTCATCTTCAACCTTTCTAAGTTGACACATAGAAGTATTAGTCAAGTACAGAAGTTTCAATTGTTATTGTGTTCTGGCAAGCCTATACATAATAAATTTAGGCGAATTGAAATTATTTGTTACTCAACATTTAACAACTTGAATAATAAATAAGACTGATTGTAATCATTAAATAAATGGTATTGGCTAAAGGTAATGATCCATCATAGATACATACTTCGCTCGGATGGCAACATAGACAAAAATGAAAAAAAGTTGACGTCCCTGTTCCGTCTAATTAACCAATGCGAAGCGTCGTCTGAATTTTATCAAATCATTTCAGATAATGCTACATATGACGGTGAATTAACTATGGGATATGGAGCCCACACACTAAAATTACATACATGGAAAGATGTACAACCAGGAACTAATTTCCCAGTCAAGTTATCAGTTTCTATTGATGGTTGTGTACCAGTTGTAGAATCAATTTATGTAGACACCCCTAAAGGTAGTTGTTGTTTTGCCAATTTCGATATTTCAAACATCGAAATTCATCTGTAATGTGGTTAAGAAAAATAGTTAGGCCATAGTAATTAACGATTTTTATTTTTGGCTATTTAATATTTTAAAACTTTGGGTTAAATAATGATTATAATAATAAAAACTCATCGAAATCATCTTCAGTCATGATGTTTCTGGTTACACGACCTAGATCCGGATAAATTTATTTTATATTTCTGTTATGTCGACAAAAGTATAATTTAAAAAAATTATTGCATTCTTCCAGCTAAATCAGAAATTGTATATATTATAAGTAACTTTCATGCTGGTATTAAAAATAGAAAGAGATTTACCATCCCTAATTCTTGTCATGGTGTTACTGTAAAGGTAAGCTGTGTCTTAAAAACTTATTTTCGTTACGTCAGCGACACAATTCCATCTTAGCGAGTTGCATAGTCATTTTTTGTTGTCATCGGATTGATAAGCAAATCCCCTTTGGTAGAGTGATTTCGGAATTAGCGTTTTTGGGGGTTTTGAGAGTATCTCACACCTACCTATTACTAACCTTCGTAGATTTTGATACATGTGATCTTAACGATCTTCTCCTTTTTAATAAAATGTTTTTTGTTTATGTGTTTCAGGAATCTACTTTAATTGGTTGAAAAAGTCTTTAATAAACTTTTTAATAAATACTAAATTAGTTGTTGTTAATTACACACAAATAAATATATTGAATTTTAGTTTCCTGAACCTTCTTCATTTGATGAACTCATTGTTGAACGTCATCAGGGATATTGAGTGTGTTCTGCCTTGCTACCGCTACCCACAAGAATACTTATTTAAGTCAAGCTCAAATATAAAAAAGATTTTGGGCTTGGACTGTAGAAGACTGCCATGTAAATACATCAACAAACAATTTTACAATCATAAAATTTCGCTAAAAATTAGTGAATGGTACGTGTCAAAATGGGGTCATTTGTAAGCAAATAAATATGTGTTAATATTTTATGGGACTGCGAACAAGTTCACCAGAATGAGAATACCACACGAGTGTAGTTACACTCACTGCAGCTCGCACTATGATTTTATTTTGTCAGGTTCAGATAAGCCAAACCTTATCGTATTTTATGTGAAACTAACCACACGCTACACAAATTCTTAAAACCTAGTTGGTGTCATTATATAATAGGCATACTTCACTGTCAACCATGATTGCTTTGTTAGTACCGGTACTAGCGTTTGTTGCTGTATCTACAGCCCAGGATCCACCAAGATGTTGTATTGATAAAGAATTTGAAGCGTATCTTGATGAAGCTGGTAGTTTCGTTAGTGCTCAAGACAAGGAATTTCATCCTTTAAAGGTAAACTCTGTACTTGAAAGGAAATTGTATTCTTTTTTATTTGGATATCAGTTACGTCCCTTGAACTTTGTAAATTTGTCGTCAAGTCGCTACATCATGTGTTGGTGCGTTTGAATTTGTGGTTTGTTCTGTTGTGTTGAGCAGCTATGACGGGTGTGGCACCAAACGGGGTATGCTTACTATTATAGACACTTGATTCCATGTTTCATTATAGACTACTTACTCACTTATGGTTCATATACTTACTTATGTTAAAAGTAAGAATATTTCATGAATGGAATGGATATCTTTGGACTACATACTCGAACTGAGTTGATGACATTACATTCTTCTATCGTTTCATATACAAAGTGTGCATTAAGAACACAACCAGTATTTATTATAATTCTAGGGTTACACCACAGTTGCTTATGATTATTATGCCAAGAAAATGGCTTTACGAGTTCATAATACCTTTGAAAACGGAACAGAAATTGCTGGAACCCTTATCTTTGATTACGAAAATGTGAGTATATAAAGTGATAATCTACTGACTTGACACTAAAATGATCATATTGAAATAGATATTATGAATTTTGTAGTTTTGAACAAGTAGCCTACGTGAATTGAAAGTTTGTTTGTCGTAAACCAAACCAGCTTGTGGATGTATGTTACTTTCCCTGGCAAGCTATCTTTCCAAAGTGAAAAATGAGATGTAAGAAATAATAATTCTAAATATATATTGTAACACATCTCTGAATGCTATTTTAGAAATTGGAATACGCTATCTATAACAGAAAATGCACCATCCATAAATATCCATTACAAATGAGAGAGCCTTGTATACCAGGTAAGCACGACGTTCGTTATCACGATCTTCGGGTCTGTTGATGAATTGGCAGTGACAGAGAATCCCCAAACTGATTACTCATTTATTTGATCTGTAACTACGAAATTCCACAAAACAGACCCTTTTTACATTATCTCAATACCTTAATAGTAATACTACGCCTATATTTCTTGTTTCTTTTAGACAACGCTACCTATGAAGGAAAATTAACTATGGGGTATGGAGCTCACGTTTTACAGCTAAATACCTGGAAATATATACAACCAAAAACACATTTCCCAGTAAAATTGTCTGTTTCCGTTGACGGTTGTGTACCAGTTGTAGAATCTATCTACATGACTGGTTCCAAATGTAGGTCGAACTTTGAAATCGGACTAGAGATCAAAAATGAAAAATTTAAGCGGACATAGAAGTCTGGTCTACCACCAAACACATACGAAACTACGCACGGTTCTTACATGGAAATAACACACATGAACTATTCATCGATTTGTTTGAAGTAACTTATGTGCTTTATCCTCTCAATTCTCTGTTTCAATCAAAGCGTAGTCTCCCACTTTCCATTTTTGTTTATCATTCTACCTTATGACAAAATGACCTGTGGCCACCTTGAAAAATTTTTGGTCCCCGGCTCGGTCCCTCACCCCATGTTTCCTCATACGCCACTGCATTCTTCTATGGAGATATAGTGACTACATCGGTTATACCTACATTTATGTGCAAAAATTCCAACTAAGAATTGTAAAGCTGTGCTGATATTCTATAATTTTCATTGAATCATTAATGCTTTATGATCTTTCAGCTAAATCAGAAATTGTATATATTATAAGTAACTTTCATGCTGGTATTAAAAATAGAAAGAGATTTACCATCCCTAATTCTTGTCACGGTGTCAATGTTAAGGTAAGCTAGCTATACTTAACTATACGTTATTAAACACGATATTGATAATTACAGACATTGACTTGAGATCGAAATGGCGTAAATACTTGTTATTCATGTCCTAGATGGGAATAGAAAGGCCTGAAAATCCTCTTGAACCAATTTATGGGTTAAATATTGAACAAGAATTTTTAAATCATTATTATTTCTTTTTTTACAGGAAACGACACTAGTTGGATAAATATGTTGGGAGCTAGGTTGACGTATAGAATAAAACTGTTTTGAATACACAAGACTTTTTTTTTCAATGGGCAACGCAACGACAAAATATGAGATTTAATGGGTATCGGTAATGCATAAAAAAATTAACCTTAAGAAAGGGAAATCAATATTTGTCCTATTTCATTGAAATTTTACAAGTCACCAACAAGAGCACTCTAAATCGGCAAGTGACCTCAATACTAAATTATTTCTGATAGAGAAGTATCTAGAATGGTACAAGCGTGTATACCCAAATCATTTATAGACTTCTAATTTCCAGGCATCGAGGTAATACCCTTGTATGAAATGATTGATCGAAAGAGATCAGAAAATAATAATACATGTATATCCCGTTTGTGAACAATCATTTTTAACTTTTTAATTTCAAAATTGTAGCAATCTCCATCATAGTATTATAGAGTTGTTTAGTGACGAACGGGGTGATATCGTTCAGAAAATTTGAGCGGGTTTGACTCTCGTGTTCATTGAGCTTGAACTATCCTTGAACCTTAAAACATAAAGCTACGTTGAGCCTCGACCATAGAAGTCAGTCAACAAATATAGAACAAAATTTGCTCAATGAGGTTTTGACCATATGTCCAGTCGGATAGATAACGTGATCTAGATTTATGCTATTAAATACGCTTATTCATTCAAAACAAAATACCAAGATGCTCGTGTCATTTCTAACTTTGTTGCTTATTTTATCGTCTGGAAATGGTCAGACAACTAAAAACTGTTGTTTACCCGATGAATATGAAATGGATATGGGAGAAACCGGAAGCACTTTTAAAGATAATGTATTCCAGGAAATGCAGGTACTTTGGTAATTTGTCTCATGGAAAACAAAGATACAATTTTCACTATTGACAAATATACTTAAATGATTTGCACCCCCAATAGTACCCCCAATTTTTGACAAATTTAAGAAATGTGAATTTTGAATTCAGGCTCGACGGTGTGTGACTGTGACTTGTCTGAGGATTACGTTACTAGAAGTCGTCCATCCAGTAGTCAACTACGGTTCGAGATCTACATGTATTAAATGAATGAATATCTGTTGCAGGGATTCTTGAGCACTTCCTACAGTCATAAAGATAGAAAAGTATCGTCTAGAGGTACTAACGTTGTTAATGGCCAACTTGTTCAAACAACTGTTTTAATGGATTACAAAACGGTAAACTTTTTTACAAATCGTAAGACGCACTGTAAAACAGTTGAATATCTGTCGTATTCTCTAGAGTGAAAACCCCTTGGTATACAGTCTCTTGTCACTTTATGCATTGGTATCAAATTGTCTTTCTATATTTTCGTCCCAATTCTTTGCAAAATTGTATTTTGTTTGAAATCTTATTCGGAATTGAATGTGTCTACAACATTTTAGTTTTTTTCTTAATAACTCTAATACAAATTTTTCACAAGTACAGCATAGAGAATATATCAATGTTAATGGTAATTGTACTGTTTACGAGATGAAAGCACCAATGATCAATCCATGTATTCCAGGTAATGTACATTTAATGTAACCTTCCAACAAAAAAGATAAATAAAATATCAGCGTTTTTTACACAAGTCTTGAATAGACATCACTCTATTGACTAGATTTGAAAATAAATAGAGTCTTGCCTAGACCGACATGTTGACTCTAAATAATACATTTGAATGGGACTGGGTGCAGTCTAACTCTTGTCCGATTTTGCATAAGCTTACCCGTACTCTTTACAAGACACCTACAGACAATTTAAAAGAAATGGGCCTAATTACACATTCTTCCAGATAATGCTTTATTTGGTGGTAGAACAAGATATGGATATGGAAGTAATCATATTGATGTTGATTTATGGAGATTTAACTTGTCAAATCGTCCAGATTCACCAATCAAACTCAGTATTACTGATGATTGTACCCCTATCACACAAACACAATTTGATCCTAAAGCCCTTCTTGGTGGTGACTATCTGTTTTATTTCTATCTCGCTTTGTAATTAATGCATTGATTGCTATTTAAACAGAGGAAAACTTGCTGATTGTATCTATATAGAATTGTGTTTCTGCTGAAATAAGTTGTTATTTTTGGTGGACTGCCGGTCTGATTTGAAATATTGTTCTAAAAACTTTATAAATTTTCAATTTATCTGACTTGTAGGATATCATCAAAATCAAAACAATACTTTTTTGTATTATTGTATTGTACATGTTATTACAAATAAAGCCAATTATTGATGTTTATGATTAACATATTACAAACATTGTATATTAACTGTAGGTAAAACAGAGGTAGTTTATATATTCAGTAATTTTAGACCTGGTATTAAAGCTAGAAATATATTTACAGTACCAACTGAATGCCACAACAAACCTGTTCTGGTAAATGTCTTACTTTTTACTAAAATAATTCATTAAAAGGGTATTCCAACCAACAAATATCCTGTTGCTCTGCACTCTGTTGGGCTTATGGTCTGCATATATTTTATCTATATCTCTTCCATGACCAATCACGTGTTACACGTGTTCACCTCTCACCAAATTAGGAGCAGAATCTATACTGTAACTGATCAGCATTTACTAATATCAACAGATCAGATTAATGTCAACGAAAACGCAATTGAAAGAGTAGAGGAAGGTTTGCTAGAGCATTATTAACTCTCAACCTTACTGTTCTCGATTTCCATCTTGTTTCAAACTAGTGCTCTGTTAGTTCCAAAGACATCATTAATTAATCTGAATACATAATATGAATAAAACTCAGCTCATTGGAGGAACAGATGAAAATGAATACCTATAATATCTCTGAGGTGTTACAAGTACACATCTAAAGACGACATTGTATTCAAACATATCAGATTCTTTTCTGTTTTTTCTTTCAGAAACATCATCTATAATTTTCATATGAAAATAAATCTAAGATAGTAAAACAAATGTGTTGTTAATAGTGGTACTCATTTTGTTAAACATACATAATACAGCTGAATAAATGATACACTTCAGTTCTTTACGTAGATGTAACTTGGGCGTAATACTGTAAACTATACCTACTTCTGCGATATGAATGTGAAAGCTTTTATTTTCATACCACGGGAGCATTATTTCAACAAAGGCCTTGATGATAACATTATGATGAGTTTTGGGGTTTAAAAATGTCTTCAATATATATGTAAGAAGTATTTTTGGAGTGTAGATTACATAGATTGCTAATAACGAGTGGCGTTTCTTATTTTGTTCGAAATCAACAGCAATGCCCAAGATGAATGAATGTGATTTATTATTTTAGTTTAAATCCCTCTATCTTCGAAATGTTTATGATCTTATTGACCAAATAAACTTTTGCCACGTTAAGCGCTTATCTCAATCTTATCTAACCTTATTTGAGGCAGTAGAACTGACAGTGTTGGTTTTAAGTTTGACAAGAATGTGGGCGTTACAAGTGATCTGTTTTGTAACTGTTGTAGTAACTACATGGGCAGCTACACCATGCTGTACCGATCGTGAATATGAAGC